GATTTTGCGTTATCTGATCTGAATCAATTAGGATTATTTGAACTTTATCTGGCAGTGTCTAGGTCTGACTGAACTTCCCCTCCATCATACCATACACAATTCTATAGTTAATCCTATATTTGAAATAACTATTAGCGTCAATAGCTTATCGGTCATAATTTAATATTAATCTTGTGTTCATATATTTATTAGTAATCGAAGCTTTATTACGTGTCGTTGTAGCGTCTAAGATGTCATACGATACGACATATGTAATTTTTATCATGTTTATTTACAATAAAAACAATATTAACTTTTAATTTAATTTTTACTTTAAAATGTTGTACAATATTATAATTATTACTAAACATAAAAAATATTTTAATTCATCCCAGATTTGAAATTAATTTAAATGTTGTTTTAAGATCAGCAATATTCTTATGAAAATGAATAGTATAGGACAAAAGTGTAGAAACTAAACTTATCAAATCATATCAATATCAAATTATCGAGAGCTGAATGATGAAAACAAATACATGCATACAACAAATGACATCGTCACAATACTTATCAAGCGGGGCTTGCGAAACAGCGCGGCGTCACTCTTATCACCGGTGTAGGAAAATCAAATCAAGATTAACCATTAAACAACAATAGTCATATTGCCAAAATATTATTGTAAGTTACAATCACCATCCTGGCGGTGACTCATGATTTTAGCTATGTACAAATAGTACATTATTGGTTAACAGTTAGCTGGTACTTTCTCTCATTGGAAGAGGAACTTGCTATTTTTTACATATAATATGATAATGTATAGCATTTTTATCGATAAATAAGCAAATAACTGACAGTATTTATTTCTAATATTATTCTGTATACTAATCACATAATATCTGATCGTCTTTTTTTTAAAGAATCCATTATAAATAAGATTGAATCCATTGTAATCAAACTGCTCGAAGCAGTTGCTATGTGGTAGTTTCTACGTAGTTATTGAACGAGGAACTGTGTTGGCATCTGTCCAAAATTATAAACAGAAACGTTCACAATTGTATTATTCCAAGTTTCCAATACAAATTTTAAGAAGCAGTGTTACGCCGAAATAAAGATACGAATGAATTTAATGTCAATAAACAATATAGTTATATAATGAATAATTATATCAATGTAATTCCGAGCATAAATAAATTTAAGTAATCATTTACGAAATAAACCATAAAATATAACTTTTAATATAATTTCAATGTATAATTGCTACTAAACAATAATTCTCACCTGTAAATGAGAGCAAATTCTGTTTTTGAGTTCATTTTGTCACCAAAGCTTGCGTCGCTGATTCTTCTTTCCCAAACTTCACCTCATGGTCAATGTTAACTCACAGAAGGCCATATCTGTAAATGGAAGTATTTGATAAGTGATAACTTATAATACTGTTATCAAAACTTTCATTTAAATGATTTAAACATAAAGATGGGGGCGTAGTAAATTCACATACTTCTTAAATACGTATTGATTTCAATATATATGTTATTACGCCATCTTTTCACAAGAAATGTATTACTTTTGTAAAATTAATAGTTCATCACGCTCCAACGCCTGACTCGTAAAGGATGACACGAAGTATAATAGTATTGCATAATGTAGGCCCATTTTTTGTAACCTCTGAGAGGGGATGACTTTTGAGGAAGGGTCTTGACTACCTGTGCACGTTTGCTTCGTAACCTAAAATCCTCGCCTGCATAAAAAATATTGGATTTTGAACAAAAAACGGGCAAGCTGGATTGAAACGAATGTTTTGCTTTATATATCTTTGTTAGATCGGTTTACGTAATAGAACGTTTCTATATTAGAATTTTTAAAATACAGCTAAGATTTTAAAGATCTTTACAAGCAGAAAACGTCATTTAAATAACAATATATGTTAGGACATAACCCGTTAGTATTTGGTTTATTTTTAATTCCCTAAATATATAAATTATAAATTTAATTCCCTAAATGTAAATATATTTTTAAATCCGAAAATATAGCGATGTATCAACTTATTTATTATATGTAATATCTTTGATATGTACTATATATAAAATAGATTTTGAAGCGTATGAAATTTATGACGTCGTAATAAATAACCGTTGCACAGACATAAAAGCGATGCGTTGCGTCTGGTTCGGGTTCAGTCACGTCAACCATAGTAGTAGCGTGCTGAGCCGCTCTACTTGATGTAACGGAACGAGACCGCTGCGTGACTTTTCGTACTGTTTTTGCATCCACAATGAATACCATAAAATCGATTAATTACTATTTTCACCCGATTATTCTCAAAAAAATAGTTTTGCACGATCAGTAAATCATTCACAAATGTTTGTTCGAATTGTGCTCCTTTTTATATTTTTTTCTCTTGTACCATAACGATACGTTCCAATGGATAGTAAATACTTTTTTATTTAAATATTATGCAATGTCTGTGCCACATGTTACAATGTACCGGAGGTGGCTTCAAATGGTCACAGAACTTGGACGGGCAACTGTCTGTGTATAGTTTCAAGTCACGTAATTTTTCGTGTTTCTTAGTAAATATCAAACCATATTCAAATGGAATGGTTGGTTACCTGTGTTAGGCATACAAGAGCTTAATTAACTAGACATCAAATCAGGGTAATTGTTATTACTGTAGTGTGATATTTATTCATATGTGACACGTATGTACTATATACCTATTAATATTTCTTCTAACAATCGCGCTTGATTTAGATTTTAGGTCGTAATTTTGTCATTAGACATCAAGTATTGTATAATAATAAGTAAATAACTAAAATAGTTCTGAAAGTGAAACTAGAACCAAGCAATTTAACAACCGTGACAGAAATAATTTTAACGACTAAGCGTAAATTTTATGGAACACAAGAATAATTTGATATGCAATTTTCTGGAGTGGTCGTGATATAATATATAGTTATTATATTTAAAAACAACACACACATAGCTTTTTTCTATGTCCACATATATCAAGAGTCGGATGCTTCCAATTCATATAAATTAGGAAGAATTTTGCACGCGCCCTGTATTCCATTAACATTTTAATTTTTTGCTATCCGAATAACTATGAGTTAGAAAGCATTATATATTTAAATAATATCTTTATGTTCCTAATTGTTACGAGTGTGAAGGACATGAAACCTCTATCTCATATTTTCCTTACTGTTAGATTAATTAAATATTCCGATTCACTAGTGCGAAGAGATGAGCTTTCTTCACATGCCGTTAGTTGCGTGTGTCGCAGTGATGCACTCCACTTCACACACATCCGTAATCATAGATATTGTGTGTCTTTCGTCTTTATCCTGTATAATGATAATCTTTCGATGCACTTTATTTCTGACACCTTAATAATCTATGTTTAAAGAAACATCGTTAAATATATATATTATGTAACAATACAGAAATGGTTTAAATATTGCCATAAAAACCTATGAAAGTGAACACGGTCAATTACGGTCTGACCTACGAGCTACATCAGTGAGCTTTTGTCCTCTTAAATTCAATATACTATATTCAAGGCACCGCCTCAATGTGTCTCTTCGGATGAGAAAGAGAACTCATCGTTAAAACGTGCGCACGCATCCTACAGAACGGGCAACTTGTTGCCCTCCCAGCCAACATCGCCCCCGGACACGATTGTCGATTACAGCGGTGTCTACGCCCTCTTACAGATTTTTTATACGTTATAACTTGTTATTGTTTACAATTATGTACTTTTTCTTTAATGATCTCATGTGAAGAAAATTTTATACTTCTTTTATTCTGAATTGATAAAATATGCAACTATTGGTATAATTTAAATATGAAATTATTCTAACTTTATTCCATGAGCAGAGCATCTTGGTACTAACATATCTATCCCGGATCGTTGTTGTATATATTATGTCTACATTTAAATAAAAGCGAATATATTACACGTACAGGCACTAAGTTTGTATTTATAAATGCATTAATTACATTAAGATAAAAATACTAATAAGAAAACAAGTAAATCTGTTTGACAGCGAACTATTATTAATTTGGACCTATTTTAGAAGAACAAGTCATTGGGATATAGCGAAAGGCCGCACCGTAACTTACAATAACTGACCTAACACTAGACACATTTTCGAAACAACCGAGGGACGCATTGTATCTTCTACCTAGCCGCCACACCAACATTCGTTTTTGTCCAGCTATCTATCTGTCAGTGGTAGTTTATTTTAATAAAGCGCGCGCAGATGGCGCGGGCGCAGCGCACTCTCCCAATGCGTGGTAGCGATTTTATACCCTATTAGTGGCATGCAGAGTGCAGTTACTAATGCGCCACTCCCGACCCGCAAGTTGTAAACAAACCGGGCGAGGGCAATGGCTGCCACCGCTCCCCGCGCTCGTCGCTCCAACGACGCCATTCAACCGGGAAGTTCACGCTTTATTTTTAGTTTCATAAAGCGGGCTATGTTGTACTATAAAATATAACGGAATTTCCTTATAATAACAAATTGAAATGAATACAAGTTATTTATTTTATGTATTTATACAAGAAGAATTGCTTGATGATTTTTAGGATGTTTTAAAACCTTCACGTCGGTCCACTTTATTACTAAAACTGTAGTAACCAATGATAAATTTAAAAGGATAACAAATAAAAGAAATATATAATGTACTAATATTGTAAAAACAAAAACATGATATAACGTCGTGTTATTTATCCTTCCTAATATAGTAATTATAATAAAGGCCAGGTGTTACTTATGAACATTGGGGTCAACAACCTTTCTGCAACATGTACAAGCAAGTACCTTCTTAATTGAGCGCTGCCGTCATCGAGATGTCTCACGCACGCTGTTAAGTACACTCACTGTGGCGACGCGAAGATAACGGCATTGACATTGGTAATACGTAGTACGTACCGAGACCCTGTCAAAGTTGTGAGGCCAAGAGCGTGGTGGGATCGATTTCGAGATCGTGGAGTTGGGAAGCGTCAGCGGCGGCACTAGGCACTAGGCAGTAGCACCGGTGATGGCGACGGTAGCGAGGGAGTACGAGTCAATGACCTGAGGATGAAGGGCGCGGGATGGTGCGCGCGCACGCAACGGTGCCCCGCCTTTATTTATTACGCTACGCGAGCGCTCGGCGCCGGCAACGCGTCGCGCGGCGGGGCGGAGGCCGCATTCCGGGCGACCGGCGCTGGGGCCCGCCGGGCGCAGCTAAAATAACGCACCCAAAACTATCTCGCTAGACGTCCTACGTCAGTAACGAGTCATATTTAAAATAAGCCATCTTAAACTTACTCAATTTCAGCCGTACTGAACACGTGGGTCTACCTCGGCAACCACTAGTAATGTCTCTGCACAGGCACCATTTTCACTGTCCATGATGTCAATATTCAAGCAAAAGATTTTATTGAGCGTTCACGTCTTTATTATTTCAGTATATATAATAGTTAAGTCAACACAGTAGTTCACATGGCGCGCGCGAGGTATTGTTTCGGAGCGTACGGATACACGTCTAGATAGATAGCCGTATGACGCATTAGTGAGCGCGCGGCGCGGCTTTACAGTATGCGCAAGTAAACGGGGCGGTATAGCGGACGCGGGGTCGAGGGAGCGTCTCCCCACACTTCTCAGCTCGGTGCTGCCCTCTACGTCGGGCTCATCGACCGCTCTCGCCCTCGCCGCCGCGGCATGCCACAACTCGGTACTCGGTACTGCTGTCAAGGTACGGTCACACTCTAATGAATAGTACCAAACGTTTTTGCGCCCATGTCCCCAGAATCTGCCATTGCCTTTCACATAACTCCTGACTACATATCGAATATTAGAAATTATTTGTAAAAACTCCTCAAAACCTTTGTACCATTGCTTACATCAACAATATAAATGCTATTTTTTTTTCTATTTAACTGTATAACACTACAAAACTCAAAAACCTATCATATTTGTATTGCACTCTTTAAAATATTAAAACCATGGAACATAATATGATCAAAGCATCCAGACGAATCCTACAAAAAATGTCACTTTCGACAAAATTATATTTGTGCGAACGTCTAGGTGCAAATCGATACAACGCCATATTTCACAGCAATTATATTGTACTATAAACGTGCCTGCACAGAATCGAAACGTCCAGCGGTTGTCGGTCCGTTAAACGGCCGCGCCTGCCGCGCCCGTCGCGCCGCACTCACATGTTACAGCGATGCGACGTGTCAACAATCATGCGGGCAAAAGATGTAAAGACACCTGTACCGTCCTTTACGGCCATTAGGTTAACTGTTAAGGCTTAATACGCTAAGTGAAACCGCGAAGTGTTCATACTAGCTGTTGAAATTAATAACATCTTGTGGGTGTCTAAGAATTTTTACTTAGAACGGAATTTGTATCAAAACTTATCTATTATAAAATATTTCAGAAATACAAATTAACAAAAAGAAGAAGGAGACTAGATTATTTTAACAACAACATGCGAGCAATTTAACTAGGTATAAATTGATGTTTCTCTTTCATGATAAACACTTACCACCAGTACCACTTAAAGTGTGATCTTTTCAGTAATATTGAATAAAACAAACCGAGAGTGATTGAGCTTTAATTATTTGCAATCGACGTGTGTCTGACATTTGTTCAAGGCATAATACACGGGTTTTATCCCGGTGATTCATAATAGCAAGACTAAAGTGAACGTTGCAATGAGCACGTACGTACATAGATTAAAACTGGGGGAAGTTTTATAAGGATGCAAGGAACGTTTTTCAAAATTATATAATACGGATCCTATTAGTGTATTACCTTATCCATATCTCGACAGATTATCTTATTACAAGGGTACCTTCTATAATAGGTAATAATACATTTTATGAGTAAAATTTGTGACTACAATAAGAAAAAATACTATAATTAGAAAAAAAAAAATACAAAAGCTTCTGAACAAATAACTTATAATATAGAAATTACAATAGTTTCATAAAAAACATGTTTTTTGCGTCGATATAAGACTAGTCCGTTTTAAGTATTCCAAATATTAATTGGGTTATATCTGTATTTTGTTGCATATTGTACACATTATTTGATCAGAACGCGTAGTCTCTATGCGGTCTGAAAGGCAAGAGATATAAGCGTACGTCGCCTACGCAGAACGCACAGAAATAGCTGCGCGAGCGCCGACAGTGACTCAGCACAGACAATGGACCTAGTGTCCCCGCTTTGACGACTTTCGCCAACACCTTCACGTCACCGACAATAACCAAAATAACAAATAAAATCTTATCTACTGTCTGTCAAATGTATAAAATAAAAAGAATCTTTATCGGCATCCACAAATAAATAAAATATTTTTGAATTGAGTGTTTGGAGTTACACACTGGAGATGAATGGTGTGTATTTCATGGGAACGGCATTCTTTCGGTACATAGTCAAATAAAAATTTAACCAGAAACCTGTTTTCGATCGTAAACTCTCGCAATGAATTTATATTGAAACTAGCTTTACCTGAGTCTTCATCCGTAGTAGACTTTTATCTGGGCTATGACAGTGAGATGCTTACTTTTCACATACCAAATTTTATTTGTACCAGTATATATGTCTTTGTCACTTTTTCTTATATCTACTCAATTAAAATGGCATTTCACCTTCAATAAGATATTAAAAATCCTGAAGTATAATTTTAAAGTATGTAACCGTAACGATAAATTACTTATTTTCTTAAAAAGTAAAGCTGAAAATAGATTTTCAAAGAAAGTACAAAGCTTGAAGGCTTTCATAGAATTTCTCATAAATAATTTTTGTCTTTTTCCACAAATTTTGGACACAATTTAACTGCAGTTACCATCAGGAATTCTTCGTAAGCAAACTCTTTCGGTCAATCTTTTCTCGTCAACTTTACAAATATTACCTGTCTACAATATTATTGAAGCCATAGAGAGGAACGGCCTCTTAAGGCCGAAATGTTAATAGACAAACAAACCTAACCTGTTTAGAAACCTGTATTTATATAATTTAAAAATAGGCTGTTTAAAATTACAATTATACCCAATGAAATCCAATATTTATTAGTTTTACTGAATTAGCTAAGTTGTCTTAGAATTATTGACATGGTAGAAGAGGTAAACACAACCATTAAAAAAAATAATTATTTACTGACGTAGGGCTATCAATACTATTAATCATTTATAATGATAATAATAGCTAGTCGGAATGAAATAAGAGATCACGGCTTAGATCCGAGGTCGTGGTTAAAATACAAATTCCATACATTACTTACGCTACTTTTCGTAGTCTTAATATTTTATTAGTATAAGTCATTGAATTGAATTGAATTTATGTTTAATTACATGAGACCTTTAAAACTACGGTTCAAATTAAAGGAGCGTCCATTTTGTTCAAGTCCAGTTAAACAGTCCTGTCAGGCGAAAACAGCTAGTGGCACATACTAATGGAATGCTAATTATTACGTCGCGTCACATATTAATTTAAGAACGCTCCGTTGTGCTGGCAGTCTACTAAGGCTCTCAATTTGTAACGGTTTGAAATTTCGAAGAAAGGAAGCCAATGCCAAAGACATGTGAAGTAGACAGTTTTGAATTTGGATGTGAATTTAACACAAAACAGTTACGCGAACTGTTTGCTATCCTCGCAAGTGAATTGCTATCTTTAGTGTAAATTGTTACAAATCGTTTGCAAAATTTATTTTTCACATAAGAATATAATACTTTAAATGTATATAATAAGTCTAAAAGACTATATGATATAATTTTAAAATACCCATCATCCACCGAAAACGACCACTCCAGATAACTTTGAATAAGAAAATTCATTTCGAAGAATCACTAATAAATATTAAATAGCAGACGTTTCGCTAAATATAAAATAAATAAAATAATTGAAGGATGCACGTTGTTTGGTCTATTTTCTCATGCCTGCCTTGCTAATCTCTTTATGCTGGTAAAAGACTTAATTGTAAGATATTCATTACTCAATTAATAAAATAAAAATAAGTTGTACCTCTTGGAGGTATTAATAAGAAACCTTTAATAGACCTTACCTATGGTCTAGTGATCCAAACTAGATATTGTGTTAAATCTAGACGAAAAGCAAACACAAAACTGTGTAGAAAATACATATTCTGAATATTTTACATAAAACGCAACAAAGGATATAGATGGAAAACTTAAACTCAAAAGATATGCAATTTACAAGCTTTCATATCAAGAACTTCAAAAGACTAAATAAATTTACAAGTCTGTCGAATAAACAACAAATATGGAAATACCGACTCAAAAGATAAAAGATATCAAAGGACTGGATTTAGTAAGATTGACTCTTACCTAGAAATAGACTAAGACTATGGAAATAGCATTTACCTGACAAATTTATAAAACTTTTCAACCTCACTTTGACTGTAGGAATGACAAAGGAGAACAATTTAGAGACTATAGTTTTAGAATCACAACATCAGAAAACGTAGGTATTTCTCGAAATACATGCCAAATTTAAATGAATAAAACTCGCGAAAATCTTAGATCTCATTATATGCCAAATTCTTAAAGATTATAACACCTACAAATGTTTAAAATAAAATTATAAGATACATTTTAAAGCAATTGCTTTATTTATAACAACGGAATTTTTGGAAAGTAATAAGATCGACAGAAGGTAGTAATTCTAATAATAAATGTCGTGAATTTCATATAATTAAAAAATCTCTGAGATTAGACTTATTGTCAGTCCATTAGATATTTTTCTCCGAGCCACTTTTAAAATATAATATTTTAAGGCAACTAATATTCGACTTGCAATGCTAAGGTATCCTACAGCCTTTATCGTGAATGTAGTTAAATTAAAACAAATAAAAGTTTCACGGTTCCAAGGAAAAACACTTTAAATTTTAAGTTTTACTACAATAAGTATAAATGCGACGGAAATTCTAATATATGTCTATACTTGGCTATTTATATTTAGTTTGCTCTAATAAGGGTTCTATTTGTGATATATCTATCATAAGTTGGAGATAATAAGTTCCATTATAAGGTTAATAACAAATTATATAAGTAATAACTAATACTATTTAAAGTAAAAATATTTTACACTGATTACTGAACATCGACGGGACTGGTCATACAACATTCTCGATACCACCACTCCCCTAATGGTTTTAATGTACACTGTTTATATTAGGTGTATTTTCTTAACGAATGTTATGGAATTCGATATCTGATCCCTTTTCATTATATTATTTTGTGTGTTGAGAAAACAGTATAAATAAACAAATAGGGCATTAAAAGTCAATGAGTCCTTTCCAAAACGTTAAACGAATTGTATAACAGAAAAAGTTATTGGGTACGTTAGATAATAACATCAAATTGTTACTGCATTTATATTTTATAGTTAAAAATTTATCTTACTTTATTACATGGACAATATTATGAGACGTTTCCTTAGGTACTACAATAACGTTTAATTTTCGTTTCTTACTTAGTTAGTTATAGTAACATAATATTATCTCAACTTATTTATTATTTCAATTCCCCAAGTAGGTATACTAGTACTAGACTGTTTGTAACAGGATCCTTTATCACAGTTAAGACAATCATCAAAGCAATTTAGAGGTTGACCAGTAAACTATATAGTTAATGTACTAGATTCAAGATAAATAGATAATTCTTTCTACACACCTCCAATATTGGTTGGTTCGTTTGTTTTAAATAAGGGCTTCATCCACGCAAAGACCACATAAAATATTACAGACTGTCGAAATCCAAAATGGATATCAATAATACCTACAACGTTTAATTTGCATCTAACGTATCCGTGGCTATTAACTGAAAGCCGCAAATTAGCTAATACAATAATAAGGACTTAACATCGAGTGGGTTTAATATAAGTCTGCAAACAGCACGAGCCATAGTAGTCAATATAAATTGAGAGTTTCCGGTTGCTTAATCCGAACCGACCCGTCAAAACGTTAATATCGTCAAACGAAATTGCTTGTGTTTATCTATAAATTAATTCATTAAGACTTAGTATACAATACGAATGAGCATCTTCTATTTATTTTTGTTATTCAAACTATTAATAATCATTTCACATTTTTAAGGCTTAAATCGAATCTTATCGAACACAACAAAGGGAGTAAGTAGTACATATTTATAAAATATGGCTCAAGAAAATCTAAATTTTAAAATAAGTGTAGCTTTGATAAATAGATAGATTATTTTAGATCATATGTTCAATTATACACTGTTGTATCGAAAAGATATATAAATGCTAAAGTTATATATATCTATTAATATATATGCCTTTAAAATTTATAAATTACACTCACAATAACATACGTATATAAATACATATACGCGCAGTCCATGGCTTTGCATGTGCACGTTTTTGAGACAAGAGAGTTGAGCGTGGGAACAGAGCCCTATAATATAGGTTGCTTTGCACCGAGATAATTTAGGCAGGAGTGTCTTGTAGAAATTTCGCATATTACCATGCGAAATAACTAACAAATTAACATGCGAAAAAGCTAACCAATAAACGACTGAAATAATTATTATCAATGTTATAATATTAATAAAACTAATACAGTAGAACAACTTATAAGAGAGTAAAAAGTTCAAGTTTAAATAAACGATTCATCAATAATGGCGAAACATTGTATGAGAATACCGAGGCCGTATATGATGTTGGCTTTTCTATGTAAACGATACGATCTTGTACATAGTAATACAAACAGTTTCCTTCGAGTTCATGAGCTTAAAATCACTGATACCACGTATTAATAACAGCGATGAAATTGATAGACTTGATAACACTCAAACCCCTACATGAAAGCAAGCTCTCAAAACGTTTAGTTGCTGTAATACAACAAGTTACTCTGTTATATGTCCCAGTTAATACAGGCGAAAAGAAATTACACAAGTGATTCGAAAACAAGCTACATTTTCAAAACTGTTACATTGACCTTTTTTGTGGGGGTAATTATTTATGACTCGTATGCACATACATAAACTTTTACTGAAATCTTTCCACTAAATACTTCGTTATTTATTGTATTAACACATAAGTAATGTAATTATTATTTAATAAGATAAAGAGAGGTATAAAAATCATATCACATATGTAGGCACATGGTGTTACCTAACCTATTCTAGGAAGTTCGCTTTTCCTGTCTGTAAAATTTTTCACTTACCGTTGGGTAGTTAATATCTATTAGTCTTGTACTAAAAATCTCTTCGGACAGTAAAACAAAAACAAAGAAATACCTAAATAATTATTTCAGTTGTGAACTTTTTTCTAATTTAGATTTACTTTTTTTTACTTTATTTAACGAATGACTTATAAAATTTCAAAATCCAACGTCGTTATAGTTATAATAATTTATATAAACATGGCCACTTGTGATTTTTAACTAATAGAATCTGAGGCTTGGTGAAGCATACTGTTAACGAAAAAGTCACGAATTAGAGTAGTGTGAAAAATTAAGTAAACAAGTGTTTCTCACAACTTTATTATTATTTCTACACAATGAATGTGTATAAAATACACCAGAACCTTTCCTTCGTAAGTATGTAAGTAAGTAGCTTTTAGAAAACAAAATAAAATATAAAGAAATTGCATTTTATTCCACAGTGATATAGTGAATGCGGTCCATCAATTTCATTGCAAATATAGGTAATGACAAATTACATACTTAGGAAGTAAATTATATAGGTCATTTAAGAACAAAAAACTAATTTCTACATTAAAGGAAGAAAAGGAAATAAATAGAATAATGATAAATTTCAAACAAAAGAAGAAAGTTGCTCAACAGATGAATATTATGTAACAGTTATATTTAAACTTTGTAAGGATGGTATACACTATACATTCAAAGTTTGCGGTACGCAATGTCGCACAACAAAGTTTGTGAAAACTTTATAAAAGCGCTGTTATATGTATAATATACATGTAATGCATATAATTTAACATATATGTTAATAGATATATATTTCTGATTACGTAAGAATAAAAATATAAAAAGAACCCAAATTAACCTTTTATTTTAGACAGCAATATGGCAAATAAGTATTTAAGGAACATTTGTCAAAAATATATGTTTTGCTCACTCCCTTTATGTACGTACCTTGGCTTATTGGTTACAAACATACTATCATATATACAAGAATATATATGTACATATACATTATGATTAAAAACAAAACCCTTCTTATTTTGTTTCGCCACAGTATGGTAAAAAAAAACCATATTGTTGTCCTCAATATAAGTTGTTTAAAAGAATTCACTTGTTTTGTACAAGCCTACATCTTGGAAACTAATAATAATAAGACTTTATGAATGTTTTATCTTTACAGTTTTACGTTGCCCGTGCGAAGGAGACGGACAACTTGTGTAAAAATAACAAGTCTTTACTGTTACTTTGAATAAAAGTGAGCCTCCAGTCAATAAATACAAATTCGATTTTTATTACACTTATTTTGTCTCTTTATTTAAGATTTATGAGTATTATGTAAGTATAACCCAAATTAAGAAACCCATAATGAGTAATGATCTAAAAGTATAAGGATTTAAAATTATTATAATATACTTTTTCTTTGTCAATATTTCTGAAATAGACGGAATAATAATACAATTGAATCGTATGGCCTAAACGTCTACAGCATCAAACAATAATTCACAAGACTCTTGAAATAACTTAAAAATTGGGACAAATTTATATCGATAAATAATTATTTTTAGATAAGTTCATCCAAAGAGCTTATGGGTATGGTCAAAATATTATGCTCACGTTGTAGGTATATCAAATATAAATAAAAAATAAACAACAGCAAAAGCATTCTAAGAATGTAGAACTGTAAGATGGGAACTTTCTCTAAAAGCCTTTAAAGTGTAGTTGAAAACCAATAAAGTGGCTAGCAGCGAATATAATAGCGTAGAGGCGGTCGACCTTGCTCGGTGTTTACATCGGTCGCATCGGTCGCAGGCGTCAGGGACACAACATACAAACAACCTACATACATATAAGATGCTAATGTTGTCTATACATTGTGGCGAGTATGCAGGACGCCGCCGGCAGCGTCCGGTTCGCCACGTAGCGTTTTGATCAAGCGATGCCTCATGGCACTGAACTCTTAACGCCTATTATGAATCCTGATCCTTAACCACTTATAATATGCACTATGTATTTTATTACTGCAGCCATTGAAGTTCGTTGGCGCCAAAGAGTGGAACAGTTTGACGATTCTGTTTTTTTATGAATGTCGGTAGTTGTTATTCGCTAAGTATTTACAATTAAATAGAACACATAATATTATAGTTAATACATGAAAATAAAATATTTTAAGCATTTTTAAACATTTTCTAGTCTAAACTTTTTAAACAAATTCTAGTCATACAGGTAATTATTATTTAATATTTAATATGCCATTCTAAATAAAATTATCAAGTGAGAAATGATTTTTTTTTAAATAATTTAAATAGGTCACTCTAAATCAATATTTAAGGCTGTCATTTGTCATCACATTAAATTATTTATTTTAAAATGAAATATAAACATATAGTCATTTCTTATTAAGTATTAATTGGGATATTAAGATCTGGAAAACGTATTTGACAATTTAAATAAAAATAATATTAAAATTTATTGATGAAATTAAAACAATGTTTCTGTATATAAAATTATACTTATTCTATTTTATAACCTGTCACTAGTTATCGAATAGTATTGTAGACCAGTACTATGCAAATACAGGCTGAAACTACTATCTACTCGACCGGTAAACTAAGATAACGATAAAAATGTATAGCTACACAGTTTAAAATTTGCAACCGTTACAGAGTGTTTTAGGGCGCTTAGCGTACCATTTGAGCGTCATAGCGTAGTCTTGGACGATTCTGTTTTGGATTAGAAACAACGCTATATAACGTGAGACGGGACGAGTAGAGCGGGTACTGCGAGTGCGATAGAGACAGTCGATTGCGGAATGCGGCGCACTTAATTTTTCTAACGGATTGCGGGTCGAAAAGCGCTCGTCGGTGAGGACCATGTAGTATCGCGGGGGAGCGGGCACGGTGCCGCTTGTAGTACGACGGCCCGCGTTTCTCGTAAAGGAAGCGACCCTGGCGCGGTCATTGCTCGACGCGGCCGCATTCCTCGCCTCCCCCCCGTCGACCCTCTGCGGCGCCTGCGCATCAATGAACGGCGCGCGCGCATACCCGCCTCCGCTAACAGCTATCTCTTTCAAACGGCAATCCGATTATGCCCTTCCTGTCCCATCGAAATAATTATTTTAATTCATTATTTAGACCTACACATTGTTTATAAAATAAAACTACTCGTACTTATCGAGCGGAAAGTGACTTTCGGTTATTTTTAAAACATCGTTAGAATGTATCCAGAGATATGATAAATATTTTTAAGTCAATGCTACTGAGGTTAATTTATAAGAATATATAGAATATATCAATGTCGTAGTTAAAACTTGATTTGGAATTAATGTTGGCTAAAAATATTATTTTACTAAAAACTAATCGATACCCGTGTTTAAGTGAATACCAATTATAGAATTCTAGGTACATGTGAATCTATCTTCACAAGCATTCTGCGAGCGCGCATTTTATTGAGATCAATGAACCAAATGTTAACTTTTGATAAGGATTATATAGGGATAAGATCTTTCACAAAATACCAATATCTTAAGCGTATAATTAAAACAATATGTAGTATTGTATTAGATAAACATGAGAAAATAATTATAGTTCCAATAGCATATATTTAATCTTTGGATTATTTTTAAGATTTCCAAAACGTTTTTTTCTTAAATAGTTTTAATTTGTTTTACAATACATTATCATATTATTACAGTGATATGACATGACATAGATCATTACTTACTTTTATAATTATAAGATATTGAATAACATAACAAAAAAACGTTTATATTATATGTACTATCTACAGCAATTTTTGATCCTAAAGTGTAATGTTAAAATTATTTTTATTTACATTAAAAATATAAATAGATATAATCTCTAGCTTTAAGAAACGCTACATTGTCAAGATTTTTAACTGTAGGTACTGCAATAACAAGACCATTATTTAGAAATTGGACTGGCTTTATTATAATATTTACTTAAAATACAGCAACTTTACTGGGACACAGACAAATGAAAGTTTTACAATAGGTCTGAAAAGAAAGTTGCTCTTTTTTATTACAAAGTTACGTTGTTCATTTATTGAACTAAGAGCGTAGTTTTTTTATTCGTGTTTACCAAGCTGCATTGTTTGACTAATGAATAGTTTTTTTTTAATAAAATAAAACAGTTTTCTTGAAATGTATCTAATAAATTACAACGCCTATGTCGGCTTAATAATAAATTCAGTAAATTAGTTAAAAGTCATCAGTTACTTTTATGAACATTGAATTGTAATTTAATCAAATAACTAATAGTAATATTTTTAATTTAGAAATATTTAATAACTTTGGTCCTCTAAGCTGCCGATATGCTTATGAAATATATACAAATATATACATATGTTGTTTTTAATTTTACATATGTATAACTAAATAACAGGGAACTGTGTACGGAGCCCTTATTAGTTCTGTAAAGAGAAAGGTGATCGAACTAGGCAATGGTGTGTTCGCACTTGAACTTTATTACCGTTTGTCTATCTCTTAAAATATATTTTTATACCTACTATCTGGACGACAAATTTGATAAATTTTATGAATATAGAATGATGTATGAACTATTAAATTCAAAATCAAATTCAAATATGAAAGAGAAACAATAAGCTAACCGTTAATGACAAATTTCAAATTATACCAATAAAACTTATACGATTGAAGATTAAGTAAAGATATTTTTATCTTATCGAAGCAAAAGCAAAACATTTTTGTATTCTTATACTTAAATTATTTATTACAATAATCCTGCTTAAATATATTGTTCCTTTTGAGAGATTTTTATAATTAATTGTGTTTAATTTCAAATAATAAGTATAAACGAAATATTATCATACAAAATGGATATTAAGTCAAACATGGTCGTTGGTCGATCGTAAATGGTTTACGGATGTCAGGAGCCTTCGAAAGCGTCCACAGGTTGTCCAACGGCTTTCCGTTTTGTGGCAAGGCACGGTCAACGCTCGGCAAACTGCCGGACTTACAGGTTGTACAATGTACATGGGGCATTGGAATCCGCGGGAGACAAAAAAAGAAACGCCCGCATCGCCTGCGCTTTTGCGCATCTCGACTACCGAAGAAACGTCTGGTGCATTAAGTCTGCATCAACTTATAAGTCACGCTATTGATACTGGTATTCTAAAACTAACGTGCCAATGAAAGTTCTGCCACGATTGTTATAGACAACTTAATGAAAACAATAGCCTTGTACTTAAATACATAACTTACCTTTATAACAACTGTTACTTTCTTTTGCAATGTGAGAATCATAAAACTGAGTTTTTATGGTTTCGCTTAAAGTTTAACTGCTTAGTATAACATAATTATGTTTTGAACATTTCCTTACATCATTTCATTCTGTTGTGTAATGTTGGAATATGGGTCTGCTTTTGTTCTTTTTCAAATGTTAATTTTGTTATTAATAACAGGGCTAACTTTTTGAAAACTTTTTTGACATAATAAAAAATGTTGAAGTTGCTAAACTCTTAACTGCTTCAAAAAAAGCTATTATGTTCTTGGAATAATACTAACAGTATTATATTTTCATTAAAACTTTTGAATTTAATCTAAATGTAGCTAATAACCTAATATTGTAACTTAAAACTTTTTATAATGTTGTTTCGGTCTGTTTTAATGAAAAATATATCCTAAAAATAATATTAAAGCAAGTCACGTGTACTTCAATTAATCAATTGTTACTTAATTCTATTATGTTCTATATGTTTGTTGTTTGTATTATTAAATATAGTTCACTCGGTACTAGCCCAAAATTTTTAAGTGGAACTACAAAAACACATTAGTACCTTCTTAAACAGTAGAAATTGTATCGTGTCAAGCACAAATCATAAGTGTTATTTGGTCATCATTTGTTTCATTTATATGTTAATTACCAGAATAAAGAAGATCATTGTGAAGAAATAGTTGTGTATTCTTACTATAAACAAATTTATTACGATACAGATAAAATTTCAGTCATGATGAACAAATGTTTCATTTAGTATAATCACTAACTTACGCATGTTGTATGCGTTTCTGTATTTCAGAAGCTCTTTCTTGCGTGACGTGTTCTTGGAAGTCAAATTTTAAGAGCTAAATTCTTATTATAAGTACCGACGTTGTCCCGCATTCCAGGGCCAAATCTTCCTTTGCCTTTTGTAATTTGGGTTGACCACTCCCCATGCCTTTATGCCATTGACCCCAAATCGCAAAATTATAAAGTTATCGATATTTTTTATAGGATATAGGTATAACTAATTAATTTTTTTTATTTTAAAATAGAATAATTCTTTCTGGTTGCTTAACAATTTATAAAAAGGACCAGGACGATACAAAATGATGTTTTAGAAATAAACATTTATCTATACACAATTATTATAAAAATTTTGAATGTTGAAATCACAATTATTCTTTACTTTTTATTCAAATCCAACGAATGTAAAATATTATTTTTATATATATTTATTGTATGATTAATATTAAGAATGAATATTTCACTAGTGGTACACAGTTTTGTGCCACCTTAGAGTAAAATTGTTTATGGAATAGAATAAAATATCATTCAAGACTTCATATGTAATATAACGTAGCTAACATTTTTTCATAAAATTAGCTACCTAAATAAAGCGTCTTTTAAAAATTTACAGTTGAATTACTAAGTGATATTGTAGACACTCAATATATTGTAGATACTCAAAAATCAATATTTGGTACAACTCATAAAATTATAAAAAAAAAAATTGAAAAAGACATTCAATTTCTAAACAATATTATCTTTTAAATAATTCTATGAAAGTGTCACAAAATTATTTTTTTTTTTAATATGCAATATGTATTTTCTTTAAGACAGTGTGGTAATTAGTAGAAGTTATATATGTATATCTAGTATATTCGAATGGTAATAGTGTGATGTTATCAGCTTGTTAAAATATTGCATTGGAAATGTCAAATAGGTTCCTGTCCGTTTTTTATTCGAACAAGGTGTGTAAGAAATTTCAAAAAAATATATATAATAGATAAAACGAATACTTAAGAAAACGTCTAAATCGCTAAATTGTGGATTGTAGGTACGTTAAAGGCGTTGCAATAAATCATGGATAAAAATACTTAATAGTCAAATTATTTTATGTAATATGTTGTGTTATTGATAAGTAAATAGCATATTTATTTTCTTTTCTTATTAGCAATAAGCACTCGCTGCTATTTATTATTATTTATAATAAATGAACTTCCATTGCTAATAATAAAAGCAAAAGAATGGTGCCACCTAGATTTAAGCGAAATCTGTTAGAAACACCCTGTATATACTACTGTTACAAATTTTGCTTCAATATAACATTTATGTAAGAACATAGACAAAAATAACTACAAACGAATACCACTATTACCTATTAATAACTAATTTAATTTGTCGTCAGAATAACGATCCGAGTTACGAACTTAGATACTCCTACAGAAATATATTAAATTAATGCATTTAGCATCTGCACAGCTACAAATGCAATTAAGCAGTCTCATTACAGCAGAAAACATGTTTAATTATTCACATATTGTAGAACTGTATTAACTAATTACTACGCATAACAGTATTGTCACTGTCTGTACATAGCTGCATTTAGAATTACTTTATAATAATTTAATCATCCATAATACGATATAACAACAAATGAGACAGAAAATAACTTTAACACTCAACGAAGCAGTTCAATATTCTTAGTACAAGTTTGCATTTATAACCTCAATACCAACAATTTCAATGTGTTTCATTCATAAATCATCGGCGATAGGAATTTATTACATGTCTGAATGAAAACCTTGAAACGATCGGTGTTTACGTTGACAGTGTAGACTCATACCTACAACGGGCAAAGAACATTGATACATGTTACGCATTGTTTTTATTCAGCACCCTCTATAGCTACTCGTTTTGCTAGAGACAAATCGATGAACATAACAAAATTAGCTGCCTTTTTTATGTTTAAGTTTTTTTCTGCTATTTATAGTGTTAAAAAATTATACCTAACCAAGAGCCTTATTATACCCAATTAAATATCCTAAATATACTCCACACATTACTATTATTAGCCGATTTACTTAGGAAAAGTATAAAAGTATTCATGATTACAAATGATCAGTTTGCTGAAGCCTGCTTCCAAAAAGAAGTCATTGACCTAACATCGGATATAGATATACCCATACTTTTCCGGTACAGACAAAACACGTATTGAATTCAAAATTTTGTAACCTTGCATTTTAGAATAACGTGAAGAATAAATTATATTATCATACACTTGAAATTTTTAATTCGTATCTAATTTAACATTTTCTTTAGTATTTAACGTACCTATTAAGTTTTGGGACTAGTCACACATTTATGAAATAAATCCATTTTATCCTATCCTACCTAATGTACCTACCTAAAAAATAACCTATCCTACCTAATAAAAATATAAGAAAAATTCAAACTGTATTGTAATTTCTCATCACTGAAATAAATTAATATAAATATGCATTTTATTTACAACAGCTGACGCGTTCTTTTTAATAACAAATAATGCAACAGGCAAAAAACTGGCAAAAAGAAAATAGACAGCGAAGTTGCTACAAAAACATCAAGCGTCAGCGCAAATTATTATAGCGTAATAAGAAAATGGACGACCTACTTCGATTTAAACTTCGGTCAGCTCGGTCATCCAGAAAATCAGCTAGTGGATCATGTTATGAAGGAGAAGGATGAGGTGGCAAACGAGTACACGTGCTCGAGGCTCAAACGAGAGTCGCGTTAAATCGAGGCCGGCCATCTGGAGGTAGCGGTGACCGCTATAACGAATGGCATTCGAATCGAACGCAATCTTAGAGTTCCGTGTGTAGGTGGGTCGGCTGATCTCTCCGACGGCAATGCACATCCGGCCCGGTCGATACGGGCGGCGACATGCGCGCTGCCGCGGCGTCCCTCGTCGGCCGTCGCGACTCCCTCCCGTCCCCCACGACCACCGCTCCCAAGTCCCAACCACCTCCTCGCGTCTTCAAGCAGCCCCCTCGCATCGATTCGTGGGCCTGATAATTATTACATTGCGAAAACCTATCTTCCACCCACAGAAATGTTCCCGATGTCATGGGAAATATATCATATCGGAATAAATCATTATTATTATGTGAAAATCAGTTGAATTGGCTTAGATGTTTTATAAACAATTAATAAATATATAGATCATCTAATGAAAATTCTAATTTTTGCATATTCTTTTTTCGTTTTTGGTTCATTAAATTATAAAGAATATTCAATAATACATCAAAGAAAAATATAGATACCATTTGTTTAAATTAAAGCACTCTTTTACCAACTGAATTCAATTCTCCTGTTTAATATGTTCTAAGTAATGTTCTATTTACTGTAAATTATATAACAATATAAAATAATAATTCCTAAAACTTAGACAATATACCAAATTTTGTGTAATTTATATCTCTCATTTTTATAATTTGAGGGTGTGGCAAACAGATTTTCACAATGGCTGTGTATTTCAATCAATATTATTATATCTACATTATTATTTCTATAGGTACAGTGAGTATATATAATATTCCTCTGTTACTATGATTATTGTTATATAAACATAGCACATATTTTAATTTATTTCAATAAATAGATTGTAAGTATTTAAAGCTATCCATTATTTGAACTCTAGACTTTTATTTCGTATCTATATTTATTTATTGTTGAGCTAAAATTTAAGTTAACCTTACTCTACACTATTCATTATAATGCTAGAGTTATAAGAATACAACAAATTAAATCTCATACTGATAGGTATCAAATTCTTGTGCACGATATTAAATGACCAAACATAATTATTAATATATTATCAAAATAAATATCTGAAATATTTTGAACCAACCTAATTCAACCGGTGTTAAAATATGTATTAATGAAATGTCATGTACGTAAATAGTTATTGGTTTTCTCAGAAAATCACTTAACTGACATAATTATCCGAACAGACTTACGAGCAATATGTTCTATTCAAAGCTCTAACAGGAAGCGTCTACGTAGTAACTGATACTTAATCCATATTCAATTTCGTCGAACGTACACTTCGCTATTAACTAATCGCATATAATCTCCGCCTTTCAATCCGCATACATTCTAAAGTCTGTAATCCATAGACTAGACTAGAAGATTAATAGGTATACGTGTACGCCAAACACGTCTAGGATTGAATACTGGCAAATTGGTAATAAACATCAATTTCAAAGCAATTAGTGGATTCAATATCATATTGCTCGCAATTCCTTTGACATCAAATTGTTCTGAAACTAGATTATCCAATACAAATGTCGGATAGAAATATTATATTAAACATTTTGCACCTTAGGTAAATATATTTTGCTTACATATTTCAGTTTTGACTGCAGTAAGTTTGATAATTGTAATTAAACTAATACAGATTCTAAATATATATAGAATTTAAATTTGATGTTTTGAAATTTGCGTAATTTCAACACATTTATAAAATTGTTTATAATTCGTAATATATTTTTAAATTTTATTTTTAATCTTTTATGTTCTCAATATTACTTGAAAGTAATCCGAATAATACAACTGAATGATGAATTGTGTCCATGTTTAATTATAAAATGTATTCATAGATCCTTTTTTTGACTCCTTTATTTGTTCAAAATTGGATTTTTCTCATATAAACTTTGTATCTTTCCGCCTATCATAAACTCAAAAATTAGCACTTATGGGATATTCAATAAAAAATTAAAGAATGAGAAATATTCACAACTCCTGCTACATTTATAAATGGAATACAATTAATCTCGTAGGTACTGAACAAACTATTCCGAGAAAAAAAATCTCTAAAATTCATATCTTTCACTTATTATAAAATTTAACAAACAATAGAATGCAATATACAAGTTATTATCTAGAAAAATGGATATTCTCAGAAGACTTTAAAATATATGTAGGCAAATAAGAAATAACTAGACCAAAATAGATTTATGATCAAAATACAATTTCTAGCCGGAGCTTACCAAATTGAGATGCAACAGCGATATTACGATATTGTGTTCCATTAAATTAAACGTCGATCGAAACTTGCGTCTAGTCACTCATGAATCCTATTTAGAACTAGTGAGACCTCTCTGAAATTGATATTTACTAAATTGAAATTCTAGTAACAGTTAAATCAAAATTATTTTCTTTAGAATTCTAAGGAATTCAGGAATAAGGTTTTTTTTATATGTTTAAAGTAATCTAAATTTGGTTTTAGAGAAAAACATGTAAAATAATTAACAAAATTTATACAGTTAGAAAAATTACCATACAAAACTAATTATCCAATATGTATAAATCTTTAGTAACGTCGGTTTCATGCAATTTTAATCCGTTTCTGTTTCTTTTAAAATATATAATTCCATCGTATAAATAAATTCAATACAATCAGCTACTTGTAAATGTTCTGTTAAAGTATCTTATCTTATTAAAATGTTAACTTTTCATTGTGAAGATTAGCCCCCGCATAGAGGCGTCAGTTGTCGATTTAAAAAAAACGTAGGTATAATATGTACTTAGTTATTTTACATAAACATTATTATTCTCCCTCCAATATCTCAAAGTCTATACCGCTGAACTCATCGATCTTCTGCAGATATTAGGAAATAATCAAACATTTAACAAAAGTTTCAATCCCTACATGTATAAGAAAAACCGAAATTATAACAGGAGTTATTTATATTTCTTTACAAAAAAAAAAAAAAATAACAATATTTATTTTAAAATCAAATAGGTATTAATGTTAAATTAATTATTGAAAGTCGGCTGCTTTAAATTTATTTTAACCTTTTCATTATTATTGTTTGTACCTTCTATGTAGGAAACCAGCATACAGAAAAAAGTACGTTCTAAAAATAAAATGTGCATAAGTACCTATTTTTGTCAACTGGTAAAATACAGCAAAATGTATTGTCCCAAATTCCTAAATTGTAAATACTTATAAATAGTATAAATATTTTTGAGCTATATAATATTGTGAATTTTTCTTTTTTAATAATTAAAACTATAACTAAGACATTGTTTCAAACGGGAACGAGTTAAAGGATTGTCATCGAGTCAATAGATAACTTTTATCTAAAACTAACTGAATACTTTTTCGACATTCCAACTAAGTTAGATACAAACAGGATTTCGATCTGTAAGAGACACAGGTATCTATGATTTAAAAACTGCACTAGTTCTTTCCTCGATTTCAAGAAGAAACAAATAATATGCTGAAGATACATTTTTACATAACTACCTATAAATTGCAAACTATTCGTTTCAGTTACTAAGTGGCGGCGCCATCTATCGTTCATGTCACAGCAATATGTCTACACCAAGTTTGCATCAATCATCACACTACATACGGAGAATTAATAATTTTTCATTCATAAATCTTCACACATGATAGTTTTAACGCAGGTTATTAAACAACGGAATAACAATAAAAATCGAAAGGCTTCGTATGTAGTATAATTATGCAATTTTTTTTCTCGCAGGAACAACACGGATTATTTTATGCTGATTTTTGAGATGTATCTCTAGCAGGTTTATTAATATTCATACAATAGCGTTTGTGTGAAATTGTAAGAAAACCAAATAATCCATTTTTCCATTAAAACAAGCTAGTGCGCTTATAATATTAAGTAGTATAATTCGTAACTATTATAAAGGTACCAAATCTGAATATGAATTATTTAAATACAGGGGAGATTGTGCTTTAATTTATAAAAATAAATGATTTTTGGGACTAAATGTGGGTAAGTAATTTATATAAAAAAAAGTATTTTATGTATGTATAGGTATATACTGAGTGCTATAAAGTCAATGGTGACCTAGTGGTTAAAGGGCCCGCCTCTCGTTACCGAGGGCGCGGGTTCGATCCTGGCCCGGGCAAGTACCAATGTGATTTTTCCGAGTCATATGTACTTTCTAAGACTATTTAGACATCACTGATTAATGTTGATTCCCAAAAGAGGGTTGATGTCAGGCAGGTGGGCCGGTCGTAAAAACAAATAGCCAAAACTATACACAACATGTAAGACAGACCCTGGCTATAGCTGGGAAATTGCCAGGTAGAAGAAGATATATTGAGTGCTATGAAAAATAAAAAACATGAAAATTATTCTAATGGGGGTTTATACCGGGTCTTAATTCAATAAATTGAAATTGATTATGATAATTGGAAATTAGTAGTAGACAAGTTATCCAATCATAAATTTAAATTACAATCGGCCTTTTGGAATACAGAACTAATTATAACACTAACTCATGATCGTTCTTAAATAAATAAATCGAAGAAAATTATTTTCATTTTGACACCATCTCCGTGGGTGGCTATAATTCGACATACGCTAGTTGGAAGGAAAAAGTAGCATATTTAAAAACATAAAAATATAAGTATTTAGAAAAGTAAAATTGTTTTTATACTTCATTACAAATTTAAAAAATATATGTCTTATATTATATGACATGGCAAACGCACATACAGACATGCCTAAAATTTTTATTTTTATGTATTACTAGCTTTTGCCGCGACTACGTCCGCGTGGAATAATGACTTCTGGCAGATTTTTGGTTCTTTCCACATAGTTCTCGGAATGGTCGAGTTCCCGTAGAATTTTCAGGAAAAGACCTATGTTTTTTTTAATTCACAATGAAGTACTCTTAACCAACAACAAATTTATTTGTTTATTTCAATAAAGATTAATATTATTATGTTGATACAACTTAAACAAATTATTTCGACCAAATTAGGTACCATAAAAACGGTTTTTGTGAGTTAATCTTAAAAGATAGACATATACTGTCGCGGACTGTTTTTTAGATCATTAAAAGAGCTATTATTCCTTAACACATATTTTTTGTGTATCTTGAACCGTATTCACGGCGCACGCAACGGAAGGCTTCAAAGATGAAATAATTTCTCCCGTTTTTTACACATTACCCACTATATCTTTGCTCCTATTGGTCGTAGCGTGATGTTATATAGCCCACAGCCTTCCTCGATAACTGGACTATCTAACACAAAAAGAATTATTCAATTCGTACCAGTAGTTTCGGAGATTAGCGCTTTCAAACAAACAAAGAAACAAACAAACTCTTCAGCTTTATAATATTAGTATAGACTATAAGCACATAAATACTAATTTCTAGAGAAAACATAATATGAGAGGCTTTCTTTACAATTTGGTGTCTAGATTTATCCTCGGATTTGACTGCATTATGAGTTGCATTCACTAATATTTGTTTTTACTATATTTTAACACATACAAACAGTTATTTCAACTATTTGCTCCTATTTTTTATCGATTTTTCCCTCACATCCCTGATATATAGCCTGTACCATTTGTTTAGAAAGGTATACATAACAAATTTAAGAATTTCTCGGACTAAGATTTAAACTTTTTGTAATTTTAGTATTTTTTTTAAATATAGGTATATAAAATAAAGTATAAACAATAAAAAGATATATTCTATTAACTTTCCTACATCTTAATGTAAATCTGAATTGCCATTAATGAAATGTTTTCCATCAACTTCGATTATAATTTTATATACGTTTTAATAGATATTTATATAATAACTTCTGTATAATATTTTGATATTAAACATAAATTCTAATTTTTAACGTAGTTCAAGGATATCTAAAAAATATTGCTAGTCTGTAGTACATGGTATCACCAAGCTGTAATATAATCTGTGACAATCTGTGGTTACCCTGCCATTCAGGGAAGCCAATTTATGTTTTGATTGTGTATGTACTTCGTAGTTTTATTTATTTCATTCGCTGAAATTATAAAAAATAAATAAATATACATAAATTGTTTAATATATATAGTAGTGAAAATTTATCTACAAAAATGACCTGGGGTTTTGTTACTTGTGGTCCAAACGAGGCATTAGTGGTATCTGGTAAGCTGATTTTAAATACTAATTTCTATATAAGTTTGTATCAAAAAACTACATAAATAATAGCTATTTTAAATTGCAATGTCTTTTGCGAATACTCTTACAGCAATTTCAGCACCTTTTTTTATTTAATAGTTGTTCTTCATTTCCAATGACCACTTATCCTAATAAGAATTACTTGCGGCGTAAAACTATTATAAAAAAATCGAAATCCAAAAATATTTTAATAAGAGAATCTTACAAATCAGTATTTATTTTATGTGTACTAGATTTGAGGATAAATGTTTCTAAAATTGTATTATTTTTTCTGTTTAAAACTGCTTATGTTACTAACATGCTGAGCTAATATATACATAAAAGGTATTTTTGTAGTATGTGCTATAATAATGAATGGTATATGTTTAGTTTGAACACAAATATTTACATTTCTTGAGCAAAGCCCAATGTCAAACCATTATCGAAGATATCTATTGCCGATATGACATTTTGAAATAAGAACCTAGTTTAACAAAAGTAATCTTTTAGTTGTAAAGTCAAGGAAGTGCTATTATTAACTCTTGTATATATAGCATTTTTAGGTATATGATATACAGTTGTCGATAAAATAACCAATGTGTTTTCCTCAATATCCAAGCCCCATTTCCAGCTTTATGAAAAGCTTATACATATACTCTTGGACATCACATTGTTGTGTGAATTTAATTTTAATTGCCCATGCACTTTATTATTTCTGTACAAGCGAACACATCTAACATATTCTTTATTTAAATTATTTTGATTTAAAATGGTACCAAAGCAAGGAGAATACTGTGTAAAATAAAAGTTTAATAGAAATGTATTATTTTTCTAAGATATTTCATATTGGTTGGAAAGGATCTATTTTACATTATTCCTCTATGAGTTGTGTATATATATCATATATTGCAAATTAATGTCATACTGGCTGCGAGTGTTTCTATATTTTGTTATTAACCGACAAGCATAGCATGTTTCATTGTGTCATATATTTATAAATGTTTTAATTGACATTTTTGATCTGTGTTATTGATGTAAAATAAAATTTATCAATTTATATAAAGTTTTTTGCTTTGTAATCAGGATGTTGTTACTCAAAGCCGCTGTTGGTACCGGGGGGTCGAGCATTTGTGTGGCCGGCCCTACAGCGTGTGCAGCGGATATCACTGAACACTATGACACTCCAGGTTGAATCACCAACTGTGTACACAAGCCAGGGTGTACCAATATCTGTTACAGGAATAGCACAGGTACAAGTGACTCAGGCATTACATCATCTCATACTGTTAAATGTTAAATTGGTCCTATCAAGCAACTTTAATGGGACTATGAACTAAAAGGATAATGAAGCAAATTGGATTAATGATTAAAAATGAACAATGCTTTAATTATTATATTCGTTTTAGGTTAAGATTCAAGGTCAAAATGCTGAAATGTTACTCTCAGCCTGTGAACAATTTCTTGGGAAATCTGAACAAGAAATTCAACATATAGCTCTTGTTACCCTTGAAGGTCATCAAAGGGCTATTATGGGTTCAATGACTGTCGAAGAAATATACAAGGACAGAAAAGTGTTTTCAAAAAAGGTACGAAAAGCATAACATATTAATTTTATGATTTCAAAATTATTCTATTTATATCTAAGATACAATGATAAAATCAAGGTTGTATGGCATTTTAAATGTCTTATTTCTTTCAGGTCTTTGAAGTGGCCTCTAGTGATCTAATAAATATGGGAATTACAGTTGTTTCATACACACTGAAAGACATCAGAGATGAGGAGGTATGTTAATTTATAAGTTAACATGGTTACCTTGAAATTACTTCCATTATATTTTTGATATTATGTAGTTACATATAGATAGTCATTTTTTGTGTATATACTTTGTCACTTTTAAATATAATTATCTATAAATAAGGTATGTATAAAATTAATAACTAAAAATATTGCACTTTCAATGTTTATAATGTTATAAAGAATAATATTGTTAATATCACAATGTATTAAAATTCATCCATACTGTTTTGCAACACTAATTTTACTCTTAAATTCTTAACACATTTAATATTTCATAGTACCTACATACATTAATGTCTCGTCTAAATAGGATGCATGTATTTAATGAATCTATTGTTTCCTACTTGAACAGGGAGCTAAGGTATGTGAACAGAATTAATGCACTTCATATGCTTGTGTTATATGAATATATTAATTTAAAGGTAGAATAATAAAATTATCTGCTGAACTCAGTGTATATAAAATCGATATTTTGTATGACATACAAATTGGTTATTAGATAATGATGTTTTTTGTGTAAGGGCTTTCATTATTTAATGTTTAGGCAAGGTGAGTAAATATTTTATTGATGTATGCAAATCGATGCCTATCACGGATCATATGTATGTATATATAATGTTGTGACTTGTGAACTGTATTTATCGTTTGTATGTGCGTACAAGCTATCAGAATTGTATGCAATTGACTGTTTCCGCAATGTTTGTGACTCACGCGTTTTCCCTGAAAAGTTAATAAGCTTATTCATAAATCCTCTAAATACAAAAAAACTAAAGGTATATAAGTAATTAAATAAAATAATATTCGCCTGTCTGTATTTATTAATTTATAAAGAGACTTTCCAAAATGTATATTTTCATTTGACCTTTAGCTCCAAGGCTCATTGAAAGCCGATAGGCAATCATAGCCCCGCCTATGTTTACGACGTAATAACGCTCAGGGACCGCCTCACTTTGACACAGCGTGTTAATTAGGCTTTTGTCCACTTGTTTATATGTTTGTACACTAACATTGCACTATGTTCATATTTCGAACTTTATTACAATTAATTATATTAAAATTAATCTGTAGCTTTTTCATATGCAAATTAACTAAGTGCCATGTGTACTTGAGCTATAATAATGGAGTGTGAAACAAAATGGTTTTATAAAATATGTGTTGAATTATACTAAAGCTAAATTTGTTTTATTGGATGATTAATTGTATCTTTATTGTTTTGCCAAGTAAAAGGATGCCACACAACATTCAAAGTATATTAATATAACATTTAGTGACAAATTTATTTATCTTCTAAGGGCTACCTTAAAGCGTTGGGTATGGCCCGTACAGCTGAAGTAAAGCGAGATGCACGTATAGGAGAGGCAGAGGCTCAGGCTGAGGCGAAAATCAAAGAAGCTATGGCAGAAGAACAAAGGATGGCGGCGAGATTTCTTAACGACACCGAAATAGCAAAGGCGCAGAGAGATTTCGAACTAAAGAAAGCGGCTTATGACGTTGAAGTACAAACAAAGAAGGTAAATAGCATTTGTCATGTTATTATCCTTCAAATTATTTATGTTCAATAAGCTATCAGGTCTATTGAAATTTGTGAACTTAACACTGTTCGGACTTTGAAAGATTTGACTGCTTTATCAGAAATTAAAAAAATAGTTTTTTACTAAAAAAGTTTTTATCAAAAACCGTTAAATACAAGCAAAATTTATTAAAACTTGACGTGGTATAGAGTAATTTAATTTGGTAATATAGAATTACCTATTAATACCGACTATTAGTCTCCATCAGACTTTTGTAATAACGTTTAACGAACAGCACCTTTGATCCAGTACATTTTTCTGCTTCCCTGTATTTCATCTTATACATTTTTCTGCGCCCATGTTGAACAGTTAATGTAACAGTTTAAATTTTGTTACACGTTTCATCACATATTGATAATAGATCTTTTAAATGTTTAATACAATTTTTTCAGGCTGAAGCCGAAATGGCCTACGAATTGCAAGCCGCTAAGACGAAACAGCGCATAAAAGAAGAACAGATGCAGATAGCTGTAGTGGAACGTACACAAGAGATCAGTGTTCAGAAGTGGGAGGTCCAGCGACGCGAAAGAGAATTGGAGGCAACCATACGCAGGTTACATTTATATGGATATTGGAAATACTAGTCCTTGTCTGTGTCTTTGTCCATGTATTCTTGGGAATTAGGTTCAGAGAGAAATGAATAGTGTTTAAATATAAGACACGCTGACGAGATGGCAGCGACATCTATTGTCGGAGTCGTTTGACACAATACAAATGTTAGGCCTTTTCCCCGTTAGAATAGATAAATTATATTTCTGGAATAATTATGTCTTATTGTGATGTCTAAGCTGCTTTACTGTAGAATTTCCTCATAATCGGTTGGGTAGGTTTTGCGTGAAAGAATATATATAACACAATTTTACTTACAGTCTGGTACTCGATGATCAAATTTAATATTTAAGGGGCTATTTATATGTATATTGTAAGTTGCCAGAGAAATCCTAGAGGCCAAATATCAATCATCCATCCAGCATGCATGAGCATTAAGCGCCTTTTTAATAATGTTTCATTTAAATGCGCCTTTTTAATAATGTTTCATTCCCATAATTTGTCCAATGAAAACTTTTAATAATAATTCACATCTAATTGTACAAACGATTGCAGAATAATGCCAAAAACATAAGAATATTTGTGTTCTTTGTTGTCGCTATTTAAAGTGTCTGGTAAAAATTCTGCCGACATAAGTTTCTGGCAGCATTAATATAAAATTGTTTACAATATTTGAAACAACATACCTCATAAATCAGACCTCAGATTATAAGTAAAGCGAGTAAAATTTTTACTTAGCACCTGGTACCTAGAATGGCCCGTCGGTATAAGGTAGCAGATTTGTGTTACTGTAAACACTAATTTTTACTTATTATATACTAGCTTTCCGCCCGCAGCTTCGCCCGCTTGGAGTTCGATTATATCGCGTTTCCAAGAGAACCTTTCGAAAGTCTGGGATAAAAACTATCCTATGTTCTTTCTCAAGGTCAGCTCTATCTCTGTACCAAATTTCATTAAAATCAGTTCAGTGGTTTAGGCGTGAAAGCGTAACAGACAGACAGAGTTACTTTCGCATTTATAATATTATTAGGCATTCTTCGTCTGTAAGAAAACAAGTAAGGTCTGGAGTCCCTGAGCTCTTACTGGAATAGTAAAATAGGGTTTTTTTTCTCATAGAAGTGACAGCCTTATTATCAGTGTATTTTTGATTTTACCGTATGCCTTTATTGAAATTTTGTGTCTTACATTGCAGACCGGCAGAAGCTGAGAAATATAGATTGGAAAAACTGGCAGAAGCTCACCGATTGAAGACAGTTTTGGAAGCTGAAGCCGAAGCTGAGGCTGTCAAAGTTCGTGGGGAGGTTAGCTAATATTATATATTAATAATTATTATATTATAATACCTAACATAGTGTTTAACAAGCAAGTTAAGCTTTTACAGTTTTTAATTATATTGATTTGTTACTGAGACATCAAATTCATTATTTAGTAGAATTAGTAGAATTTTAATAAGAATAAGAATTTCTAACTTTGTTTGTTAGAATAAGTTACCTGAGATAAATTATATAACAACTATATAATACGTAATCTAGGTGTATATTTTAATATTTTTTGTTTATAATAATAACTCTTTACCATTATAAAGTACATATTGTTGCAAATTAATATAAAAAATGTTTTATATTCACAAATCTTAAATTACTTAATATTAATGTTCCCGACAGAAAATGTTTAATTATGATGTGTTGTTTTTCTTTAATACATTCACACAAAACATTACGTTTACTACATAGTAAATTCGTTAAAACCATTGTTGGCGTCTCTACTTTTATTATATAATATTAATAAAAATATTTGTTTCAAGGCTGAAGCATACGCTATTAAAGCAAAGGCTGCAGCTGATGCTGAGCAAATGGCGAAAAAGGCGGAAGCATGGAAGGAGTACGGCTCAGCTGCTATGATTGATATGATGCTGGAGACATTACCTAAGGTAACACACACATATACACACACACACACACACACAAACCTATAATCAATAAGGAGTATTCATACTATTTTCATAAAACATTCATATAAGATAAAAGTGTATGTATATTTTTAGCATCGAGTTACTATTATATAGAAGATAGTAACTTGATGACAAATTGCATGATCTATATAATTAATCAATTCGATTGCAATGTACAAGGTTTCTCAGAGCAGCTGAAGTAACGACTCATGTAACAAGTGTTTTTTGTGCCTGGAGTCCCTCCGCCCAGAAGTTAAACTTCAATCAATGAACCCACATACAATACGTAAATAATTTCGCTGCAAGTATATTACTTGATTGTTAACATATTAAATTTCCTTGCAACTCAAGCTGATAATTGCTTTCATATAAATTTATACATCGTTATGAAAATATCTCTTAGTAAGATTGCTTTTTCAGCGTAGAGCATTATAAAATCAGTATAATAGGAAGACTCACTCGTTACTAAAACAGACTAAAACCAGAGTGAATTCTATATACTTTATTTTAAATATATTTATTGGAAAAAAAGTAATAACACTATTCAGAATTTATTTACTTATACAACACAAACCACATTATTGTTATAATTTATATATAATATTATTTATTTATTTATATATATGAGGTAAATACAATTTGTTTCGCAACTTTTTGCCACGCAGTCGGTCACTACTTTACCATCCAAAGGCATTTTTTGTTGTTTTATCAATTGTTTTGAAACTACAAACATCGTTGACCTTATATCAGATAATATTTCTCTTTTGCAACATTGTATTTTTTAACGGCTTGTTTTAATTCATAAAATAAATTCTTATACCAATTACCCATATGCAAAAATGAAAAAAAAATATTACCCATGTTTAAAAATATATTCTACTATAATAATTTTTAAAGTACGTCATACGTAATAAGTATCAAGATATTTATAAAATATATATTATGCAAAATGTTATTGTTTAAATATGTTTTATAAAATGAAAACAGTCCAGAACAAACGAGAAACAATAGTTGATAGCATCACGTTTATTATAATGTAATTGTTATGTGGTAGTCGACTCAAGGGCGTCATTAATTTTACTTTAGTATTGTCTTTCCTTCCTCTATATGGATTTTATGTTTCCATATCTATATTATATTATTATGAGTTTCTTTCTATATAATAATAATAATAATGTGAATCAAACTTCAGATAACTCTTACTCTTTTAATCACTAGTACATTTTGTTATCAGTAGTCGTTAAGATATTACGCTTGAATCCAAAACAACCTATCTACGTATAAACCCGTAATGCTACTGAATACAATTTTGTTTCATATTTATATTTCTTTGATGCTTTGTTATGTGTAATATAATGAAAAATCGTAAATCAACGATTTAATAAAAATTATCCCAAATAAATACATCAATACGTGGCAATAAATATTTAGAAGTTAAGAAATATATTTACTATTTATTTATGTGATGAAATAAATACTTTTGTTACGCGAATAAGATACGCTCTTAAATGGTTTTTTTCTAAAATCCTACTTACAATTGTCGCCGACTTTGCTTATAATTTAACATAAATAAATACGTTATAAAATATTTATTAAAACGAAAAATAAAACATATATTTATTATAGTAGACGGATATATATATATTTAATTCTATATAAATAAAATACACGGATTAAGTTATCTAACATGTTTCATACTGTCTTTCCATTACTGATTAGAACATATTCGCGATAAACACACAAAGCTTACACATGTTAAACACGTTTTAAATTACACCACGTTAAATTCTGTCTATAAAAAAATTATCGTTTTTCAGACAATACATTAAAATAAATTATTCCTTATATATTTTAGTTCATATATATTTTTAATTATACGTTTAGTTATAAATTCTTATCAAATTCAATGTTTCTCTATTAGCTAAGAAAATAAATTTATAATGCAATTTACTTAAGAATTCCCAACTGCTATTTCAAAGATTATGCACATATATGTATAATATATAAGTTTATCAAAAAATTAATACCATATTTATACTATGATTTATCTTATAATTATGCTTGAAAGATAAGTAGTAGTCAATCTAGAAAATCGTTTTAATGTATTTTTGAACTTACTAGATTTTCGGGATTTGTCTTTCGACCCTACAGGATTCTTTGTATTGCATAATACACAATACCAATGCTTAAGGCGGCCAACTTTCGGAAAACTGAATCCGGGACTTAACTTTTCTTGAATGGCGGGGGGGGGGGGGGGGGTGTTAGGGATTGGGTTAAATGTAAGTACTCTCTTACGCGTCATGAGTTCAGGAGAAGGAAAGAATACGAGATTAGCGCGGGCGCGATACGCTTGTCGCTATTATAGGTAATCTGTGTTCCTACACTGTTGCCCGTGGTATGGGTGTTGTGCAGAAGTGTGGTAGAAAAACAGGGATGCGGGACATGCGGGACGCATACACCGTTTTGCGGGACTATTTTACTAATAATTTCAAAGCGGGATTTCGTCTAGAATTGCGGGACGGTCCCGCAGAATGCGGGACGGTTGGCCGCCTTACCAATGCTATATATTTACAAATTAATACAAATATTGAAATATACAAGTAAATCTATACTAATACATATTATAAAGCTGAAGAGTTCGTTTGTTTGTTTGTTTGTTTGAAAGCTCTAATCTCCGAAACTACTGGCTTGAATTGAATAATTCTTTTTGTGTTGGATAGTCCAGTTATCGAGGAAGGCTGTAGGCTATATTACATCACGCTACGACCAAAAGGAGCAAAGATATAGTGGTAAATGTGTAAGAAACGGGAGAAATTATTTCATCTTTGAAGCCTTCCGTTGCGTGCGCCGTGAAAACGGTACAAGATACACAAAAAATATGTATTAAAGAATAATAGCTCTTTTAATAATCTAAAAAACAGTTCGCGACAGTATATGTCTATCTTTTAAGATGAACTCACAAAAACCGTTTTTATGGTACCTAATTTGGTCGAAATAATTTGTTTAAGTTGTATCAACATAATAATATTAATCTTTATTCAAATAAACAAATAAATATGTTGTTGGTTAAGAGTACTTCATTGTGAATAAAAATAAACATAGTTTTTATCCTGAAAATTCTACGGGAACTCAACCATTCCGAAAACCCCGCAAGAACGGGAACTATGTGGGAAGAACCAAAAATCTGCCGGAAGTCACTATTCCAGGCGGACGAAGTCGCGGCAAAAGCTAGTATTAAATAAACATATATTTTTTTAAATATTTCTTTCCATCTTTACGAGCCATGTTGAATGTTATTATCCGTTTAAATTCAAACAACTAATTATTATTAACTAGTTCATGCTGTGTAAATGTAAACACGATCCGTGACCGAAAATTATAATACACGATTATATTTAATTGTTCGTGTACTGTGAATGGTGATATTAACATAATATTATGTAACCTTACATCATAATTCTTAATATATCGCAAATTTACTTTTTTCAGTAAATAATATTAATTTGATGTACCTACAGGATATAATATAGAAAACTCGTCTTAATAATGATTTGTCATCGAAATTCAAAAAGTCGTCGCTTGAGAAAAAACAGACATTATTATTGACGATAATTAATTAGATATATATAGTTTAAGACATTTAAATATTGTTTTCAATATATTATCCAATAGAATCATTGTTATAATTATTTGTAGGTGGCAGCGGAAGTAGCAGCGCCGTTGTCCCAAGCTCGCAAGGTGACGATGGTTTCTTGCGGCGGTGGTGAGGTCGGTGCGGCTAAACTGACCGGGGAAGTGCTCAGCATCGTACAATGTATACCTGACCTTGTGAAGGGAGTAACCGGCGTTGACATCGCTAAGATCAAGGTAACGAAATAATACATACATGACACTAATCCATTATCTTTACTAACACTAAAAGGTGATATCATAAATAAATTACATACAAACAGTCATTAGTTAACATGCAAGCTCATGGTCAACAAATTGAATTTGGTGGATTGTAAATTAATTTTCATACCAAAGTGTATATTATAACTATGTACATAGCGTAACTATCAAACGCTTCATATGTTCAGTTTGCTTTATTTAATTACGTTGTTCGATACATGTTTATATGTTTCATACTTCAACTGTTTTATTCTGAATGAAATTAATATGAACACAGTTTTTTTTTCATGGTAATTTTTATTGGGTACATATTACAAAATATGAACATAGGTACATATTATATGTATAACTCACAATGCACCTTTAGTATTAATTGCCACCTTTAATATTAACTGAGTATTATATTTTATTATGTACGTATACAGTTTATATATAATTATGTATATAGTTTACATATACATCTATGTAAACTCATGTAAATATTAAAATTTACAAACTATGAACAATTTAATTTTCTCATAGGTTCGATTTATGACCAATTATGTTTAATGCTTAATTAATATTTTCGTTTCCAAGTAATTATCGTATACGAGGTGTTGTGTTTCAATGTTTGAGAGGAAAAATTTCTTTGGAACGTTTAGATGACGCTGGTCGTTGATAACGTTATCATATGGTGCCGGTCGTGATCGCACCGACCTTTACATATAATATATAATATATAAGATATACATATATAAACTATATTATAACATATTATATGAATCAGTTTTTATATCTTAATAATCATAATATTTAAACAAAGTGATTGTTATTTTAAAATAAACTCAATTAATTATATACATGGAGAGTTATGTCTTATAGGTCAAGTTGGGATCAATGTTGTAAATCTTGTGTAAATGGTACATATAGAAATAATGTATATATATGTATATACATATATAAAATATTACACATGGAATCTTTACCCATCATAAATATATATTACTTATCTATATGTATTACTTAGTGTTAACTATCCAAATACATTAATCTTCAGTCGTTTTTTATCGCTTTTGTGTTTTTTTTCACTCATAACTGTCATATCTGTGAACTTTATCTTCTATACATGTAGTGTTATGTACAATATTATGTACAACTAAACATGAATTATTATCTTCATACATTATGCTTCACTTTTGTTATTCATACTAAGTACTAACCTTACTTACCACGCTTTATTCACTAATCATACTAACTGACCGTGTACCACGGTAGACGGTGGCGGAAGTCTCGACGATCCCAACGCCCACAGCACGAGGTGATTCGGCGAGGAAATTACGATAAATCAACAGAGGCGAGTATCGTAGTAGAAGTTATTTGGAAACTATGTCTTTGTCGTCATACGTTTATGTTCATTTGCATCTCGCTGTGATGTTTCGCAAATAGTTATCATTCTTATATTTTATATTATAATATTGTTTTCTTTTCATAAACAAGCACAAATTTTTTTATTTATCTTCATATACGTTCGTGAATTTTATTTCATTCTGTATGTTTAACTTCAGTCTTTTCTCTGTTTATTAATATAAAAGTAATTATCTTAACAGCTGAGCAACAACTATGTTACAATTAAATTTGTTAAATATTTTACACTAATCGTGGGTAAATGTATGTAATGTTATGAAACAGATTATTTAATATCAGCAATTCTCAAAGTCTAACACACGTTTCTTCGCTACAGGGTCTTCGCGCCGTGTAAAGCCGCAATCTACCTGGTGGTAAAGTCTCCAGCAGTGTTTTAAGATCTTTGCCAAAATTGTTTACAGTAATAAAAATATATATGTTGATGTATATTCAGTTTCTGTATTAATACTGTTCACATATCTTGCTTACAAGACAGTGTTACAGTTATTGTGTATTTAAACTGCGTGCCATCCCTTATTTATAGTATCTTGTATAGCTTTGCGACAAATCGGAGCGTTGATCTAATGTATGAATTTCGACCAATCGCTTAAATATTCTCGACGTAGTTTACAAACGACTGTTATACTAATAAAATAATACCTATATTTTTTTATTTAGCTACTGTCTTAGGGTATATGAAAAATATTTGGTGTTCATGGAGTACAGTTAAAATTGTAATTGTAATTTAGATATTGTAGCCATGGGTCATAAGTAAATTGTGTCGAATTCGCATTGTTATCTTCCAGACTCAATGATATAAGTGTTCAAAATTACATTTTAAGACGCAAGGATCATAGTGTACAGCATTTAATATAGTCAAGGCCACAGTCGCCTTTTAGTACCGCGCCATTAAAGTCAATGACGTTTTACAAATGACCCATTGAAGACAACAAACAACAGTATTGGAGATATAGATCTGTAGTCCACTCCACAGTATCATAGATCCAACAAAATTATATTTGGACGTTAAAATCTATTTATTAAAGTAATTAAAAACCAACTTAAGACTTAAGGGATAGCGTAACTTCATCGAACGATGAAGTTCATGTCGTTTTATCCTTATAGCGTTTTTCTTTAATATTTTTTTTTTTCGTATTCCACAACAATTAGGTAACTTTGTTATAGTAAAATCGGTTAAGCCGATATTGATGTCTATTTTTGTATCGATGTCTGTCTGTCTGTTCATGCACTCAATATACATATTAATATGTAATTATTTTGACGATACATTAAGACGTGTTAAGGCTTGCTTGTGGTCTGTTGATGTTAAGTAAAACTATCTTTAATATAACACGAGTGTTGTTGTCAGTTCTATAATGTTGGCGGTATCTTCTGACAGATTGTGTTATCAAAGCCGCTGACATGTTATCACCTTTCATCGCACAAGTATTAAAGTCGATATTACTTTTAATCAACAGAAAAGCATTATTTGTTTCAGCGTCTAGCTGGCTCTGTGCCATATCTATAACGAGCAATATTCAATACCTTCTATTATTATTTGGTAAGGATTAGGTTTTTCCATTATACCCATATTTATAAGAGATATATAAATGTATTAGTATTAAGATAGTACCATTTTTCTTTAGTAATTGTTTATTAAAATTTTGCGGGTGCTGTGTATTAAACGATAAGTTTAGTTTGTCTAGCACAATTATATTAGTTGCTTTTTTGTATAATTTTGCTAAATATGTATATTTTTTAGTTAATAATTCTATTAAAATAGGACATAATATGTACATTCTTTTTAAATCTCTCACTGTCCTCAATGCTTGTAAGGTGTTATCTTTGAATTTACTCTGCAATCAGTATTACCAAAGGGTTTTAGAAAAGGATTCCAAGCCTTAGCATAAAAAAATGTGTTTTAGAAATCTTTTTTACTAAATAAAATTTTAATTGTGCACATTTCCTTTATACTAATTTGGATGACTTATATTTATTAAGAAATGTTTTACTTGAAAGTAATTATGTATTCTTTTACATTATTTTTATTTTATTACAATTTCTTATTGTGGCTCCTTATTTGGTTTGGGACAGTGACAGATAGAAAAAATACCATATTTCTTAGGTTTGAATTAACTTGTGGTTTTGCCAAAGTATAGTAAAAATATATCTTTAAGTATGAGCACTCAGAGTGTTATTGAATCTTTCGTGTGGATCACATTTTTTTGGTATCTGTGTATTTGACGTGGTTTTTATTAAAATATATTCATTAAAATTTCAAATTACTTTTCTTGTTTTATTTCCTCCAATGTAAAGCTTTTGCATAACATCATCGTTTATATTTTAGTTCTAATACAATCTCTTCATTCGATAAATTATTTATTTTATAGAAAAGTGGCGAGTGGGTATTATTATTGTTATAAAATAAAAATGAAACAATATCAAACAATGATTTATTAAAATATTAATTTATCAGAGCTTTAACAAGATCGATTAGGCACTGTAGGTGTTTGTAAAACTTATTTCACATTACATAACATATACGAGATTCGATCAGAATTATAAAATATTTTATAATATAAATAACATTATTAATTTGTAATATAAGGCATCTTATTAACTGGTTCGATGATTATCCGTTATTTCATAAGTGTTACGACATGTACCTGAAATAAAAAAAATTGTAGTTATTTCTTACCATCTCTTAAAATAAATAGATGATTTTTGATTATATAATCTTATAAACTATTACAGAATTGTACATTTAAGATACTAAACTTATAAAGATTTCAACAATAAATTTTACTATATAATAATTTAACGATAACAGCAATAAAATACACCTACAAAGCGCAGTGAACTAAGCCGACCTGGACCTCAACCATAACCAAATTAAAAGTGCGACAAAATTAAACGCTAATTGATAATCTACTTATGACTTACAAAACATTGTCATAAAACTAATTCGCCACTTTCACTTAGCAAATGGCAAGTTTTATCAGCAAATCAGAGCGTTAAAAATTGGTAAAATCGATTTATCACATACCGATAACCGCCACCGAAAAGCTTTAAAATAATTTGACTGACCTTTGCCTACTAAAAAGACGATTTTTCTCTCCAGATGCGATGGATCAACATCAAACTGCTTGAATGTATACAAAAAATATTGATTAATATTCTAATCGTTGCTACATAAGAATCTAAATATTATGTTAAAGAGTTTTATTATAATTTATTATTGAGAAATGGCAACTCTAAAAGGAAAGTGAGAGATTAACAAAACTTGTTTAATGAGCAGTTAAAAGTCATTAAGATGAGAATAATTTAAAATCGTTATTACTAAAAGTACTGATATAAATATATTATGTAAATATAACCATTACTTATTTAACAATATAATACGAACATTGACCAGATGTCGCGATTTATATAAAAATAATTAATTAAATCTAATTGTTTTAAATTGTAACTACATATAAGAACATACATAATAATACACTTTAAAAATATAAAATATCTATGAAAAACGCGTCTTATGCTGTAATATATAATTATTGTAATAATTAGCTATAAAAATTGTATAAACGTTAAATTATTTGTCGTTGTATATAAATCGCTTATTTAATTGAAATGTACTAATAACTAAAGCAACCTAGTATTATAATGACGTTGTTGTTGAATCTACCGAACACCAAAAATTGCTATCAACACAGAACCGTTACGGAATCGAAACCACAGTAAGGAAAAATGTAGCAGCAGTTTAGATGTCAAACGTGATTCATCTTTTGACTTGAAATGGAAAACTAATTTAAATAACTTTTATACTCTGGTTGTAGTTTCCATCTATAATTACAATGTCATGATCAAAGTTTTATATCAATTTTGATGGCTCTGCAACGGCCGAACTAAAGCGTCCATAATTTTAATTTTTTGGGATTTGTTTTTGATTTTAGTAAAGACCTATTGGACACTAAACTTGCGTGTTAAATGTCTGGCTGTGTCTCCAATCGTAATTAATCTATTGCCGATCACAGCCTGGTTCACAAAATTACGAAGTATACGATACAAGAAATGTTCTTAAACTCTTTAAATGATATGGTGTTTGGGTAACTTTAGTCGCTTAATTTTTTTACTTTATTCCGTTTGGAAGACTATTTGCGATTTTTAAAAGAAATCGCTTAAACTTAAATGCCTCATTTTTAAAAATATGTTCATGATTATCTTTTTGTGACCGAGAATTTACTAATTCTAATTCGTATGTTTCGAAGGCTTACATAACAAGGATATATTCAATTCCTTCACATCGCCTTTTATCAACTATATAATTACTAGAGACCAGCTCCGTCTTCACAGTTCACACGAACTCTCATTTATAATAAAGTGGTGTTAATGTGAAGTAATTCATAATATGGGATAAACATCCTCAAAAATATATTTTTTTTATTATATTACGCAAAAAGGCTAAGTATGCTTCTGTAAAATGTATAAGATAAAAATCGTCGATATGTACAATCCTTATGAAATAAATATACTACCCGAAACTTCCTAGCAAAACTTCTTAGGATATAGGTACCCGATATCTGCTACTTCGTACATTATTGTGATAAATCTCAAAAAATTTGGCGAAAGTGTCCGCTATGTAGAAGCCAAAAATACAGTTTTTACAACTTTCAAACTGTCGAATTAACATAGAAAATTAATAACACGCGAATTTTACATAAAATTTTCTCTTGAATTAGTCCTTGATTAGCGCTACATTAATATCCGTTGCGACGTTTAAATTATCTAAGCACACAGATGGCAGGAAGCCACGTCTTTCAAACCAAGAGATAAACGCATTATCCTTTTTACGCAAAAGCTATCTTCTTTCGTTTAGAACATTTTGTAATTTCAATTCAACTTTCTATTTTCACGACCCTCTTAAACCAATATAAAACTGTAAATAGTTAAATTCCTTCATCTATAAATAACATTATAGTGTAATTGTTTCGATGCATACGTTGTACTTTGTTTCTAGTCTCATTCCAGTTTTAAGGCAAGTAAAAGAACCTTCTTATCTATAACGTGAACATATTAAAAAGGCGATAAATAAAATAGTTTGTAGAGACTTTCACTATTCTCTTGAAGTATTAGCATTTTATATACGAATGTTGGAATACCTTCATATTTACCTACAAGCTACTATCTTCAAAACGATATATTATTTATCTTGAGTTTAATTCATTCACTGAAGGGCTTTATATTATAGATATTTTAATGCCATGAAGGACCACTGTTTTGCACGGTATTTATTTATGATTACGTTGGATATACGACAGTTATTTTAATGATGTTTATTTGATAGCAAATGCGCATATGTAGAACGATTCTTTTTTAATATTAGTAGTAGTAGATCGTGCTAGTCTTTATTTTCCCGTGTATGTTAAAATTTAACTTTTTTTTCACTTGTACATATACTTATGTGTATGTAGTTTTCTATCTATTGTTACAACAATTGCTACGTTACCAATTTAAATGAAAAATACAATTACTTTTTGTATTCTCGCATAATTTTCTTCCCGAAAGAGATATTTTTGTTTTTAACAGCGGAACAAAAATTCTACACACATAAAATACATCAAGCAACACTGGCACTGAATGCGGAACCAATTTAAAGGAGTAGTGTTATTTTCAAAATTGTAATACTAATACGCTAGTTAAAAAAATATTACCTGTTGGAATTCTTTAAAATTGAGTCCACAATCAAGTCTTGCGAGTAGTAATAGTAAGGTAATTTTACCATTACTATTCAAGTACCAATTAAATATAAAGTAAACAAATGAAATGGTTGTTATACTTTACCCCATGCATGCTTGTATCTACGTTTTCTAACTAAATGTCTAGTTATATAATATTTTATAACTAAAATAAGCAAAAAGAAAGATAATAAGTACAAGAGGCTTAACATTCCAATGTCCAGGTTGGAGAATGGCCCAGAAGAGGTGGCTGCCGAGGCTATTGATCTTGCATCGTGAATGTTGTTAGCACCATATATTTTTTGCAAATATTCAAAAACTGCAGGCAAATTCCAAGCTCCTCTTGAAAGTCTACAGTCTGGACAATTTGTTACACTTGGATACTGTATTTTTGGATGAACAGGGTCTTCGGTTACATCACCGGCCAATCTTAAGTTGACTTCATTATGAGAAATCCATAACCAGAGAACTGCTTTATCATTTTCCTTGACATCAAACAATCTATTTCTAGCTGCCATGGCCTGGAAGTGTTGGGAACATTCAGTACAACCAAAGAAATGTTTGACATAACCATGCATAGCTCTTAGAACATGTGGGGCTTCATATCCTGGTTTTCTTGCTGCATTTACAGTTAGAACATGGAACAAAGTCCATAATCCACAAGTATAGCCTCGATATTTACTTTGACTGCCCTTGCATCTTATATAATCTGCATTGGTTGAAAATACTGGTGCATGTGAGGTTTCTAACTTTTTTACTAATTCATATACTTCATTTCCATTCCATGAATTTTTTGAGCTAAGTTTGCTATGTAATTCAAGTATATACTCTTCCATATTGGCTCTAAAGGGGAAGGCTACTATTAAAACATTTAAAAAATCCAATAAGGCCTCAAGTGGTTCGCCATTTAAAACTTTATGCCTTGTAATTTCAGTATGCAAACTAGTTTTTAAAGTTTTTTCCAGATCACTATAGAAAACAGCATCTGCAGACATGGAACTTGAATCCCTATTTTTTAAAGCATTTAATTCATCCACATCTTCAAATTCAAGGTGCTTAGGAAATACAAAATTCTGTGTCCTTAAATATGTATTGATAGTTTTGAGTATATTAGATTTTGTTGGAGTTCCAGGGTTGAGAATATTGGGAGTTCTTGAAGGTCCAATAACTGCCACAGCAGGAAAAGCTTTTACACCAATACTTTCTGCCAACTTACTGGTATCAGATACTCTTTTGATCAATATATTAGTATAGTCACTGGTATCCAAAACTATTTCTGAGCCAATAGTTGAATTGGGAGATTCAAAAATTAAAAATGTGTATGTTACTCCAGATGCAGTGGGCATTGTTTGTATGTTGGCTTGAGAATCAATATCCAAAGAAGGGGCATTTTTTAACTGCCCAGCTTGCTGTTCATTTTGTAATTTGAATATCATTTGATCTTTTAATTTTGCAGCACTTTCAGCAGATTGAAACTTCTCACCTACATTTGAATTACCCTTCACATAGTTTTCGTGTAAATATCGTAAAGAGGGATAAGCCATGACCTCGAACTGCCGGCATATCTCGTTATTTTCTTCAACAGAACAATCTAGAACTGCAAGCTTAATGACTTCACTCCAAGCTCTTATCTCTTTAGCTAAAGCCTTAAATTTTGGTGCGAATGCTCTACAATGGCCACAGTAACTATTATAAAACTGTACTATAAAAGCATTTTTTTGGCCATAAATTTTTTTATCAAAATTTTTATTCGTTAATATCACGACATGGTCGGACTTACTGTATAATCCTTGTTCATCAACATCATCACTGTCTATAACGGCACTGTTTACTAGATTGTAGGAAAAACATAAACTTATCACAATATATTGCCAACGGATCATTATTGTAAATGTATCCCACTTTAATCATATATTGTATGGCCTTAAGTGAGCAATTGTAATTACTTGATTTGATCCGCGTAACGTCGTCAGGAAAAATACGTCATAAGTCATAACGATGTTGAATTACGGTATAAAAGTATTCTTCGCGGTGAGTTCGTAGGTACTCGCCTGATAAACTCGTCATTACTTTGTAAAACTATTTAAACTTTTAAAGAAATGTCAAAGTCATTAATAGACTAACGAATACACATGACATTTGCTTATTTTGCCAACAATTAAAGTATCGTTCAGAAACTAAAATTTACAGTGCGAATGGGCAATAATATCATATAAAAATATTACAAATCTATAAAAAAAAGTACTAAAATGTATCTTTATCATATTTATTTTATTATTTGGTAATCATTCTTTAAAATTTTAAAATATTTAAACTTTTGTCTCAAAATCCATTGCAAAAAAATATTCACCGATATGAAAATAAACCAGTCTGTTATATCTACACTTATTTATGAAAGAAAAGATTATTTTACGTTTTTAAAAATGTATATTTCTCAACTTTCTTTATATTCAAAAATTAATCAAATTTAAATAACCGATTGCTTTGAAAGTAGAACTTTCTTTCCATTGACATTCCTAACAAGACTTTACTTTTTGTTGTCTCTTTAACAACATTTCTAAATGGTATTAAACGAATATTAAAGTTACTACAAGTTGTTGGACTAAGATGTAATAATTCTTTGTAGTCTCAAAACACCATGTATCATATGTTTACTTCGAACCGTAAAAGGGTTTGTCATTCAATTATTTTATCCCAACAGAAGAGTTTGTTTTAGTACCTCTTTTTAGAGACTGAAATAGAGCTTTTTCTCTTTTAAATAGTATGTATCTATGGAAACCATTCCTGGTGAAACACTAATATACTTTTATTAAATAATATTGTTTTAAAATAAATACATTCCTACTACTATGATTTTAAAATAAATCTATTTATATACAAAGTCGTTTTTAATCTACAGATTAAATAAGTTTTAGGTTGGCCCATACTATTGATCGCTTTGAGGCATCCACAGAGTAGATTAGGTATATTATATCTACTTAATAATGAATACTCCCCGGTCTGCGTTGACGTAGATTATAGGTAGTTGTTTGTCTATTGCTGTTTGCTGCACTCAGCAATCCGAAAACTACGTCCTTATGTGAATATTTTTAGTCTAATTGTAATTTATTCTTTAATTAATTGAAATTAATAAAAGTGTATTGTTTAGTTTCGTATATTCTTTTACAAAGTTTATTTTTCAGGTAAGTTAAGATTATAACATAACTTATGAATACACTATTATTCTGTATTTAGCTTAAAACGAATAGACTTTGTATGAATCTTAATATTTAGGTGCATTTATTTTATTGATTGTTTAAGTGAGGCAGAGCGAACTTCAACCTTAACCTATTAAAACTTTTGTGTAAAGTTAAGCATATTGTGGGTAGATATCTGATCACAACATAAATTACAAATAATGAATTGTAGTGTATAGCTTACACCATAATATCAATATCTGAGCATAATCATTTTCAAAAGAAGAAACTTATACATATATATCAATTGGATGCATCAAAGGCAAATCAATAATATGTGCCATGCTCACTAGAAAGCAGGGCACAGATAAAAATATAGCTGGATCTAGGTTCCAAAGGACAAAGCCTCTAGAATGTACTTGATGTCAGAACACTCTTCTTTTTAAAATATCTTTTCTAATTTAAAATAGTTGCTAAAATAATAAAATTGCATCTGAACAAAGTGGTACAGATCCTTATTTCTTTTTTTATGTGTTGTTTTTATGATACCAATTGTGAATTTAAACCTTTTTTTTCTTATTATGACTCAGTTTTCTAATAATTAATGGGATAAATGTAAATGGTTTCTTGTTATTATGATATTTATTAAAATTTTAAATACCTATAATAGAAATTTACTTTTAGCCATGTCTCTGCGCAATGTACGTAAGCTTTATGGTGCAACAGCTCTACCTCCTCCTAATGAAAGTTCTGATGAAGAGTATGAACCTCTTTATGCAAAAAATTCTGCTCGTAGTGCTTATGCAGGGGTAAGTTATTTAAGTTAAATATTTATTGTCACACAAATGTTGCTCTAGCGAATTAATAAGAATATTCTATTCTTTATTTTTAAGCTTAAGTATGACTAGAATTTTAAAATTATGTAATGTGTAGCTTGGCGTATATTTTTTAATATGAAATATTTTTATAGGCGTTTGCGAATATTTGTCATTCAAAATGTTATGTGCTGGCTAAATATGAATTTTTGTTGTAGTTGTTGTTGAGTTCAAGCTCAGAAGATCATGAATCACCACTGGTTAGTGGAAATAATTCTGGAACTGAAGATATCAAAAAGAAAAAAAAGAAAAAGAAGAAGAAGCAAGATAAAATAAAACGATCGCCACAGAATTCTTTTAATGGTGGCAAGGTAAGGATTACAACTTCTGTTTTATATCTGAGTTTTAAATACTTCTTAACATATATTTTTTTTAGTTGGATGAGATTGATAAGTCCTTAATGGAAGTCAATGCACTGCTTGGTGAACCTGAGTTGGAAGCTTCATCAGAGCCAAAATTTAAACCGGACTTACTACATACTCTTTTCTCGGTGAAATATAAACATCTTAATGTCTCCAACGAGCTATTGAAAATGTTTGGGCCGGAGACTCCCGAGGAGACACCACGACGCGTGTAAATGAAACTTATATTTAATTTCAATTTAGAAATTTTATAACTTTGTATCATTCACAACTTATGACATAAAATTTAACTTGTAGTGTTCATGGCCGACAACCTAATTTGAAACGTATCCAGAAGTATTCTATCATTCCTCAGGAATTTAATTTCAAGAAATTGGGTCAGTTTTGTAGTATATTACGTTTAGTATATTTGTAATGGATTTTTCGTTTGTTTATTAATGTGTTAATTACAGGGTTGTCAATGTCTGTTGATCGCCGAGATCATGGCATTAGCTACTTTGTCTATGATCATAGCCGGGAATACCAACGCGTTCACAAAGAATTCATGGTGATGCTTACACAGAGGTACTTATGTGTATATGTGGTTTATTAAGTAATAGAAATATCAAATTAAATGAGAGTACATAGTTAATGTTTACGATATACTAACAGGGCCACCCACCTCATGACACCATTTGAGACTTCTTTGAAAAACATGCATGTGGAAGGATTGCTGGAGGTAGGATTAAATTAATATATATACTAGTATATGTCATTTTATATACAACATTTTCTTTCGACTCTGTCCGCGTGAACATCAGAGAGATGTATATTGCGTTAAAACAGTGTGTGTATTGTGTAGTAAACTCTGTTGCAGCCTTTTTATTTTAATTTAAAAATTTTATACAACCTAAATACCGACTTAGCGCAATCTGACGGACTGATTTATGAATCTAAACCACCTGGCACATAATAAAAAGTACATCCGTTCGGGAGTAGTTTAGAGACATACACTAGTACAGTAGAATAACATATTTTAGTAGAATTAACATAACTACTTAATTTCAGGCTTCCGATGTAATGTTCCGCTTAGAAGATTACTCTGCTGGTAATAAAATAGTGGAACAAGTAATAGCATACATGCAGTTTGTTGCACATCCATCATTCAACGTCACCGATGTACGTATTACCTCTTATTATTATTGAATCATTGGCATATATTAGTCTCGTTAAAATTAAGTAACTGTTTCACTTATTTGAATGTTCGTCAAAAGGTACAACGTTGGAATTAAACAATAATAGTAAAATAATAATACATATTTAATGAAGTTGATTCATTGAAACAAATAAAAATCTGTTACAGATGCGAGTACGTCTCGAGTACAAATATTTAGAGAACAGACCGTTCCACATTGCATTGCTGAAATACTTACATCTTCTTACAAATAAGGCTTGCCATCGCACAGCCCTTGAAATAGCTAAGCTGATGCTAAACTTGGACCCTTCCGATCCTTTGGCGGTCATCTTCATTATTGACACAGTTGCTCTCAGGGCTAGGGAACACCAATGGCTTATAGATGCCATAGATTACCTGAATAAGGAAAGGGAGGCCGGATTCATGTTTAATATTCAGTTCTCATACGCCCTAGCGTATTTCCATATTCTTACCAAGAACAAGCGTAAGTTGTATTATATTCAAAACAAGTTTAGGGTAATTGGGTATGTGTTTAAATCATTTTATCTTTGCAGAAAGCATTAAAAAAGCCGATGAGCTACTTCAAAAGGCCATGGCAGGGTTTCCTTGGGCCTTGATGCAAATACTGCACAGTGCCAACTACACTCCAGATGAACGTCTAAGAGCTCATCCGCTCTTTAATAGCTACGCATTTTCCACGTAATATTTTTTTTTTATGAAACTGTGTTGCCAGTTAGATTATATGGATGTTTTGGTCAATTAATTGTATTTGAAACAATTTTTTTACTAACGAAATGTGAATAAATGGATGTATTATTTGCATTATAGGACATGTAAGAACCTCAAAGACCTTATACTTCTGTATGCCACCTTCACTGGAGCTCGTTGGCGTGAACCTCCAGTTATGGAGTGGCTGATACGGAACGCCAATGAATTGGCTGATAGATATGACGTTGACCCATCCATCAAGGTGAGATATCTATGACCCAATCTAAACAAAGATATAGTGATGTTAATTATTTGTTTACCTCGATTTTTTCTTTTATTAATAGCGCACGTTACAATGAGGCTCTTTGAATCTTTGCCCCTTTAATTTAACTTCGAGGTATCCCATTCGAGATATTATGTTATATGCTACGTATGATTTCCTGATAATTTAATTATTGTATTATTAACAGGAGCAAACCCAGGGCCTGCAACAGGTGCGTCAGGTTCTATTCCGCGGTTGGCCGGAGCAAGTCTATCGTCACCTCAGTGTCATCAAGACGCTCTCCAACCTGCTGGTTGATGGGGTTGGTTGAAAAGCCATATTAAAATTACTATCATTAAGAGTTTTGCTCTGTCATAAAATAGGGGTGGGTGATAAAAAACTAAAAATTTAGGGTTGTATGTATTTTAATGCTATTATATAAAAAAAAAAAACAAAAAAATACGTCCAAATATTAAGAATTTTTTTTAGGGGTGAACAACCCTTATCACTAAGAGGTATGAAAAATATGTGTTGGCCCATTCTCAGACCAACTCAATATGCTCACAAAATTTCCTGAGAATCAGTCAAGCCGTTTCGTAGGAGTACGGGAATGAACATTGTAACACGAGAATCCTACTAATATTATAATTGCGAAAGTTTGTGAGTGTGTTTGTACGTTTGTTACTTCTTCACACTCAAACGGCTGAACCGATTTTGATAAAATTTTGTATACAAGAAGCTGACGTCCAGGAATAACACAGGCTACTTTACATCCCGGAAATAACATAGGTTCATTTAGCATTTATGTTCGCAGGCTGTGCCACGTGTAGCGGCCACACGCTGCTACGACCCGGTCCCGCCTCGCGACGGCGTCAACCGTTACGGCTACACCCTCATACCACACACACACATCAACCTCGGTAACGCTATACTCACAGACTTCTTCACATCGCTGTTACCGAACTACGACATACCGCCCGAGGATGAGTACGTATACTAGAGCTATTATAACATCCCACATAACTGTTTAATATATGTATAAGCTATAAATGTATATTTTTTGCTTTTGAATGTATCAATAGTTAATTTGATTAAGTTCAATATTTACATAGTATTTTTTTTATATGGTTTTAGTGAAAAGTGATGACATACGAACATTTCTGTCATTTCACTTTGTTTGTTTAGTTATACCTTATTTTATGTATATGGTATACATGTATGTATATATATGTATTGATTTCTTTTATTTTTATTTTCTCAAATTACAGATTCTGACATAATCGGCGTTCTTTGGGATTTATTTCTAAAGTTACCTGACTTTAACGAATCAGGTAATTTTGGAAATATAAAGTAAGGTAAGATTTTTTTAAAAGACGAAAGAAATCATCTAATAATGTATTTTTATATAAATATCATCAACTAATTAACAAAAACAGACCTCCTTGTTGTTTGAAATCTTAATGCTATCCTCATAATATGATATCTTCTTACGCAACGCCTACATTATATAGTTATTTCTCATTAGTATGACATAAATGTCTTATTTTATATTTTGTGAAATTATTCATTAATTGTATTCCGATTTTGTTCTTAGAGTATGTTTAGTCACTTTGTTAAGTATTTAAATCATATTATTATAATAGTTTTTACTATTTGTGAGTAAAATGACGGAAATGTACAAAGTCATGACATCTTTAGAGCATACTTAGTTTCATATAAACAATTATTAATATAAAAATGCATTTTGTCAGTTATTTTTGTCCATAAATTTAATTTAATAGTATGTAAATAACAGTTGTGAAGAAAAAACTTTTGGGACAGTCTAAATACTTAGATAATATTTTCCAGACATCTGAACTACCGTTTCCGGCCATCCATACTAGATTACCGTCTACCGCAAGAGAACAGAGCAGTCGATTCCGATGATGGCGACGACGAGGGCGTCGGCCAGACGGATTCAGACGACGATTTTGATTTGGACGACGACAATGACGACGACCCAGAGATCGTGAATGCTGTGCGCGTGTTCGTGGACTCTGCTAACATCGACTCCGACGACACTGACGATTCCGACGACGCTGAAGACTCCGACGATTACGACGACTCCGATGACATCGACGACGACGGAAATGACACACCCGATTAAATTAATGCCGATATTTATGATTCGAAGTATATAATCAATTTAACAGTAGTTTCAATGATTTATATATATTGGAATTTGATGTGGTAGATCGTGTTTTACGTAACGCTTCATATGTTCTTTTGAGGTCTATGATAATAAAAAGGACGCAAAGGCCTTTCTTTCATTGAACTAATAAGAGCAGTGTGAGATGAGAACCATCGGTCGTCGACGTATGTCCTGATAGAATTTGTCGCTGAGTTTTCGCTGGAGTTTAGTGACAGATGGGCCTAAGTTGTTAGGCGACTCTACCTTTCAAAGTCTTCAGTAATATTTCTGTTTTCTTTTTCATATTGTAATAATTGGTTGCTATTGATATCTTAAAACTCTTAGTATTTTACTCATCACTGATGTAGCGTCATAATAATCTGAAACGTATACTGTTTTCGTAGGATTAAGTTAGTGAACGGATTGCTATTGAGGAGAAATTAATAAATGTTGATTATTTATTTATTTCTCTTCAATTTATTGGGATTGAGTATTAAATACAGTGACTGTTTGACAGTGGGAAAAGAGGTTAGCTATAGTCACTTGATGTACTATTGGATGTCATAGATGTCTTTTATTTCAATGAAATATATATATGTTGATATTACCTATTTTGTTAATTTTATTTGATATGTGATAATTTTTTTTCAATGACTTATGTTTTGCAATCATCTAAGTTCATAATTAATTTAATATTTTGCTATAATTTTAATTAAATTTTATGTTGGTTCACCTGTGATTTATTCTGGTTTCTCTCAATGTTTAATAAATATAACTTATAATGGATAAAAATTATGTGTTTTATTTCTTTTTCCCTGTATTTATATAAAGAATAGTGAGATGTTTGAACGATTAGGGACTGGTAAAAAATGAAGACCCGAACCTTTAAAACATTGTTGAAGTAGGAAAATAATTAAATAAACGAAATCAATATGCTCGTCAAAAACTGAATCACAGATCGACACTTCAGTACCTAATAAGACTTGTTTATCGACAAATTTAATTATGAAATATCTTAACACTGGTTAATTATTGACAACTCTGTTACTTCTCCCTTAATGTAGTTCGTAATCTTTATTACCATTTCTTTAAAATAAATTGATTGCACGGCACATAGTTGGCTGTATAGAATATGATTGTTGGAAACATCGCAGGGGACAGTAAGGTGTCAAAGATGTAAATCTTTAGACTTTTGTATGTATTAATTACGGCAGTGATTTCCTGCTTGCAATGCAGTCTGCTCTTACTATCAAGGGCTCCCACAACAATTCCTTCTCATTATTTTCGGTAGTTAAAACAAGTGGTTTCTATTATAAGACGTCTAGACAGTTTCTGACGTAGATTATATTGTTTGTTAACACTTTTTAATATTGCATATATTATTTAGTTTAAAATTAAAATTTTACAAGATTGGTATCGCCTCATTCGGAGACTACCTTAAGTTTGAAATCAAGACGATCTAACATGACTTCTCTTTCAAACTCTATTTGTACCCGGTTGGCCCCCGATCTGGACTGATGCTATTTCACAGTCGTGATGTCAACTTCGCAACCAAAACTACCGGTTATGCAAATCGTTAAATGCCGTACGATTAGAGGACAGAGCCTTGCAGAAATCGTGCTCGAGCGATATTGATTGAGACGAGATGCCAATAACGACTCGTAGAAGATGGTCCTTCAGAAAATCTGAAATCCAGGCAGGCAATCAGACCAGGGAATATATCCGAATTAGAAACCTGATCAATGCGACTGTTTTGCCAGACACTCAAATATTTAAGAGATGTCAAGTGAAACTCAGAGCAACACCTTTGTTCTGTAGAACTCTCCCCCCTAAATGTGTCGAGTGTATCAGCAAATCTCCAGATAATCCATCGTATCAGTCACTGACAAGGTCATCGTCTTCTAATTATACCATATGGGGGTCGCATATCTGAATGGATCTCCAGTAGAGAAGCAAATCTGCCATCAAGAATTGGATGGAAATTAAATAAACAACAAAATGTGGACTTAAACATTCGGCATTCGGAAAGCTTTTGATTAAGTGGAATATAAAGCGATACAGATTTATCCAGATAGTTGCCTGTGGTTCCTAACAGGTCGAGACTTCTATTGTGTCTATCTGGGTCTGTTGTCTGTAGGGGATTCAGAAAATAGACTATATTGTATTTCACATCCGTTAGCCTTGCAGATTCTTTTACCAGACAAATAAAAATTTTCCTTTTTTCTCCAGTCAGTCAGTACCCATGGAAACAGTCAGTTTTGATGGTGGACATTAAAATTTCCTAAAAAGACCAGCTGCGCAGTCAGATCCGTTGTGCCAGTGAAGGCTAGATCTAGAAACTGCGGGAACCCCTGGACCCTCCCAGGGATGGTCATCAAGTCTCCTCAAGGAAGGACACATTTAGTTCGGCTTCCTTTCATGGATGAGTAGACTACTAATTGGGTTCTTTACTGACTGTGAAATTCCAGAGAACACCCGTCTCTCTATCATGGTATTCTCAATCAACAAGCATACGATAAAACGAAAATATATATTTATCGTATTCGGCATAAATCACAAAGCAGCTTTTCAGAGATATCCTCCACATTAATTTATTAGACAGCATACCGGAATCCGATGAATCAGTAGCCGGCCTGACTTTGTCAAGTGCTCTGTTTAATAAGCGTTTATCAATGGAATGTTTGTATTTATTAGATATTTCATGAATTAGCAAAGAGATAGAAATTAAAATTTAAAACTACACACTCATACTAATTTTCTAAACATTATGATTAACTATACGTAAATTACATTATTGTATTTTTTTGGTAAGCCTACTTTTTAATAAACTGTACTTGCAATGGGATTTCATAAACCCACATATTTTTTTAATAATAGGCTCATGAAATATTTAATAAATTGCTTTGATTTGATATCATAGTACCCGTATAGTATATCATTTAAGATTCTAAGTAGTTAAAAAATGTTAATATTACAATATGATCAAAATAAGTAAAGTAAAACAAGAACCACCTAATTATTCAAAAGCTTAAACATCAAATGAAAAGCGAGAAACACTGACCTTACATTAATTAATTATTCAACCTTGACATTACATGTTATTGAGCATTGATCAATTGACTCGTTTCATCCGTCGAATGCTGCCGAGTGACGGTGATAGACGTGTCGTTAGTAAGTGTCGCTTGTCTGTACATGAGGAGAAAATTTCTGATGCCGAAGTAAAAAAGAAAAGTTTTTGCTGAAAAATATGTAATTTGTGGTTACCGCTGATATTTTTGATATTGAGTTCTCTAGAACCATGATATAGTGTTAACATTTGTTGTTATCGATTAGTTATTTAGTACTTTGTTAGTAACAAAGGAATATAAGTTGGATTTTGATGGTGCTCTTAAGAAACTACACGCACACCATTACACGGCTGTATATGTATTATATTTTGAAATATTGGCAAAAATTAAAATATATAATACATAAAAAATGATTCTATTTATATGTACCTATTTGGTTTTCAAGGCGTGTAATTGAAATCACTTGTTGTATTCCTTTTTTCATGCATAAATTTTTGTGTGTAAAATGTTTAATACTGCAATGTTTAATATACCCAACACGTCTTTCAAAAATTCGGTCATAAAATTATAAAAAAGCTGTTTGTCCGGCAACGAATTCACAAAAAAGTTATTGACAGGCTTTATTGCGGCTCTTCTCGGATATTTCACGTCGCTTCATGTAATATTGCTCTTCCATATTTCCGTTTACACAAGCTTTATAAAATGTTATCAAAGTGGTTTAGGATTTAAGTAAGGTAAAGATGATATTTCAATGCTTGGTAATAGAAACTTGCTTAACTAAATAAAAATGTTTTCATTTTAATGCAATGTTTATGAAGAAAACTGTAAGCGCAAAAAAATAATAAAAAGAGTACTCATAAGATAATATGACATGAAAAGGAAATTTTTATTTTTTAATAAAAACACAGTCTGAAATGAAAAAGTTTAACAAGAAAATATTAAAAGGAATTTAAAAAGACTTAGGTTCCGTTTTTCAGAATGATTATCGTTTTCTTAAAACTTTACAATGAATTGAGTTCTTTCTAGAATCCAATTCTATTCTTCGTCAAAACAAGTTTAAAAAGAATACTGAAAAGTCAGTTGCGTCGTTTAAATTGGATTTCATTTGAAATCATTTATAAGATTTTAATGTTATTAGTAGGTTTAAAAATAGATTATAAATTATGTTATATGGTCAACCAACGTCTATCTTTTGTATAATAGCTACTGAGTTTTGTGAAAGATTTTCTTTTTGTGGTTTAAGAAGTAAGTGAAAGGGTTTCATATATAGGAAACAATACATCTTGTATTTTGTAGTTCGAATAATGTCTTTTATTCTACAGCTATATTATCATTATATTTACGAAACATTCTATGTCTTCATGAGAATGCTGCTACTGTGGTGTACCATATATTTATTATGATGTGTTATACCATGCCGCTGATGGGAGCCGTATTGGCAGATAATTTTATTGGTAGATATCGGTTAGTATAAACATACGTATTTATTGTAGATTTTTGTAATTTTATAATTTCATTACTATCAGTGACTAGAAATAATTTTTCTGGAGCATATATAATTGAAAATTAACCATGCATCATTAAGCATTGTAAAAAATCTAAACTATAGTAAATATAAATATTTTAGGGAAAAATATTTTGCAATATTTAAGGGTAAAAGATATTTTATCAAGAAAGAAAAAAATATGTTCAATGTTTTAATATACTACCTAAGATCAAAGAAAAAGCTTAAATATCAAAAGAGCATTGTGAGATAGATGCTAGTCAAAAGAAATTGTCCAATTAGTCGTTTTGCGTATAAAAATGGAGACTAACGTTGCATAAACTTAGATTAAAAATTGGTATAAAAATATACTAAAAATATATAATTATTATAAAAAAATATAATAAGAATATATAATAACAATTTATTTGTATTTCACTCAATAATAGGTGATTTACTGCAAGTTTATGTTGAGTGTTTTCGTGCAGATTTTATACTTTATATAGGTTGTTTAAGTAAACTTGATAATTTCGGTCATTGTTGCTTGAGTCGATATTGATTCAAGATTTGTCATGGAAAAGTGTGAATATCATAATGTACAATAAAAATAAAACAATAATACACCGAAAAATAATATTTGCAATATTTAAGGAGTTTTCCGTCGAATATAAAGGATTTATAACAATTTTTTATAAATTTAATATTTATATTAGCAATTTATAATTGAATTATACTCCTAAAACCCACTTGTGCGTTCTTTGTTCACCTGATCTATGTACATTAATTCTAGCTAAGTAACAAGCCGGGTTTCCAGCTAAGCAAGCTAAGACTAAATCAAGGGCTTGAAATGCTAAGAGCCATCTGTGGTTAATTTGGACAATATTAAATTAATATCAGTCTCCAATAACCTTAACTTCACTTTGTTAGCTCTGATTTTTAGTCGCTGTTATCGAATTCAGAATATTTTTAACGATTACTTTCTTATATACGCGAGTTTTATTTTATTCGTTGTGTTTCTCAAAATGGTATGCTTTAATGTATTCATAGTTCATTAAAATGCTAAAAACTAAGAAAGTTCTCATTTGACAGCTATTTATAATTTTTCTTTAAAAGATACTAACTACATACTGTTAACGGCTTAAACAAATCAATTCTAATCTTAAATAGAAGCAAATTGACAAAGAAAAATTATATCAACTTACACTCAGAATCCTAGTGCTGTTATCAAATATATATAAAACAATGTTATATATATTTGTCTAGTTAATGAATGACCTCAAGATACAACACTTTCAGTTTATTTTAATAACAAATTGTCCTCAAAGAGGGGTTGAATGTTTAATAAATTAAATATGTATTATAGTTGTAATTATAAGATTAAAATAACTTATATTGAAGCAACATATATGTAGTTTAGTATTGATATTTCTCATTACATTAGGTACCCTCAACCGACTCCAGCTTAATAATTACTAACTATTACGAACGTGCAGATAATCCCGTTATAGACTTGTATTGTGTTAGGAATATGGATTCTGCTTTGAGCCTTTGCAGACTGCAGAGATTATTTCATAATATAATTTAATAGTTTCGGAGTATTATAACGTATGCTGAACCAACCTAATAGTTGAGAATTGGCCTTTGATCAACGAACGATCTTGTCCACCCGTGGCTAAATTGTTTTAGAACAATTTGTCGGTAAGGCACCTGTTCTCGAAGTTAATATCTGTATCGTACAATCTAGTTGAGTTGTCTCTATTAATAGATATTCTACCCGTTTAGAGGACAATTTTAGCGACTGCCAATAACATCATTGACTCGTTTGTATTTCAGCTTCAGTTCTATTTTATTAATTTATTTTAGTAAGACTAAAACAAATAAACAGTGTTATGTATATTTGATTACGTAACAGACGTTTTATTATATACAACATGTTATATACATCCAGTTAAGTACTATTAATATGAGTACGTTTGAACAGATAATCAAAATCATACTCCGAATAGTATTGATAATTATACAGCTGCGTGCAAAAGTATTAGGCACCCCTATTGTTAGTCACTATCTCATTATATTGCGGTCAAGTGTGTGTTTTATGGTTTAGCTATTGTATTAGCGGCAATTTTTAACCAAATTAAGATAAAAGAAAATATTTATGACATCCAGGTGTGCTCCTAAGCGGTGTTTCTTCGAATTTGCTTTTTTTGCGTTTCGGGTTATAGTGTGTTATCAGTGCTTGCAGTGAACATACACGTCTTCTACGCAACTATTCCTATCACAATTCTAAAGACTAACATTTAACGTGTTAATCATGCCGAAAAAATCTGAACTTAGTGCTGAACAGCGTCTAAGAATTAAGATTTTACATGAACAAGGCATGTCTCAGGTTAAAATAGCCCGAGAAGTGAAGTGCTCGCGATGTGCAGTTCAATATGCTATAAATCGCTTCAAAGAGACTGGCACCCATGAAAATAGACCAAGAACAGGCAGAAGAAAAGTTACTACTGAACGGGAAGATCGATTGTTGATTAGGCAGTCTCTACAAAACAGGAAAAAAACTGCTTTAGAGCTCGCTGCAGCATTATCTGAGGCAAAAGGCAGCTCAGTGAGTGTTTATACTGTGAGAAGAAGACTTCTTAAAGCTGGATAAAAAGGATGTAAAGCAAGGAAGAAGCCGTGGCTGTTAGAACACAATAAGAAAAATCGGTTGGAGTGGGCACTTAAACATAGAGATTGGTCAGTGGAAAATTGGTCCAACATACTGTGGTCAGACGAATCTAACTTTGAGGTATTGTTATTTATTTTATGTAAAATATTAAAACACATAAATGTTTTTAAAATAACGTACTGCAAGAAAAATAATAACTTTGAAAATAAATGTGTTTTTTTCGTTTGGCATAGGTGTTTGGAACACCCGGTGTGACTTATGTTAGGCGAAGGGTTGGCGAAGAATACAACCCAGAATGTGTGGTTCCCACTGTTAAGCATGGTGGAGGCTCAATAATGATCTGGGGCCGCATGGCTGCCGACGGAGTGGGCGAAATGGTGTTGTGTGAGGGACGAATGAATAGTGTTAAATACACTGAAGTTCTGGAAACAGTACTAGCAACGTCGATAACGCAAATTTTTGGTGATACAAACACCGATGGCCTGAAATTTCAGCAAGACAACGCCACTTGCCACAAGTCCGCGCATACCATGAAGTGGTTTGCTGAAAATCATATTGATCTTTTGGACTGGCCACCACAATCACCAGACCTCAACCCGATTGAGCATATTTGGTCCATTTTAAAGAAAAATATCCGCAGACACTCGATTAGCAATAAACAAGCTCTATTGGCCGCGTTACAGCAGGAATGGAAAAATATATCAAGAGAAGAATGTTTCAGGCTGGTAGAGTCAATGCCAAAACGAGTGGCTGCGGTTATTAAGTCAAAAGGTGGACCTACAAAATATTAATTATTTTCTTAAAATAAACCATTGAATTCATAAATGCAGTTTTATTTACACTCGCTATGCTAAAACACCCTAAAACTTGTCTTACTGTAGGGTGCCTAATACTTTTGCCCGTGGCTGTACAAAGCCGTATCATCCGCTCATCAATTAATGATGAAGAGGCAACTATTTATTAAATTTGATCTAGCTTTTGTCTTAATTAAAATAATTCATTAGTTAGAATGATATGCAGTCACTGTGTTTATATTAATTTGAAAATTATTTCTTTAAAATAAATGATTCCTTAATATTTGATATAAAAGACAGTATGTAGTTACATTTAAGAAATAATTTTTTTAAGCAATGAAAAGTTTTTAATAGAACCTGAGGAGATAAAGATTTAGAGCTGAAATGATAATCATAACAAGATAAAAGAAAAAAACTTTAATTTTATATCTGACTATACATGGCAAAAATGGCATATATTATTTCACATATTTGAAATAATGGTTTTCGAATATTTTACTACGGATTACTACGGATTTTTTTATTATTTTATAACTACATAATCGTGACGTTTCGGTTCCATTTGGAGGAACCGTTATCAAGGGCAGAAGAGATGAAAGTCCCATTTTTCATTTGTGATCAGTGTTGCTGTAAAGGAACTGACCTATCTTGATTATATAGTTATAAAATAATGAAAAAGGGGTATCATCATCCGAAAACCGTAGTTTTATTTAAAGGGATACATACGGAAATCTCAGATATCATTGTATTTTATATATCAATTCTGAATTTTTGGTGGGTTTCAATACCATAGGACATGAAATTATAGATATTAGGATTAAAGAATATCATTTCTAGCTTATTCGTTTCCCTCTCATTATAATTATTATTAAGCATATCTATACTAATATTATAACGAGGAAAGGTTTGATTTTTTGTTTGTTAGTCTCGAATAGGCTCTGAAACTACCGTACCGATTTGAAGAATTCTTTCACCGTTGGAAAGCTGTACTATCCCAGAGTGACATATATTTAGTTTTTAAAAAAAATGGGGTTCCCTACCAAAACTCCGATAATGTAAACAATGTACCAAAAAACTTTCTTTAATCGCGAACGTTCCGAAAATAATTGAAGATATAATAAAGTGATGTACTACACTTTTGTAGAACTTATCTACAAAGAACGTCGGAACATTATATCTCCAACTATTACAGTTTTGTCACAAAAATCGATTTTCATATAAAAAAAATTAATTTAAATACCACTGCTTGAAAAGGCTTCTTATTTGTACCTAAGTATTAATCCTTATCAAAATAAATGATTTATTATTTAAGATCGTTTCAAAACCTTTATATAACTTTTTGAATTATTATTAGATTCTGACATTCCATTTAAAAGATATCACGAGGTTAAAATTTTGAAAAATATCCGTTCGGTTAACTATGCGTTGTAGAATTGTTGGTGTCACTCGGGTACGGAGGTACGGAAGGGGAGTTAAGATCACGAAATAATATCTAAGAATATTTTTTTTATTTGATGAAAACAATAGAAATATTTGTATAAATGTCATGTTTAATGCCCGTGGGAAGCCGTTATATGTATGATAACATCCATTACAACGTTCACAGTTTTTCTGTAAGTATTTGTACCATCAGCATTGTACCCGTGCGAAGCCGGGGCGGGTTGCTAGTTAAATATATATTTTTTTAAAGGAAATTTATTAATTTTGCATGTACATATCTTATGTCTTAATAACATATCATTTATGGCGACTTTTTTGTTTGTAATACAAACTCAAATAATAATAATTATTATAATTATAATTATTATTAAATTATAATTTAACGGTGTCTAATGCCATTTTTATGGTTTAAGCTAGCTGATGTTTACTTTTCTCGGGCGATAATAAAACATGTTCGACAGTCTTCATGTTATTTTCAGTAACGATGTAAATAAAACCATTTCATCTCAGTATCAAATATTCGTATAGCGTGAATCTTTATATCATGATGGATTAGTTTTATTCAAACTCGTTTTATTACTCTGATTCACAAAAAACATACACTTTTTATTACGTAGAAACATGCTTCATTCTCATTAAACATTATTAAAATCTGTTAAAACACAGGTGACACTTCCATAATTTTAGATAAAACGAGGAAATCTGTATAATTCCTGTTTATTGACGGTAATGTCTCACGAGTAATGTTTAAACAGTGACTGTATTGCTAAAAGAATATTTACAACAAGGTGTTATTATAAAATAAACTCAGTTCTCGTGAGAAGACTATAATTTTTGATCTGCTTTTTTAATATCCAACTCTATCTTATAGCCCTGTTTTTTGTTAGTAATATGTTGGAAACCCACAACAGAACCGGGACACAATGAGTCTATCATTCTTATTATATTTATTGTGAATGTCTTCTAGCGTTATCATCATAACGTGAAACGCATTCACTGCTCAGATCCTTGCAAAGACGAATCAAATGCCCTAACCAAATTCCTTAGAATTATGTCATTGTAGTTTCAATTTCCCGGACATCTTTTTAACTCCCACATCAATCCAGATCTGCACGGTCATATTACCTCATTGTTGTCAATATGAAAAGCATTGTAAGGTTACGAGCCGTGTAACTTATCTTGTATAGCCTTCATACATTATATACAACAATAAATATTATTTTGAGAATAATGTAACAAATAAGGTGTCTAATAGCCAATTTTATTTAATGACTTCATTTTTAGATTTTGCCATGAATTTAAATAAAAAAGAAAAAGTTATTTAATTATTCTAACAGTAAGCTTATAAGTAATTGTTTGTTTTCAGGGTAATACTTTATTTTTCTGTAATTTATTTTATTGGTACAATATTAATATGCTGTTCTGCGATCCCACCGCTTTGTCTTCCATCAACGTAAGAAGTTTTTATCATCCCTTTTTGATACTAATAACTCCGATAAATATAAAATAAACACCAGATTAAATCTATGAATCACTTTTGTACCGTAGCTGCTAGAGCTTGTATATTATCAATATAAAAATCCACAAAACAAATTCAATGAAATCGTTTTCTGATGTATAATCGCACTCGTATACAAAAAAACTGTAATATTAATGTCCCTATAAAGTTTATGATATTTGATGTTTTTACATATTTGTTTTGTATACAATTTGCTATCGAGTATAAGAACAAATTATTCCTCTGTTAATTATTATCTTACAATGTAAGCAATTGTTTTGTTGGTCTAAATTTTATTTAGCAATAAGGATCAATTGTATAAACTGTAATATTTTTTAAGTCACAAAAGAAAGAGAAAAACTGTGGGATTTTTGAATATTTTAAATAAAAGCATAGTACAGAAACATATTTTTATGGAGAATTTTGTTTAACTGTTTTCACCAATGGCTCTTTAATATTGAAGGTCAACGTCAATGATTGGTTTGGCTCTCATAGCAACTGGAACTGGTGGTATTAAACCATGCGTTGCGGCATTTGGTGGCGATCAGGTACTCAGAGAAGAAATTGAATACAAACCATTTATCATAGTTAATGTTTATTTACATTTTTATTGAAATTCTTTTAGTTTCGCTTGCCCAAGGACACAGAAAGGTTGCAGCGTTTCTTCTCAACTTTTTACTGTACCGTTAACTTTGGAGGGTTTATGGGTATGGTGGTGACTCCGGCTCTTCGCAGAAGCTACATGTGCTTTGGGGACGATGCTTGTTACGCTCTTGGATTTGGTTTTCCGGCTGTTTTAGTTCTCTTATCCATCAGTAAATAATTTATATATACAAATCTTTATGTAAATTGTAATATGTTCCTCAGTCGATATTTTTACCTTATTGTTATATATTGTTTTCTTTTCCAGTTATATTTGTGATGGGGAAACCATGGTACAGAATAAAAAAACCACGGGATAATATTACCATAAAATTTGTTTCTTGTGCCTGGGTTAGTATTTTGATTACGTTGGTATTAAATAAGTATATGAATAATTATTAATAAATATTAGACGAGAATCATTAGCTACTGAGTTATCAAATTTTGCCTATTGTATTCCCCTTATATATAATATTTATCTCAACTTGTATGCATTTATATTAATAATAGAAGATCCGGTGAACTTCGTATCGCCCTATAATCAAGAAATATCTGTTACGTTTTTTTATTTATATTTTTGGAATTTAACTATTAAAGCCATAAATATCCGTGTTTTAAAGTGCGGCAGAATGATTGACATATTAGTAAGTTGTCAAATCTAATGTCAAAAAAACGTTTGTATCAACAACTACTAATAAATTAAAAATTAATTAAAAAAACACTGTCCAGCGGACAACATTGTGAATCTAAACCATAACCAGATCCCCTTGAACAAACACAAAAAAATTCATCAAAATCGGTCCAGTCGTTTGAGAGAAGTTCAGTGACATACACACTCTCAGAAGAATAATATATATAAAGATTAAATAGCCGTAATCCGTTGCTGACTAGCGAAGCATTATAAAAAAGAAATAAAAAAAACATGTTTAAATTTTTGCAGCCAATGTCTCGCTACTCACGTTAGTATATATTTTTATGATACAAAATTCATCACAATTTTGAAGTAAAATATTGAGTTACGTTGTTAATTTTATTTAAAACCCAATTTAAATTTTTATATAAAAATTGTGCAGTATTTTAACTACATCATTAAATAAAGAATTTCATAAAAATATAAACTTTATATCACGACGTAACCATATATTTAGTGTGGTATTGAGTTACTAAATGAGAAATGTCATTCGTCATGGCCTCCTTAAAAATACGTATTGAAGGAAACATAACAAAGAAATACTTTGTACAATTAAAATGCATATTCTTTTACAAAAATTTTTTTCAAGATTATTTATATCATACTCTTTTGAGAAGTAAATTCCTAATAATTTTATATTAAATCTTAATAATATAGAACAAACTGTGTCTTGAAACAAAATAATAACTATATTTTAATACGTAAAGTATCTCACTTGATTTTTTCATTACTACCTAAATTAATAGAAAAAATGTAAATGTTATGTTTATAATGTCTATTATTAGTAATAAAACAAGAAGTTAATTTCTGATAAGAACCAAATAATACTTGGTACCGTTCGATAAAATTAATAAATAAAAAACAGATATCTAGAAGTAAATAAATAATTAATCTAACAAGAGGTTATTTAAAATAAAGGTTTAAGGCTTATATATTCTTTGATATGATAGAATTGAATTATTATATCTGAACTGGCGACTTAAAGATTGAAAGACAACTTTGACGGCCACCAGAATTATATACACTCGCAAGCTCTATTGTGAGGTAAGGCTTGAGCGTAGGGGATTACAATTTCTCCAAAGAAAATTTAACGTGCAATGATTTCTGCTTTCATATTAATTGAGTAGAAATCATATCTGTGGCACAAATTTTAGGCCAAACCTCTAAATATGGTAACGGTAGGAGTGGAAACACACTGGTTAGACTTTTCCAGTGGGACATTTCGGTAGAAGCCTCTCAGTGACAATCATTCTATTTAATGGTTATTTGTAGTGTTAAGTATTAGTATTACGTATTTAGTAAAATATCTGAAGTCCAATAAACTGCACTTAGTTCGATTGGGGTTGATAAAATACAGAATTAATTAATTATTATTACAACTAATGAGTCCCATCACTTAAATTTGAAAGTATCTATCTACTGAGATGCATTTATTATTCAAAATATCAACAATTGCAGAAGCGATGTGTATAACATTATATACATCGTTACATACTGAGAGCTAGAATAATATATGGGCCACTGTTTGTCCTTTAAATCCCTAAAATAGACTCACACTGTATACTGAATATATAACATTATATCTTAGTAGAGAACACGTAGAGTAACTTGTGTTAATAGGACTAGATACCTCTCATCGTGTCTTAGTGTATACGTGCCTCTAGTATTCCAAGAGCGATTAAGCAGACGTTCAGATGCACGGCCAGATGAATCGAGTTTAAATAGCTCCTGTTTACATTATTACACTGATTATTTTTGAATACCTCGTTTTCATAAATTTAGATTGCACAGGTAGCTTCAAAAAAATCAATATTGATAGGTTTGTCTATAAATTTTCAAATTGTTTGTTATGCCGATATCAAGTACCTAACATATTTACACTGCTTGGTGGGTTGTGAAATTCTAAAACAAGCAGTGACGTCTCTAAATAAATAATAGCAAGCGGTGGTGATGATTATATAACTAACAAGAACTGAATAGTTGCTTTATGACATCAAAAATATTATGTATGCTAATTTTTAATAATTTTAAAATTAAAATTTGGCCGATATTTTTTATTATAGATAGAAGAAAGCCACATTTTAATATAATATAAATACACTTCGGATAAATTTTCTAAATTTTACATTTCATATTAAACGAAATGCTCGATAGTAGACTGAAATATAACACGCTAATATACGTTTGTGTTTTCCTTTTTCTTTGTAGCAGGAGTAACTCAGAAAACTGATCATATTTTTTTAGTTGTAAAAAAAGTAGAAGTGAAATTTGAGTGAACATCTGGCAAATAACAGTTTTTTAATCCTCTTTTTTAGGTAACTATATTTAAATGGTATTTTGAAATACAGAAACATGGATTTAGTTGAAATCAGTTTATTGTCTGTTAAATTATTAAAGGTCAAAATATTATTACTTTTAAAGCTCAAAAGTTTTTGTAATATTTTTCATTTAAAATTGTTACTTTTGGTTACGGCGTGATATTGCGTATTATTTGTTCCTCAGTAAATGTCTTACATAACAGCAATAATTCTAAAAATAATACATATCTTTCTTAAGCCAATGTCATCATTCGCTTAAGTTTAATCCGTTCAACTAAACAAAGAAACCCTTCAATGTCTTGTAATAAAGTTTATACGTAGCCAAAATTATATCTGAAGGTAAAAGGAAAATCTTAATACTTTATTTTATATTTCTTATCGTGATATATGAAGTTGAGTAAAAAAATTGGGAATATTAGATTTATAAGGACTACGGTATAAAAAGAATCATGACTTTTCAGATTTCAAAATGCGTTTTTTTAAATTGTTTACGGTGATAAGAAAGGTAAGATTCTAAGGTAATGTATGTATGTATGGTAAGGTAATGTTCTTTTATCATTTATTTTATCAAAACGAGATGACAATAATAGTTTGTAGGTTACTGATACTAAAAATAAAACTTGAACGTTAACGTATAACTTGCCATAAAGGTTGTATTTCTGCTTGTGTCGCTTCAATATATCCGTCTTCGTTGCAATTGCATTTGATATTTCTCCTAGTGTACGAGGTTGCGTTAGTAGAAATCATACCATTCTTTATTAAAGAAGCCGTAATATTAAAACGAAACTAAATCGAAATTTTCCTAACTTGTGAATTCAATAGAAGTTATGAGACTGCTGTATAAAATGATATTTCCTTTTATATTTGAAACTTTGATTTTTTATTTTTTTTGGAGATACTTTAAAAAAAGAAAATACTTGTGTACGTTATGACTCTCACACCAGCAAATAAAATTTATACTCTATAACACAATCAGATCTAAAACTTTCGGGAGTAATCAAATGAATTGAATGAAATTCACATCGCGTCTGCCCGTGATAACGGTTGTTGCAAAATAACCGAAATGTTGGGAGTATGTAGTTAAAAAAAAATACACGTAGTTATCCGAAAATATTAGTTTCATTTAAATTATAAAATAACTAGCTGATCCGGCGAACATCGTACCGCCCTATAATCAAGAAATATCTGTACCTTTTTATCTGAATGAAGTTATAATTTATTATTAATTTCTTTATTAAGTATAACTGACTCGACAGACAATGTTCCGTCTTCTTAACTGTGATTATTGAATTCTAATTGGTATATTAATAAATCAACATTATTCCAAAAACAAAGTGTTTATTCTACTACGTGAATATTACTGGCAGTGACACATTATTTTAATAAAAAATTCATATTCTAGTTATTTTTTTTGTGATTTTTGTAATTTTTTCTTACATAAGAACCTTCTCCTAATAATAATAAATATAACAAAAAAAGAATTAGTCAAATCTTTCCAGCCACTCACGGGTGATGTCGTGACCAAGTGAAAAAAAGGATTCATTTTTATATACATAGATATTTTAATAGAGATAGTTTTGAACGTTAATTTTCTATCTTTATTCACTGCTTATATTTCAGTAATTATTATCAAAAAAGGAATTAATTGATAATGTAAAGATTCATATGCTCCGAGATAAATTAACTAACAATAAGAATAAACAAGACGACAGAACCAGTTTAAGTATCTTAAAATATTAGTTGTTCAAATATTACTATTTTTATATTGATATATTTAAAAATTAAGTTTTTTAAATCTATCTTATTTTTTTAATAACTGCTTGATACTTGTAAATAAACTTTCTCATTGTGACAATTATTCCCTTAATTCTTACAAATGTGTTTTTAAAGTAATAATAAGAAATATTTTGCTATGTTATGTAAAATTTTGCTGTGTTATGTTTATGTCGTCTATAATAGTGAAAGGTAAAGAAAGAAAAGGTATATTGAGGGAGTTTTAAATTAAGCGCAGAAGCTAGGGTTTGAATTTATTGAAAATTTTTGGTCTAAGACAGGAATCGCTACCGGATATTATTTTGTGTGGGTGCGAATATGCGAAAGTAGTGAGATCTAGTATAAACTAGATGTAAGTGCATAGACCGTAATTTTTAAATTGTTAATAATAAAACTGGAATGTTTTTATTTCCATTAAAACATCATATTATTTTTAAGCTCAGAACTATAATTTTATATCGATTATAAACTCCAAAAAAATCCTATTAACAAAGAGTTGACCTACGGCAAATTAAAATTTTACAAAAAATCTGTAGCTATAGCTTATCTATAGAAAAACACAAAACGATTCATAAGTATATTAATGATAAGTTTATTTTCTTAATTTGAAACAGTGCTGGGAAACATCTATTACTTCAATTCTATAGGAAAAGTTTATTAATCAATTTCACAATTGTGATATACATATGGTCTCCCTGAACTAAGTACTCATTACAAAGATAAGAAGTGAAAAATATTATAAACATCATCAAATACCATAAAAATTTAATAAGAAATATTAAATATATATAGTATGTATAGAAAGAGAATATAAAAGAGGATGGATGGGCCATCGTTAAGGGCATGAAGTTCTTTTAAACTGGATAATAGTTTAAATCGGGTATAATTAGTCTAGGGACTAAATTATAGCACCGGAATTATAATTAATTCGTTTTCACAAATTAATTATCCAAAGAGTCAAGGTTAAGCAAGCTAAGTACAACTAGTGCACCGAGACACGACAGAGCCAAGACTGCTTTTAGATTATTATTTTTTGGAACGTACGTTTTAAGGTGGTAGAGCCTAGCTGTGGTTAAGTTACTACAGCTCGAACATGGGCTGACTCGACCGGGGAAGTACCACCCTCTCACAGAAGATCGGCGTGAAGTAGTCAGTAATGACTGCGTTTCATCCGATGAGTGGGAGAGCCGGTTACCCTTTCCCTTTTCCCAACCTTTCCTTGTATTCCTTATTCCCACCCTTCCCTATCCCTACAAAAAACAAGGTTGGCAACGCATCCGCAGCAAAAATGTTGCGGATGTCCATGGGCGACGGTAACCACCTTCCATCAAGTGGGCCGTCTGCTCGTTTGCCACCTTTAACAAAAAAAAGGGCGCCTGCTAGTGTGAGGTCCGTGCGGAAGCGGGGACCTCGCTCTCGCCGGCGAGCGGTGGGTGTATGTGGTGATTGGTTGTGTAGTTGTCCTACTACGGTTGGAATTATCTGACGACGCGGTGATCCTATTACTTATTGTGATTTCATCGTCCGGATCGATGAGAATAAGTTTAGTGTGGGGCATCGAATGATGCGCTCGGTGGCGTGATCGGTGCACGTGTTTGTTATAGTCACGCTTAGGTGGCGCGCTAGGGCCGACACATACAATGTATCATAAATTATTACTTAAGGAATATTTTTCTTGAATGAAAAATCTGGTATTATAGACCCGTATGTTACATATGTATTGTATAAAATTTTAGACCAAAATTGTTTACACAAAAGCTTTCCACTTTTATGAAGTTATTTTTTATCTAATAATAATTATTATGATAACGCATTCATTAATTATCTTCTTCGCGTAGGAAGATTGTTTCAAATGAAATTATAATTCGATACTGTTTCAACGTATTCATTAACCGCGTTGCAATTTCTGGAATTTTGTATTAAATAGAATTCACAATAATATCGCATGCCGAAGTAATTTTTAATTATATTATTTAATATTAAAATATTATTGATGTGAATTCAATAAGGTAATTTATATCCATTATTAATATAATGGGATATTGCTATTGTTATGAAGTTTTTATCTTTATTTATGAGTTTTCGATCCTTTGAACTGTTTTTAATTCAATTATTTATATGAATTTTATGTTTTGTGTTTTTTAATCGTATTTTTTATTTAATCATAGGAATAAAACGGTTCTATTGGTTTAATATATGTACGTTGGAATTATATAGGTACTTATTTAAAGTTATTATATATGATATTTTTTCATTTCAGTATGCTTTCAAAAGGCGATTAAGATACGATAAAAATATAGATGGTCCCCCTCATAAACATTGGTTGGATTATTCAATCGATAAATATGGAGCCAAGCTGGTTTCTGATATGAAGGTGGTGTTCTCTATTTTGTATTTGTATCTCCCTGTGCCGATTTATTGGTCTTTATTTGATCAACAAGTAAGTGCACTAAACATTTTTTTTAATGAACTTTCCATATTTTCAAAATAATATGGAAAATAAAATTGCTTTATTTGAAAATAAAAATGCTTTTTTTGAAGAAGTCTGTAAAGGTTCTCTTGTATAAATTGGAGATTTTTTAAAACCGAGCATGTAACCGACAAGTAATTCAAGTAGGATATGTTAAAAAAGGATAATTTTTTTTGGTACATAATTACAAAACCAAGATTGTGGTTCTAAAACTTGTGTCACACTGCAGCTATCATAAAAAAAGGGAAAACAAATGCTCTTTATGTTGTAAACCAGACAAGCTTTCAGAAATTATTCTCTTGCATATAAAATTCTCTACAAAGTTGATAAAGCAATTTCTTTTTGTAGAACAATAATTAAATGTGTTACATATAAAAGGTATCAGCTTTTTTCTATTAAGTTTCCAAGGAAATTATATCACACCACTTTTATAGAGGGCATTACAGTCTTATAACTTAATAATTTTAACTTTTATGGACCAAATGTAAATGTACATAATAGACTGTATTTCATAAAAATTATTAAGTGGACTATAATATATAACGTGTGTTTACATTTTTCATTTACACAATATGAATAATAAAGGAAGAACCAAATGTTCTGAAACAGACATATTGTTTTACAAGGGTTCGCGTTGGACATTCCAAGCTTCTAGATTAAAAAGTGAAGTACTCGGAATAACTCTGATGCCTGATCAATTGCAAGTAATGAATCCTGCCATGGTGTTACTGATGATCCCTGTGTGTCCCGGTGGAGCCTGGCCCTTGTTGCCAGACCTGGGGCCTTTACATAAGATGTTCGCTGGCGGCATTCTGGCTGCAATGGCCTTTGTGTGTGCTGGTATTTTGCAAATAAGTATTGAGGTTCGGTGTATATCAATACTTTTTTTACACTTTATGCCTATTATACGAAACAGGTTATCTGTAAAAGTTATAAAAGTGTGAAATGAGGTCCACTACACCAACAAAATTACGTGATGTTGAACAAACATGACATTAATTTTGTGTAATAATATATACTTATATACACTCCATATTCCTAATTTTGACATGAAAAAATAAAAGGTCTACAAGATTAAACGTTTGATTCTAAATAAGTGTTTTAGTGCATATCATACAACGTGTAAATTAAATTTGAAATTTATTTGGCAATAAAGGTTTATGAAAAGAACCACGAATAAAATAAGTAATAGATAATACTGAAATATTTTTTTAATAATATAGAATTTTAATAATTATAGTATCTATTACAATCACTGACAACTGTAGAAAAAAAAAAATAATAGAAAAACAGTTATTACAGTTAAAAATATATTTTGTTACCTTTTACTAACGTTAAGTTATTTATATAAATAATTTGAATGGGACAAAATTTTGAGGTAAAATCTAAAAAATGTTGAAAAATCTAAAAAAATTAATAACTCCTATTCGAATATTGTATTAGAATATATTTTTCACGACCTTACTGTTTAAATACCACACATACACACATATATATATATGTATGTATGTATGTGTGTGTGTGTATATGGGTTTATTTATACGTGGGTTTCATTAAATTCAAACGCCCGTGGCTCTCGGAGTCTCGTATGATGCAACTGAAGTTTAAATATCCGGTCATTCGAATTCAGCTGTACAATGTTCTCATATTTTATAATCAATATTAGGATGGTATTGGTACGATTGCCGTGTTATATAGAGATGCTAAATGCAAGAAATGTTATATTACTGATTCCAATATAGGATGTATTTCAACTGTGGAAAGTTCTTTAGAATTAGTCATTATTACTATTAAAATATTTATAATTACTTTTAACTAAAGTAAGTGGAGTAATATAATATTATATTGCTTGATACTTATAGCGTTCTACACTTCAAGTACCAGGACACCAGCAGACTGGGATAATCATAATGAACACTCTCGATTGTCCTGTTGATATCGCGGTCAGTGGAGAGGGTATGGCTCGTGTTGATATTCACGGTACAGCGCTGATGACACCGCTACTAAGTCGGACTTATGGTATTGTGGTGTCCTGTCCTCGTGATTGTGCCGGCAGAATAATGAAGAAACATAATTTTGAAACTAAATTAAAGACCGTTTCTGAAATGGTAACTAGTAAAAGCGTTTATTCACGATAGTAATTTCCTACTAACATTATTAATGGCAATGATAAAAATGTCTTTTTAGAAAATAAAGAATTTATCATATGAAACTTGCGAAGTCTGAAAGTGCAACTAATGTCTTAAAATTAAGTTCACCACTTCATCTTAAGAAATTTCATATGCATTTTCAGCTTTTTCAATTATGTTTAATGTGTATTTGTTTTCTCTTGTAGTTTATGCCAATTATCGTCGGTCAAAATTCAGATGATGAAATATCCTTATATTTTATGGATCCCGGGCCTTATATAAAATCAATGACAGGGAAACCGAAATTAAAGTATACTTTTTGAATAAATGTGTTATAATAATATTTTATACATATTATACGACGGTTTAAACCGATAAGACTAAATCAAATTTAAGGGTCGTGTATGTTGGAGATACAGGTCCTAATAAGAATGTTTCGATATGCGTTGAAACGGAAAAACGTTTGAATGATATTTATTACGTATCAGACTCCCCTATCGATCATATCGGAGAGTCTGCTTACATGTGCCTACAAACAGGAAAGTAAGTAATTTTTAAATGCATTACAGTGTCAGAAGTCAAGATAACTCATTTAAGCGACTCTACGAACCTGTAATATTATTTATTAGTCGACAAGCTATGGTTGCTAACGAAATTTTCTTTTGATGGCTCGGCAAAAGAGAAATGTTTTTATATCTTGACTGGCTTTTATTTGAAAAGTAAATTTTTCAACAATTTCTTTAAATATTAATTCTATTTCTTCTATTCCTTATAATAATTTCATTTTAATAGCTACTAAATGTGTAGGTACTATGTACATTTTTGTTACTACTATTACGCAATTAAAAAGTATTTTCAATTATTTATAGATTGTATAAACGATCCTTTTTATCATTTCTAGTCTCACTTCTTTCATGTGTGTTCATTGCACATTCATTGAATTTCAAGATTCATGTGGTGCTTACACTTTAAGAACACTGCAAACAATCACAAATTGTAACAGTAACAAATTGTTTATTTTTTAAATATTCAATGTTTATATACTTATTTCATATATCTCCATATCATTAAACTATTTTTATGTGCTAGGAAAACATTATTATCTCAAAGTACTTGTAAGAAAAAAGTTCAATGTCTTACATTTATATTAAAAATCTTTCAGATAAAAAGTGGTTTTATAATAAAATTCAATACATTAATAGTTGGTATTGAGCGTTATTAAAAACTTTTTAACAAGTTTAAACAAACAGCAATACTGCTCTATTTCGACAATAAGTTTAGTTTAAGTATTAATTAGTATTTTTATAGCTCTGTCAAACAGAAATATTTAAAGCTAATATATCATTGTAGAAATGTTTGTTTTAGGTTTACTTGGCGTGTCGATAGTACAGGGGGTGAGGTGTCGGGTGCGGGGGAGGGCTATCTGCGGACTGGAGGTGTTTATGTTTTATGTCTGAGGGAGCGACTAGGCCGGTTGGATACAGCTGTGCTCCATGCACCAAATCCACCTAATGAACTACACCTGGCGTGGATCGTTCCCCAATACTTGCTTGTGTCGATGGCGGAGATCATGTTCGCGGTTTCCGGTCTTGAGTTTTCTTTTACACAAGTATGTTTTAAATTTAAAATTATTTTTCCAACTAAGAAATTGCTTATTAACATGAAAAATACTGATTACCTTTTGCTTCGCAAGGAAAATTACTTTATTTTAGCTTGAATCAAAGGCACGTCTGCTTTTAGTTAGATGTTTTCAAAGCCATTGAGAAAACGTGCTTTCAAAGGCTTTTGCTGTAATAAATTATTCCAGGAAATTTATTTATCATACAGCTCATCTTAGGTTTATAAACAAGAATATTTATAAAAGCTTTACAAAATGCAGACGTTACAAAGCTCTGACTTCATTTAAAATGGTTTAATATTTTCAAAACTTTCTGACAGACTCATAAATTAAAGTAGGTTTTATAATATTATGATAATAAAGGTTATTTTTTAAAGGCTCCGAAGAGTATGAAGACCATTACAATCGCAACTTGGTACATGTCAGTGGCTATTGGTAATCTAATTGTAATTCTAGTGGCTCAAACAAAAATTTTTGAATCAAGGGTGAGCTCTAAATTTACAAAAATGTTATCTTGTATAATATATCTGGAGGAGTATAATATTGTAGAAATCGAAGAGTTTAAATCAATTACTACTATTTGCAGGCTACCGAATTCTTTGTATATGCAGGCGTGCTAACGGGTGCTATGTTGATATTCCTATGGATGGCACAGGGCTATTGTTCTAGAACAATGGAAGAAGACGGATCCTCCACTGAGAGCCGCCCTTTATTGCAAAAGCATTCCAGGGTTGATTAGTTTTTTCACTATCTTATCATAGGGACAGCTAGTACTTACAAAGTTTTACATTAAGTTTTATCTCATTACTAAAACTTTGTTTTTGTTAACATTTATTTTAACTGAATACTTACTAACCGTTATGCATATTTGAAAAATTCTAAATGTATCTACTGAATTTTTAAATCATGGTAATATTTTATCACGATTAATTACCATTGGTTTAATATATAAAAGAAAATAACTATGATTTATTTTTTATTTCAAAGGAAAAATCATAAGCTTTTAGTTTTCTCATACCGTATAATTATAAAACTATAAATTAAAATGTGTAGTAAATATACATAATGTAATCAGTTCGCTTTTGACCAAAAGCAATCTCAGTATAAATGTAACAACTTAAATTGTAAATACCCTGTGTTCTATTTTATGATTTTAAAATGTCTCGTTACTGAACCCAGCGGGCGACCTCTGAACGCTTGAAATCTTTATAACATGGAACCTTTAGCTACGATTTCGTTCTCATGTTCTGCGCAATAAAAAACATTACTGTAATACTGATTATACATAGTTCAAAATTATGTATTTTAATTCTATTTCCTACATTGTTTACAGAATAAACAAATTAAAAAATAGTTAAAATTCTACAAAAACGCTTTATAATCTTCACATTACTAATAATTTTAAATTTATAACTGTTGTCCTGTGTATACATGTTTACATAAGACGATGCAAAATTAATCGTGAATAAATTAATATCAACAATGTTAACGTACAAAGAAAACATTTTGAAACCTTGGTTTAAATTTAATCATTAGTCTTTAAAAAAAAAGAAACCTAAAAAAGCGAAAAATTTTAAAGGTTATACAATATGATTTATCTATTTCGACAAGTCATATATTATTAGTAACACGCAAGAGTGGCTTCTTTTGATAAAATCTTTGTTGAAATCCAAATTTTTATTACAATTATCTAAGTTATTATTTTTTCAAACAAATAAAAAAAACAAAACTTTTCTTAAGTTCTAATTTACTCCGTTTCTATGTTTGTTCAGTTGTTAGTTGTTTTTTTTTTTTACTTTTTTTTACAAACTTTCTCAAAGTAAATAGTACTTCAAACTACTTAAAAGAATCAAGCGTCGCAAAGTTTAGTAGATAATAAAGAGGTACTTGTGAGTGGGCGAATTTTTACTTTAACGAAGTAACTTCTTATTACCTGGAAAGAAGCAGCTTTCTTATTTTCATTAATTACTTTAATATTTAATACTTTGTATTTCTATTCAGATAATATCAATACACTCTATGTCTACAAGGAGTACAGCGTACAGTGCTCCTGGAAGTGGTGCAGCATCTTGTTTGGGGCTCATGGAGAAGACGGAGGCTGCTGCGTGGCCCTCTCATGGCCTCATTCACGTAGCGACACCCAGCACTAGCGACATCAAAGCAACAACTCTTGCAAAAGATTAACAACTCATACTATTTACAATTTTGATTTTAAGAATATTTTGTTCATCACTGTAGTTTTTAGATGATTTTTGTCTGTACTTTCGAATAAAACAAAGTATTCATTTGACTTGAAATAGAAATAAAAACGTTTTTTATAAACATACCAAATAGTTATTTTATTCCATAATATGTTCAGACGAAAACAGAAGACAGTTACAAGAAGACAAATTTCTATTAATATTTCGAGGGTGCTTTTAAAAATGAATTGTACTATCCCTCGTAGCAGTACAACTTTTAAATAATGAAGTCACAAAATATCTTTAGCGATAAAACATTTTTCTTGCATATTTAAAGTGATGAAATTAAAATTTTAAAACCTTTAAGATATGAGAACTCTTAGTACTTCTGTTTGATGAATGACACGGAGTAAATATTTAAAAAAAATCAGTTTTTCTTTTTTAAACTGTTTTTTCTTCATTCTTTACTTGCAGTGTATAAATTCTACAATTTTGTGTATTTTTAAAAAAGAGATTTATATCTAGAATTATTGATCGACTCACCTCTAAAGTATATTTAGTTGAAGTAATAATATTAAGTTTTCAGCTCATCTATTTACTCTCAGAAAATTCAAGTTTCTCATCCGGCTTAGTGCAGACTACAACTTGAATTCACTCAATAAGTTGTTTGATTTGCAGCTTTCTGATCCTAAATCATAGTGATTTTACATTTTGTTAATTTCAAATATAGCTTTTCTTTTTCTATTTCTTTTTGACATTCAATACATATTAATACTCTAGAATATTTTTTTACATTGATGTCTCCGATTAAATTAATAAGTAAGTATTTTTGTTAAAGGCGTTCTTTATCTAAAATTCAGTAATGTGTTAAAAATAGTAAAATATAATTTTAAGTCTTTCATCTCGTATGTCTCAACTCTATTGTTTTAGTTGGTTTCTTTGTCAAATTGCGTATATTGAAGCGTTTTTACGAATATTGGCATTTCCAGGTTATCTGATAAGGTACAATATTTCAATATAATAATAATTTTTAAGAATTTTAGGAGTTCACAAAGAAATTTATATATTTTTTGTGGAGTAACTGAAAAAGTAACGATCTTATCCCATATTACAATTTTGGCTTATATCAAATTAAAATTTGCTTTCATTTGCTTAAAGTCCATTTGCTTAAAATTTGTTTGACACGTATAATAATAATAATACAGCCATATAGATTTATAACAACGAATAATTTAATTAGTCAATCAGCTATGAACACAATTTTATTAATTCTGCGTGCGTAATTATATCCATGATATCAAATTAAATTATAATTGAATTGATATTATATTAATATTCTGATACCAAATATTAAACTATTCGTATGTACAAAAGAATCATTTGTCAATAAACCCAAAAAATTGCAGTTCTTTTGACATCTAAATGTGTAAGTCAGGAAATGGAGGAGCCTTATTGGTCGTCAAATACGACTGATGAATCTTCGGAATCATTATTTGAAGTCACTGGTTATCCAATGACTGGTGACGTCCCTATACTGAATAGAAAGGTAACGATCTTAATATTTTATATATATTTAAACCTCCCTCTTCCCCAACATAAGTGAGTTATGTCCCAATTGAACGGAAACAATATCTTTACATAAAAACAAAAGGAACTGACCAGCACATGCATTTAATACATATTTGAGAATAGGTTCAAACGAGGTCTGAATAAATAAATGCTATTGAAACTCAACCTGAACATTGAACAATACTTTTTGTGTATAATACAACTGATTTCTGATCGCCAATTCATAAACACCAAGCAATTATTAGTTATCGCTACCATTTTGTGATACGTATTGTAATTAAAGAATGCTCATAAAAATTGGTTTACAATGTGTATTTAAGTGATTAGCCGTAACATGAAACAAAACGTAAGGCAATTTTAAATGGAAATTATTTATTTTGTTTATTTCAAAACAAAACAATCATGTTATAGATTTTTAAGGGAACACGCGTCAATATAAGGGAACATCCATACATTGTAAGCATTCGTAGACTTTGCTCACATTTTTTGACTGGGACCTTAGTTACGAAAAATTTGATCCTAACCGTTGCTCATCCTCTATACGGGTAAGTGAAAGTAGTTTTAAGTACTTGCTAAAACCTTGATTAATAAGTAAAGTTAGGCACTTTGCACAAAGATCTTGGAATATAGAATAACTAATTATAAATTTTACCAACTTATTATGAAAGTTCGCTTAATAAAGTACCTTTATCGAATGTATGTATGTATTTTACTAATAGCACCATTAAGAATAAATCGACTAAATTTAGGCGAATTTTGCCTAGTGTTTAATCATCGTACTTACTATTTACTATTATTTTATTAGCCCCACTGAGTTAATTGTCTTCACCTCTATGATATGAAAAGTAGGAAACCTCTTTTACAAACTCATAGCTACCATACATGAAAGAATCAACGTCCCGTTTACAATACATAAATAATGCTGTATTTTTCCTGCTCCATTCACACGTGGCAACATGATGTTTCATTTTCCATATACTGTATATTCATACGAATGAACAACAAAATAATTAATTGCGAATTGTGAAACTTTCTGTTAAATGAAATTAGAATTGTTTTTTTTTTATTTAATTATTACATTTGTTACTCTTTTACACAAAACTAAAAAAACCGTTTAAAATTTTTGTGTAGCAAATCTGTTTTAATACAAGGTTTGATAGACCTGAATTCGGTCCTAATATTATAGAGTGCCAGTGAACGAGTTAAGAGTTGTAGTGGGGGAGAACTATGCAGACAGGGGCACTATACTGTTGACAGTCGTATTAGTGATTATACATGAGGACTTTGACAAATACACGCTTGTTGGAGATCTCGCTATGGTTCGCTTTTATGAAGATATCATTTTCAAGTAAGCACCTATCATTTAATATTTTTTTTTAATAATTACTTGTAGAAGACTTAAGTGATTAAATATGTAATTTTGAATATAGGAATAATCTGATAAAGTTTTTATATACATACATAACATTTATACAAAACTATTTTATTCCAAATACATATTTGGAATAAAATATGTGGAATAATAGAAAAATATACATATATTTTTTAATTTACTGTTGCAAAATAAGGATCATTGGAAAGATTGTAAAATAATCTGAAATTTAAAAAGCTTTTAATTTATTTCCAATCTGTAACATAAAATAATAAAACGTTTATGATAAAATGTTTATTGGAAGGTGAAAGCTTCGATTTCTATATAAGTAAATTTTCAGGTGTCTGTTTGTATTTTAAAATAACTTTTTCTCCATGATAGGTACATATCGTTTCCCCTTCGTTTTTAGGTAACTGTGTTGTAATTAGCAATATTATTATTATTATTATTTTCGTTGGTTTATCCGATTGTGTGCGGTTATTAAGGATAGGCCAAAGCCTGGAAGCGTTTTTACAGGGAGAAAACTTTATGATAGAAAATCTCATAAGGCCACATATGTATTCATAAATTATGCAATTATGTGTAACGAACTCTAACATTATGTTAAAAAATATGTGAGGAGTCGCGGAGTGCGAGTAGTTTAAAGCAAATGAAACATTCAACAAATTAAAATTTACGAATATTGCCTCTTAGCACCAGACAAAGGGGTGGCGAGGGGGAATATTCACCTCCCACTTGACCATTACAGTCAGATATTATTATAAAAAACTGTAATAAAATGTTTCTTCAATTTATAAGCTGTTATTGGAAAATGTTTCATCAAAAATACTTTTCAATTATGAAAATTGTATCAGAGATTTCTGTAAAAGTTATATGATTTATAAAAAATTATTACTTTTCATTAATCATATACGTATTAGAATCTTTTGGATATTCTTGATATTAGATACATATCAGAGTAGAAAACTTTCAAAATAAAGGATTTTTCTTTCAATTAACTAATTATAGTTTTTATCAGAATGTACCTAATAATGGTTATTGAGAGGAAATGAAACACAATAAAAATGATATTGCGGGAATGTCATAAAATATTACTATTTCATTTGTTATTCATGCTTATGAAAAGTTAATTGGAGTGTCTCCCAGAATTTTATATGGTGAGGCTACTCTGTCAAATAGTTTCTTCCCTCTTTACACATTAAATATTTAAAAAATGTAACTGTTCAGATTAAATTGTTCGATATGTTCCGCATTGTGTTATAATTTGTCATTATCATTTCTGATATTATTATAAGGTGAAAATGTTTGAAAAATTTTGTGGGTGTCGTGTTTTCCTGAAAAACACCCTTGTAACTTTTGAACATATATGTTCATTTAACAAACACCAAGGTAAAAAAGTTGTTAAGTATTTGAAAATAAAAGTAAATTGATTTTAATTAACAAGCGAGTATTTAAAGTTCACAACTGAGAGATTGCCAAAGATGGTTACGATCAACCGAACTACGAACTTGTTACTTTGAAGTCCTAACCTTTTTATAATTTATTTCAATAAATTGGAAACTATTACCAGTGCGAAATTATGGACCCAGGATTACAATTTTTTTATGAAACTTTTTTGAGACAAAACTGTATGAAAGTTTTAAAATATAATCAATTTACTAAAAATATATCTACATATCAATCATTTTTTGAAAGGCTTGGAGTCAAGGATATTATTAACATTAGACAGATGTTTAACCTACTTTTATTATAAATATAATAAGTCCAAGACAAATGTTTTCAGTATACCATTATTTAATTCTTGCTTAAACTACATTCAATAGATAGTGGGAGGTTTCTACAAATAAAATTATATAGTCTATGTTTTGCTGGAAATATTTTTCGTAATATAATAATATTAGCAACTTATAATAAAATAATACAGAATATTGATGTTATCGTGAATATTATTGGGAAAGTTGTCCGGGCAACAAAAAGTCGGAATAAACTAGCGAATAATTTTATAAATTTAGAAATACGGTACCCGATTAAGAAATATTTTTGAATATTATACTAGGTTCAATATTCATGTAATTCATATATGCGTGTCGGTTTATTACTCTAATAATTTTGCTGATATTCATGAAAGTTATGTATATTAGAATGACATTAGATAAACTATATATAAACATCGTTATGTAGGAGATATTATTATTAAATCTTGTTTTAAGCTTTAAAAAGTACATTAACATAATAATAACTTTTTTGAAAAAAGCAAGCAAGGAAATTTATAATTATGTAAGAAACAATTGTCACAGTCAAGTTAAAATGAGCTTTTAAAATAAACAGAAAAGAGATCTAACAGAAATTTACGAAACCATTAACTATACATATGTTTACTAGAACATTCCTATGTTAACGTTTGTAAACAAGTAGAAATATAAACGGGAATGTTTTGTAATCGGATTATTGTGTATTAAAGAGCTGCTGGGTCGGTTTTGAGCGAGTCTTTCGAAAAACGACATATAAGCGTTATTAGCTGCGATATTATTTGATATCATAATAAAATAAATATTTGTGTTTTCTGTAAAATACTATACATCAAACCCTGACTCGGAACAATGTGTAATACTTCTGTATCGCTTAAATAAAAAAAAATGGCTGAACAGAGTTTATATAGTTATTGGGAGGATAACAATTTAAAGGACTTATTTATTTCCTGTTTTTTTCCTGTCGATCAGAAAAAATAAGAGAAGGATTATGTTTTATTACAAAATTGTTTATTTTTAACTGCTGTTATATTTACAATGGCTATAACTTCATCAATTTTTATTTTCATTTTATTTTACGCATGTTATATAATATTTTCTCTTCATTATTCCATTTCAACTTTTTATCCATATAATATTGTTGTTTATATTCGGACATTTATGTTATTTCATGTGTTTTTTTTTGGTTTATTCCATATCATTCAATTGCTTCTTTACAATAGATGGTCGATTTTTAATTTTAATTTTATGTAAGATATGTATAAGTATTAGCCAAGTACATTTCCCACATCTGACTGAGATCTGAATTTCTTTGTTTTATATAAATTATGTATTTTTTCTATATAATTTATATATAATTAAACACTGAGTGAACCGTTTAATCGATTTGAGACATTGATTGCTAACAATGAAGTAAATGATAAACTGTCAATTGTCACATCAATAACGAAGCATATTTTCAGATCTAACGTAAAGAGCATTTCACTAGTCGCTCCTTATTTAAATATCACGAATAGTACTGCCTTTGTCACTGGATGGGGTAGATGCGATCTAACTGTGAGTAATTAACATTGTCTAAACCATTATAAGATTTATATTACATTTATAGCAGTTAAAATTCCCAGAAACTTACAGATTATTTAATACTTATACTAACTTGCTTAAGCTGGAAATAATAAAAATATATAAGGTTGAATTTCGTAGAGAATTTTTTATAATCCGTTTGAAATAATATATTATAGTTTATTTAATAGCACCACTTAGGTTAAATTTACGTCCAGACCTATGGCGGAAGTTTAAAAGCTGCAGCTATTTAAATATTAAAACTTTTTAATGCAGGGAAAGGAGTTGTGTCTGCCTCGCGGTTCACAATATTATCCAGGCGAGATGTTGGACCCTATGCTGAGAACTGTTTCATTAACAATTACTTCACCTAATTACTATTGCCAGGGATACAGAAAGGTGGGTAATTTTATTACTAATTTTATGTCATGGGTATCTACTATTGAAGGAATAATAAAGAAGAAATTTTAAAATTAAATATTTATCCAGTGTAAATTGCTCGTTATTTTACTGTATAATCAATACATACTTATCGTCATATGTAAAATCGAAGCACGACGAACAAAATGGTTTAAAAAAATGAAGGTAAATATATAAACTAAGTCCTGAAATAAATATAGCCCTTAACAAAGGCAGGCACATTCAATATTCAAAACCATTTACTTGCATGAAACGGCAAGTAATATGAGACTTGACGTTAATTACTTTACATACCAAGTTTAGTCAATAGTAAGGTTAGTTATCCATTTTAAACTGACAACTAGTGAAGTGTGCCAAGCAGTTACAAATTTGCTGTATAAAATTTATGACAAAGAAGTTACAAAGGTAATAACGTTCTAAATCGGTTGGAATGATTACTGTCGTTGTTACATACTGTTATTATGTTTAAAGAATTTGCATGAAACTTATCACTACATTATATTTAAAAAACTTTGTGATTATTTTATATTATTTTTTATATTATTTTCTGAAAATGAAATGAAAAATAATTGTGGGTAAAATCAAAACAATATTGAAGATAAAATATATTCATATAAAAAAGTAAAACTATTCCTAGGATACCAAAAAATACATTTTATATAGTTACAGTATCGGTCAAACCTTAACGTTTAACTTACCGTATAGAAAATGAAATATATTTGATAAAATTATACCCGTTTTTCTTCAGCACGAGACTCCAGTCCGCAGAGGTATGTTTTGTACTGGCATGGCTCGTGAGGAACATCCAACATTTCCCTGTCTGGCAGTTCCCGGGGCCCCACTAGTTGTAAGGGGAAAATTGGCGGCAATCTTGTCTTGGGGCTTTGGATGTGGTTATCAGAACGATCTTCCTCTCGTTTATACTGACACAAAATATTATATAAAGTAAATACGACTTAATTTTATTTTTTCAATAGCTCGTTAATATTTTTGTATATTACAAATGCATTTATGTGTAATGATCATTGTCAATTTACGGGTTTTTTATTTATTATAATTGATTATTTTGTGAAATACTAGTTATAAGAAACTATTAAATATTGATCGAAGTTGTAAACTGAACAACTATAACTTTGTTTTCTATTGTTATAGTTGGATAACTCAAAACGTGGCCAAAATACGAAAGATTGCTAAAAAAGATTTTAAGCCCCTATTTGACGCAACTAAATCATGGGTTCTCTTGGAATGGTTTACAAAATCAAGAGTATTCAAACCAGAACGCCACTATCACAGAACCAGGGAGCTACAATTAATTAATTTAGACCGAGGTCTAAGTGAACTTCGAGGGCAGATTTTTGATTTAAGAGATTTTATTTTTAACAATGAATATCAAGAAAAAAAGCTGGCAATGTATAAAGAAATACAAAATTCACTAAAAGAAGGAAATAATACAAAAGATTTAATAGAAAAAATAAAACTTCTTTCATATACGATAAAACCACTTCCTTTCTTCAGTAATAAGTCTTTATTAGAAATAGCTTCCAATTACGATGACTTCAGTAGTTCTAATGAAGATGAAAAGAATTAAGAAATGTTATGTTAATAAAAAAATCTGTTATAAAAAATAATATCAATTAGTTTAAATATTTTCATCCATATTATTTTAAATCGCGGCTTTATCCACAAACCGCACATAATGGTTCTCAGTAGTGCGCCGCAGTTACAACATTAATCATTGACCACACCAAATAGTTTGAAAATTAATACTATACCTTTGAATCAATTTCATATTAATTTGCTTATATATTCAATAATATAAATAGTAGCTGATGTTAAATACTATAATGATTATTGAGGAATTAATAATAATTCAATTCAATTCATTACTAAACATATGTATAATAAAATGTGGTAACCTTTTGATTTTAATTTTACGAGAGTATATACCTTCACAGACTAACATACATATTTAGACATTACATACTTATTTAACGTAAAAAAATAAAAAAGACTACTTATTACTTAATTTATTTATTTTATTCTGATAAGAATTAAGTTCATAGATTACTGATTGTTAAAGAGCATTAAGGATAAAAAGAAGGTGAAAAATTAATGTAATGTAGCAATTTTTTATTTTTTCCTTTAAAAATGGGTAATAAAACAACATATTTTTCACGAGCTACTTTATTTGGTTTAAATCCCTTGGTACTATGGTAATCGATAAACAAAATCGAATAACTAAATTACTAAACTGAAGATTATATTTTACCTTATTAAAAACTCAATGATTTTCGAAAAGCTAAGGTGCATCTTATATTTTAACAAATTGATATATCCGGGAACAAAAATATAATATCACACTGTAAAAAATATCTAATCTATTTTATGAATTGTAGATTAAATTAATTACTATATCTAATTTTGCAAATAAGAATATGGTAAAAAGAAGGTATTAACAAAAGTAATTGAAAAAAAATTAAGTAATCTTACTGTGAAATTATATACAAGTAAATTAGCCTTTTAACTTAAACTATATATTTACAAAATTGAAAAATAAATAATATAGCCTACAAGTAATTGCGATGCGATGCTAAGAAATCTTAAAATTACGATTATAGTAGCATTACAAAATTATTATAAACACATCATTCAATATTTACTGTCGCAAAATAAGGCAGATTTTTACAACAAATTACTTTTAAATCTTAAATAACCGAAATATTTAATAATTTGATTACCTAGTCGGGGAGATTAATATACCTACTATTATAGACAGCTATAGAGTATATTAAGCAAAAATCTACGCACTACAATGAACTTTTAAAGATTATATATTTTTATTGATTACTAGGATATCTTTGGCATGATTACACATAATAATAGCTATAATATTTTAAATGTAGATGTTTAGATAATATGGATTGAAAACGCAATGTCTTATAATTTAAGTACAGCGTTTGTTACGGAATAGGCGCATCTCACTGGTTGCAACCGCTATCCACTCATTCCTTAGAGAGTCAAACCAGGTCAAGCCAAGAGTGTACTTGCCATTGATATTCACGTGCTGGCAATGAGAGAACCACCAACCTCCTTCATAGTTGGCAGCGCAATGAGTATTCGAGATATCTCGGTCGTGATCGATGGCAGAAAATTCCATATGGTTTTGGTACTCAAAAGCATCACTAGCATTACCTCTGAAACCGCTCACAGTCAAAACGTATCCAGTATCAGCGCTTCCAACGGAGAAATGATCATATTCAGCATGCCAAGAGCTTCCATAAATATCGGTCATCTCAATCCTCATAGAAGAGCAGTTATCAGATGTCAACTGGTGCATCGATTCCAAGCCAAGCCAAAATTCGGAGGCTGCGTTACCAAACCCTTGCACGTATTGAGCAAATTTCCTATTAAATTCTACGGATCCATTGTAACGGCGTTGAATAAGGGTACTTCCATTGATGCAAAAGGTCTCAACCGGAGAATGACCAGGATTTATTAAATAAACTTGGTCAGGTCCAGTCACGCTTGAGCAATCCTTGGGTAATTGAACAACCAGATTTTCATACTCGCGTTCAAGGGGCTGAAGCTCTTTAACTTCATCAATAAGCTCAGGAAGCGGAATATATTGGCTAACCATTGTCGTCTTATTGGCCTCACTCTATAACAAACACAATATGAAAGTGGTAGCATGTCATGCGAATGTATGAAAAAGGTTTATTCATAAATACTTTATACATTATATTCAAAACGGTTGAGTCTTTTTATATTTTCTTTGTCGATGGTAAGTTCGAAATCTGAATATTATGATGATAAGTTCAAAATCTGTATACTTATAAAAGATTGAGAAAGTAAATTGTGATATTGAAGCAGTGATTCGAAAATATTTAAATTGCACAAAGAGATCAAACCTGATCGGAATGTGCATGTAGATTAAAATAAATATTACATTTAAATATTTTAGGCTAAACTTAAAATATATTAAAAAAATACAAAATATTTTCTTTTTACTACTCGTTTAAGCAATGAAAACATTACACCTTTTTTATTACATGCAATATTATCATGATAATTTTGACAAGTATTTAAGAGGCATTTTTTTTACCTTGAGAATGTGATCGTTGAGGCGGTAGTAGTGCTGCTTGCTTATATTTTCGAGACCGATCACTGAGTCATTGAGAGCCTTGATAACGAGACGATCCATTTCGGCACGATCAATGGTGTTGCTCACGCTGACTGCGATGGCCTTAACAGATTGACGGAGATTCTCTTGGTCCTCTTTTAGATAAGAAGATTGAGCGTTGAGCTATATAAATAAAAAAATAAATTAAAATGAGAAACTAATAGAGTATACAATGCCATAAAAGTATGAATTTATCTGACCAAAGCAACTCGTGAGATATGCTGATATATAACCTAACCAACCAACCAAAAATAAAGTATAAAGGAGTAAAAACTTACCTGGGCGAAACTAATATCCAGTTTAGATATCTCTTTTTTAAACTCAGGAATTGTTTTGTCGGCTTTGTTCTCAATGCTTTCAACGTCTTCGCGCAGTTCAAGCATAGAGGCGTGGACTTTATCAAAGTCGGCCACTCGTTGGGTTACATTGTTCAGTTCACTTTTGATTGTGTTAGTTTCAGTTGCAAGGTAATCCACTCGAGTTGAAACCAGATTCCAGTTAGCTTCTTCAATGCGGTCGAGACGACGAAGCACATCGAGGAGTTGGGTCTGCAAGTGCTGTTGGTATTCATCCAATTGATTTTGGCTGCGGGCCAAACGGGATATTTGGGCATGCACCATTTTGTTGTGGCGTATTTTGTGTCCATGCTTAGGATGCGAGTCTGAAGCACGTTTTTCGTATGGCTCTAGGACGTCATTGAAGCTATCTTCATTGAGTGTCTTCAATTTAATCTATAACCAAATATACGTATGAGTTATATTGCTTGTATCATATGATGTGTTATGTAATTTACTTTTTAAGACTACAACTGTTAATAAGTAATATTGTTTACAGGTGCATATAAACACTATGTTAATTTCATTGTGAGTTTGGGAAATATCAAACTTTTTGCATTAAGACAATTTCTTTATTCAGTTTAAATCACCACTTATAATCCTAGTACTTATAAAATACATTATTAAATTATTATAGAGCAATAAATTTCGACCGCTATATTCATGGCAAATGTCACTTTGAAACAGCACCTCTTCTTAAACAAAATGCTTAAAAAATGTAAAGTTAACTACGTACGTATCCTTAAATCAAAGCTAATGTTATTATTATTTTTTTCTCATGTTGTATGGCTTTGGGACGTGACTATACAATTACGTATGTAAATACGATGTGAGCTAGAAACATGATGCCATGAACAATGATAAAAAAAAACATTTTGAAAGGGTGTGGAAAAATCGTAGTTTATTAAACAACATTGTCAAAGTTTTGCTTGCATATATGCAAAACTGAAATTATTAGCTGTACTTCATAAATTGTATACGAAACTTGTTTTAAATAGGTTTCACGTAGCGGGTTTTGATTGCACGTGTATTCAAGACAAAGAGTGTAAATTGCGAGTTAACTCTGACCCGGATATAGTTAGTCCTAAGCAATAATGAGTAACTTGTGTACGTAGTTAGGTAGGTGCTTTGATATAACAAACTATTACTATTTTATTACAATTGATAATATTATCTTATTCTTAACGAAAGATAGAATCTATATTAAAATATTTTTATTTGAAAGCTTCGTATTAGGTATATTTGTAGAGCCATGCTTCGTTTTTATTCTTTAAAATTCTTATATAAAAACAGTTCTGTGAAATGAAAACTTATTCATGATACGGAAGCAAAACCAGTTTTTGAATCCAGCATCTCAATATGACACACCGGAATAGATGTTATTTATTTATTTTTTTAATTATAAGACTAAACATAGTATTTGAAATCAGCAATCTTTTTTAAAAAAAATCCGTATAGCTTTATTACAACATCCTAAAAATTGAAACATTAGCACGAGTTAAATATTCACTCGATGAAATTGTAATCTACATTTAATATGCTCTCAATATTATTCAACCGTTTAAAGTTAACGACAATATGGATTTATGTACAAGTAATTTGATATACCTACCTACGTATAAACTTTTCCCACGATCAGACCTGATAAGCTGTATCTTTTGAATAGGGATTGTGTGAAGGTTAGATAAACATGAAACCATCATATATTGTTGTCCATTGTTTTATTACGTTAGAAATTCTTGATCGAAGTATACATAATTTATAAGTAGATATAAGCCATAATCATAATGAAAGCTGATATTAAAAATTGTTTTTAATTTTAATCTTTCTTTGAAACGTATTTGCTCTATTTATTCAGAAAGGCACTTCGGTTTCAGCTTGTGATTGGTGATCAGCTTATGTAATGTGATGGAACGGAACTTAATTAGTATCAATGCATTGATTTGAAAGGCAAGCACTAAGCGTCGTGCTGTTTCCTTTCTCAAACATGCATACTTGCACATACGCCACAAAGATCTGTGTTATTAAGGTATATATTATACGGGAACCGATACATTTAATTTTAATTTTTACGAATTGAAAATTAAAGGAAGCCAACAACGTAAATACATATTCTCCAATTTTAAATACTCTGAATATTGAGCTATTATACACTAAAAGTAAAAAATGTTTTATACAAACTTATATTTTTTCGAGGAAAGAAAGAGTAATTGTAATAAGTTGTTATAATTTTTTTATATAAATGTATATAAATACGTTTTACGTTCACGTTTTATTCCATATATAACTACATATTTAGTTAGACCGTGTGACAAAAACTGAATCACAGCAGCTTGATTAACGACGGGCCGGGATCAACTTTCGTGTAAATTGTTTCGTACTGTGTGCGGTCCACAGGGTTTTTGTGAGCATTAAAGGGATCGATTGAGCACTAAGCAGTTTCTTATAAACTGGTTAAATGATTTCTCACGTGTCTCAAATGTTTTAGGTTTTATATTACTAATAATTAGACTAAAACTTTACGGTATCGTTGTCATTTCTGATGCTCCGGTAAGATTTTATATTTCTTTTTATATTTATGAGGTTCTTTAGAAATGTAATCCAAATTACATTTAGTAATGCGGAGGCATAATAAAAAAAGGCATCAATTTCTACCAAAAGGCCATTATCAACAAACAAATATGCAATTTCAAGACTACAACCTTCTTTTAAAATATATTCGCCGTTACATTGTGTAAAGCGTTTAAAATCGACAAAGGCATTTCATGTGACGCGCCCTTTCATCTGACGTGTTTGATCGTCCATTTTTTCCCATCGTACTATTGTAAAGCAGCTCAATGGAATTTCCTCGTAACGAACAACGCAGGTGCACGGCATTCAGATTCAGAAGAAATTTCAAAAACCTACAATCTTTACCTTTAAGAACTGTTTGCAGTGTTTTAATGACGAACATGAGGTAAAGTCCCAGTATGTATAGAATGGTAAAAAGTCACAGGAGCAACGGTTAACGACGGTTATGTTTACTAAGCGTGAAGAGGGTCAGCACCTGTTATTGGGATCTACCGTGGGCAATTAATAATGTTACGTGGCCGAGAAATCCATTTTTGTCATATTGTAAACCAAAGTTCATACGTTTTTGTATCCGTTGATATGAAACTCCTTGTATGAACTCAATAAAATGTTAAAAGTTTTAATATCCTCACTATGCAATTACGAAATGCAATAACGAAATATATTATAATGCATTAAGAAGTTTATTATATGAATTGTCGCATAAGAGTCTACTTAGTTGTTTATTTAACAAATCAAAACGCGATACGTACGTACATAAGCTCCTTTAACGAACATACTAACATTACATTAACGTATTTAACTCAGGAAACATTATATTCAAACAAAATATATGAACACTAGACGTGTCCTTAAATACTAGTATGTATGAGTGTAATACGCTATCCACGTTTCGTTTCATTCATTGAAGTTTAAGAAGCATTCATTAGTAATGTAACTACAAATTGTGTTGTGTTTCAGAACAGCGAAATAACAGGATATTCTTCTCTCCAGGGAATGAAAAGTGTATTTAAATATTAACTAATACGATTACGACATAATTAATCCTTTATAATTTTTATAATACTTTTAATTCATGAATAAACAAAATCTTTAAATGTATTTTAAGGATTCTAACATTTGTAAAAATAAATAAATGCATCAAAGTAAACTATATTTCTACTCGCCTGAAGATTAAAAGCCAATAGAGAATATGCATGAATTTTCGCATTTTATTTATTAATGTAAATTGCTTGTAGAAATTTTGCAATTAATTTGTGTTTGCAAGTATTTTTTATAAAGTTCGCAGAATTATTACTATTTAAATATAAAATTTAATTTGAAATAAAATATCAAATTTTTATCTAAACTTAAGCCGTAATTTATTAAGTTTATAAGGATTGTCACCAATTCCAACTACAAGTACTCACCTCCTTTGAGAGTTTCGCGACTTGACTGCGCATCTCAGCGACCATGCCTCTTATTTCTTGGCTGTCGTATTTCAGCCGGCCGACTTCGCTATCCAATTTGTCCACGCGGGCTTCCTGAGTACGAGCTAACTGAGCCAGGTCCGTGTTCTCAGACAACGCCCGTTTTAACTGTTAAAAGATTTTTTATGAAAATTCGAATTCCTTTGGGGTCCAAAAATCACAATGTGATATTTAAACTATATTATATATGTACATTCCATTTAACTATCCAGGTCGGATGACAATACAGTGTCAGGTAATAATCTCTTGTAAGATTTTTTCAATTGCATTCCGACATTGCGATATACTTTTCGAAAAGCTTAACAACACACATTCAAATATTTAAACTAAATTAAACTTTTTATTTCGGCTCCAATTTCTGACGAATATCATGTAATAAGCCAGCGATTCTGGTGAATTCAACGCAATAAAGCAGACTTTTTGTATTTGTGTATTTTGAGTGCATTTGACGCTTCGCTGAATTTCTAAATGTGAAGTGAACTGATAAATGTATTCCCATAGAGTAACAGTCATTTATTTGTAAAATTATGATGATACATACCTCATTGCGGATGTTTTGCAATTGTCGCAGCAGTACCGAGCTGTTAATGCTTTGACTTAGTTCACGCATTTCAATTCGAAGTTCTCTCATGGAACTCTTGGCCCATTGCAGAGTTGCTTGTTCATTGCGAGTGTAGTTGTCAGTTAACGTACTAGCAGCGTTCTTCCTGTTGAAAGATGAACATCCTTTTAGAATTCAACAAAAAATCTACTTGACTTTTAATAAAGTTTTTTTGAATGATTTTGAGGAGCAAATCCTTTATTTTTTCATTTAGTTTGTTTAACATATGCATATTGTATGTATTGCAAAAACTCATTACAAAACTACATATAAAAGCATTTCAATTTGTTTTCTATACGGTATTATAAAATATTTATATACGATAAATTGCAAAAGCCTTACTTGAATACCAACTTAACTTTGATGGTAAATATATTGATTATTATGTATTTAAAAAAAAATGATCTTTCACTCAATGTTTGACAAATTTTGTTTTAAATATTGTTCTTTAAGGAGGAGATCAAGTTTGTATAAAAAAAATCCATTGTTATATTAATCATATGGTAATAACATTGTTGATTGCATATTTCACCAGAAATTGCATAAAAACCATATTCATTCGCTAGAAGTCTTTAATCAACCATTATGAGTTTGCCTTGTATCAAAGGTTTAAGCGAACAGGATGTTTTACGCAAGAGCGCACCAACCGTATCTCCTCTGCACCCCTTTGCTATGCATTAATATTAAATAATTAAACACCACGGTACTCTCACTGTACATTTAAAAAGGAAACGTTTTTAACCGACGATTCATATTATTAAACACACAATATATGCGCTTTAGTGTGCGTTTCTTAGTCATAGTGACATTAAATCGTGAAAAGTGTGTGATAACGAAAATATTTACTTTCTATAACATTAAAGTAATACAATTAGGGCAGCCGGGTTCCTTAACTTAGCTTATCTTTATGTGTTTTATGATAAAGTTTGATAAACCGATCGAATGATATATTTTTTAATTATTATTTAATAGCACGCCACACCTATGAATTTATTTCTTATCATAATATCCTAGAGAAAGCTCCGAGTATTTTTTGACGATTAATCATAAATACCTCTGTTTGAGAAAAAGAAATGTTTATCATAAAATACTTTTCAACCAGACTCACATTGTTGGATCTTGAAATATATGTGTATAGTCTATTGAGTGCTTTCAGGATAAAATTATTTAGAGTATATTTTTTAATTTATGAAATACGAGCATACTTGTATTTTACAAAAATAAAGCAAAGGTATATATTGTTTACCAAATGAAAAATAAGCCTCTTTAAAATTATATCTTTAAAAATGTAATACTTTAAGTTAGTGAGATAATTAAGTATTCATAAAATTGTGTTTATTTTCAATAAAGGGAACTATCGTGATGATTATTCAATAAATAGTATAAATAAGCGCTGCAACCATCGAGTTTTGTAGGTACTTTGGGGAGTAGTTACCTACTGGGAGAATTAGAGGATAGCAGTCATGATCAAATATATGAAGGCATATTGTGTAATTTAATTGGTTTGATTATGAATATTTCAACATTGCAGAAGTAGGAGACGTAGTAGCTGTTTCAAATATTATATGTTTACTCATTTAATTATTTTAAGTAAATGAAAGTATGGGATGGAAATGTGACATTTTTACAACTCATAAAACGTAAAGCCGGACAAAAATGTTTTCTTAGTAGATTTTAGACATTCGATTTTACGATCCATTTTTAACTAAATACTGTTATAAAACTACTTGCATTTCTCAAGATTTTTCAAAACAAAGTATCTCACTTATAATTCCATAACCATTATTAAATATGAAGTATAAATCACAGAAATTTCCCTACATTATAATAGCAAAATCTAAAAATAATACAAATTAAGGTTTCATTAATTTTTTTAATAAAATCTAATTACGAGGAATCAAAATTTGTTATTTTTATAATTATACAAATATCAAATCCCTAAACCTATAGTAAGAATAAGGACAGTGTTAAATTTTATTATAATAAAACTTATATTACTCGGATTACTACTGTAGTAGAGTAGTAATCCGAATAGTATTAGTTTCATTTAAATGAATACTTGCGAAAGTCTTAGATATCATTACTTTATTTTAATATGACGCAGTTGTAATGTCTATCTAAATATACTTTTGTTTTAAGATTTTGCCGCTTTCGTAGTTGTGGGTATCCGGATGTGGGCTGGCAGCACATTACTTCCGGTCGGAATATAAATAAACATAATACAGCCAGATGTTCACCCCCATCACTGACTAAAAAAGTAACCCCCATCTTGTTTCGCCCTCATAGCGTATAACAACATAGAAACTTTTTATATTAAAAAAGTTAATTTTCCATCGATATGAATCAAGACAAATTGAGTAACCACGAGAAACTCACCTACTATTTATTTCATAGTATTAAAAGCATTCATTAGCATTTAAAGTGTTACATATATAAAGTTCGAGCAATTATAATGAACGTGTCAATTTATTTACAATTCTTGAGTCGAAGACGATGTATCAACATTTTTTGTTGAAATCGAGATAAAGGGAGACTATTTTTTACTTAAGATATAAACTTTTAAAGACTGTAATGTTAAGTTTTATTTTTAAAATATTATTACTTTTATACTGTATATTTTTTCACCAGAAATATTTTTATTTATTAAGATAAATATTTTTGTACAAAGCTTTAGTATCAAATATTTTAATCACTGGTATCTATTAAAAATCTTTTTATAATTAAATATTCATAACTTATATTAGTTTTTTCTAATAATTGTCGTATTATAAGAAAATAAATATATTTTAATGGATAGATTTAATTTACATGCACTTATGAAAACATCGGCGCATAGCACAATCTTTGTATTACTGATCCGAGCAGGTGTCCATGCAAACAAGAAGAAATTGTACCCCTAGAGGGAAAATGATAATACTATGATCCTCACAAGGCCCATGTTTAAGTCCAGATAAAAATAAACCTAGCGAAAATCGATCAACAAAACTTAAGTAAACAGCTGGCATTATATTCCAGTATGCAAAGCCATTCGGTTACTAATCCTTTATAAATAATTTTTCAACAAAACTTGTTATAAGGCCGAGTTCAGGATCTCGCAGATTAAAACTGGGAAGTCTGTCTCGCGTATCTTCGTATAACTAGGCAAGTATAGTTAGTATACTTTATATAAGGTCGGAATTTGCAAGAAGGCTGCGCTCGAGTCGAAGTTGCTGCGTCAACTTAGGCAGGTGTTCGAAATACCGTATGTTATACAATCGATATTAACATTGATTAAAATATGCACCTGGTTTGAAATCACGATATTTTTTCATCTATTTTGCTTTATATGGTAGTTGATACATTTTATGTATGATATAAATAAAATACATATATGTATGTATGGAATTTTATATTTATAAAATTGTTTTATTTCTTATTTTTTAAATAAAACAAATAAAATAAGTGAATTAGTTATTTTATTTTAAATTGAAATACACTCTTTTTCAATTCTCAGAAGATTTATTTTGCGGTAAATGTTTAAGAGCTATTAAGCAGTAAACTTATTGTGTTTCGTTTACATAATACAATTACGAGTTCGCATGAAAGCTTTTTTTCAATACAAACAATATTAAAGAAATTAAGTTTATAGAATGTTCGGGAATACATTACATAACTACATTAAAATTGTAAGTTTTATATGTATATTCTATTAAGTTACCCAGTTTGTTAAGATTCGTCAATATCTGTCTTAAAAAAATAAGTCAATCAAATGACCTGGTTTTTAGTGAGAGGCTCTTATTTTCTTAGCGCTTTCAAACACCACTTGAAACGTCTGAACATTATTCTATAAAAACTTGTGATATTCCAAAAGTTAGCTTAAATGACACTTTCATAGCTGATTCAAGAAATTGTAACTAAAGTCACTTAAAGTTGGGTGGTAATTAATTCATAAAAAATATGACAGAAATGTAAGTTTAACTATAGAAACTTAATTTGACCCGATTCATTTATATGATAAATAATTGAAATCCTTTTGAGATTGTACTTCGTTATGATTGTAAACTATATTAAAGCCTAACTTAATTATTCCCTTAAATTTAGATTCGATATGGAAATGCACGATACATTCAAAAGGATAAATAAATGAAGTTGGCTTAAACCACTATTATTTGTAGCTTAAAGTATGTAAGACTTGAACAACTTTCATCTTTACAATTGCGACGACTAAAACCAAAAAGCGCTGGAGAAATCATTTAAAGTTTACTTGACTTAGTTTTAGTAGAGTATATCATCGCTATGGACCAAAAAACTTATAAATTTCGCATTAGCTATTAATTAATCGCGCTCTATGCAGAATAATAGGATATTATTATTATATATATATAAAATTTACTTTTTAAAACGAACTGATCGAGATTTACTTAATTTTAATTTGACTGAATAAATTTATGTAAATCCAAATTTATTACATACAAAAGTATTAATAATAAAGCTGGAAAATACAAGGCTTGCATATAAAAGGTAATATAAATTTAAAAAACTTACTTGAGTTCCTTAATCTCTTCTTTGAGGCGGGAAACATCAGCCAGATGCACGGTCTTCAGAGCCTTGAATTGTTCGGTCAGGGATTGCAATTCATTTTTAATGTCAATTTCGCGAGCGTTCACCGAACACAAACAAATAATTAGCGCCCAAAGTTTAACGAACTCCATGGCGACCAAAACGAGCGGCGGATATATTTAAATTCGCGAACCGAACGTCTGCGTCGCTACGTGGTCACGGCAGGAATGAGCCGCGGCTTGCCGGAGCCCTCAGCTTTATTATACAGAGTGCAGGGTGTGTTAAGTAAGCGCAGATGCGTTCAACAGTTGTTCTGAACCGAAACCCGCAATGAATTTGTACCTACACCTATATCATGAGCTGTTGTCCACCATTAAAAAAAAGTTTTGGTTGTACCTGTCAATTCATAAAAAAGACGAAAAAAGTTTAAAGTCCGTTGAAATGGTCCGTGAGTGTTTTTACTTTATTAATTTATTTAATGCTTTATAAAATGTAAATACATATATTTAAAAAACTAAATATTGGAGAAGCTTCATAATATCCCACAGGTTTAATATGGAATTGTAGCACACGCTAGAGGAGGCTAATTTGATTAATTTTGAAGTTACTTCTGAAGTGAAGTTGCCAGTTCTAGGAAAGTGTAAATCAAGTCAGAACTCGATTTATGAATTCATTTAAACTTTGAATAGTAGATTATAATTAATTGTTTGTGTTAAACGATATAAACTATTGTTACTACTGCAAAAATGATTTTTTAGATGACAAGGAATAATTTTTTTTACTGAATTGTTTTTAAACAAGCAACGGCTTCCAGATTTGGCCGCTTGTCGCTTGTTCTTATAGATAAGTTATGAATTAGTCACTAAATATTTTTACATATACAGCCTATAATCATTCGTGTTAATTGTTTCATGTATTAACAAGACCAGTTTTTGATTATAATTAATTTATTATTTTACACTGTTTATGGTACGTGTTTACTGAATTTTCATCCCATTTATTTAATTACATATTTTATGATTAATAAAAATTTATAATTTTATTTAATTATTCCTTAAGATGTTGATTAAAATTCTCATCGAGCTTAAGTTACGAGAAGCAATATGATATGAAACCTTTTAAACTTGTGAATATGCGGCCTTAATGTTCCACCTCATTGGTTTAAATACGAAAACAATATGGTAGGCAACCTGTAAAATATGCAATGTTTTTGCATTTAAGTTTAATCTCACAGATCATTAGTAATTGTTTAAAGAAGTCATCGTGAGACTGTAACTAATTACATATTAGGTACCGACGAAACCGCAAGTTTAACTTATTGAGTTATATTTGTAGGCAATAAATTATGTATATTTTTAAAATATCTTCAATATTCCAAAAAATAGGCATTTTAGCTCTCATTGAATTCTGTATGTCCATAAAAAAGAGGTAAAGAGTGATATTAAACTTAATTAATTAGTTTTAAAGTTAGGTTTAAGAAACTCAAGATCTATATCATTATCCTCGGAAGTATTATTAAACTTTGTTCTCATTGTTAGAGTCATGAAAAGAAAGTTCGTCGGTACGACAGATATTCTGTTGAATGTTACGTTCCGGTGCAACATATTTGCAGCGATTTTGTAAATTGTATGGTGGTTCCCACTTAAAACTGCAGCCCTTGTAAAAATACCGCCTGCAATCTGAACTCAAATTATTATGGTAGGAATAATTATGTTAAATACATTTCCTGGCCTTCAATAAAAGCTTTTATTTAAACAAATAATAATTGTAGTATTCTAAAAGTCATAACGGGTTTGGTTGAAATATCAAACCGTTGTGAAAAATTATAAGTTGGGTTGTCATTTATTATGTAAGTGATCCTAACTAGCTATCTATCTCGTTTTATGTAATGTATTTAACTTCAAAGCATTGATATTATGTTAAATCAATACAAGTATCACGTCTTTGTCTTAGCAAAAACTTCGATGTCAAGTTATTATCACAAACGTTAGTTTAAGATTCGTATTGAATTGTATTACATTTATAGTTCAATTATTATGTATCGATTAACAATGTCAATTTAAAAAATATACATCTTAATGTATACTGTTTTCCATTTTCCCGGAAAAATTATGGATCGTGACACTGATTCTCTGTCCAATCATTGCACCAAAAGATACTTCTTAATGTAACCGCGAATTGCGTTTTTCGCATTATATTTGTACTTTATTCTCTTATGTCCTGACAATTTTGATAGTGAGAAATTTGCGCGAGAATGCGTTTGTTTGTGAAATCCTTTGTGCCAGTTGAAGAAAGGTTTATTCGAATACGTTTGTACCTTTGCATACGTCGCTTTTTTCGCTGCTGGTATTAGCGCTGATTATATACATATTTGTCTTTGTTAGGCATGTGAAACCAAGTACTAAAAACCCTTTTGAAACTATCGAAGTACGTATATGTTTTACAAATATTATTTACAGTCTTTCTACGCACGAAATTGGGGCTTATTATAAAGAATACAATCGTAAACACCTTTGAAACTAGTATTTAAGTAATTTTAGCAATGATAAGAATGAGTGTAAGCGTCTTGAAAATATTATTAAATTTCATAACAGAAAACTCAATAGCATAAATTTGGAAGCGGAAAAATTTGCTTCCTAAATTTTTTCTATTCAGAACAGGCAGTATAGGCAAAGTCCCGTTTTGTATGTTTTCAGAAAAAGTATATATCAAACCAGTATGTGATATAAACGTAAAGCTAAAGCTTTTACGCTATATTCACCTAATACCTTTGAGAGCCTTTACGGCTGCGATGTCTAACTATATATACGGCGTCATACTGAAATAAATTTAAATTTTAAGCTCTTTTTACATTTAGTTACACCTCTCTCTCTCTCTACTCTAAAACAATCGTCAAAGATTATTTATCTATCCATTTCGAGTTTAGTATTAATTATTCCACCTTAAAATGAGTTTATAAATCTAAAGAAAGTGTTATCAAAATATATAAATAGTGGTCACTGTCACAAAAATAAATATTGTAAAAGAATAGGAATTTCTTATATACTAATTGTCTATAATTTTTTTAATAATTTAGTTTAATACTTGAATGATATTTTTAGTATGATTTTATTAGATATAATTAGCAGTTATTCTGTAAATTCATAAATAACTGTTATTGAGACTTTTTACATCTATAAATGAAAAAAAATTGTAAATTTAATTTGCAATTTTTAATGCAATATTTGAATATTATTTATTTAAATGTATATTACATTAGAAGAATACATAAAAGAGTTGTACTCCCAACATCTCAAATGTTGCAACAGATGGAAACTATAAAGGAACAGGTGAACTTGCCAGGGAATAAAATCTCGTTTATTTATCAAAATGTTGATATAAAAATAATTTGTAAAATTAAGGTTCCTAAAAATGTATTGAATTACATTTTATAATTTTTCATAACAATGTCATAAGTTTCTTTTTATAAAAGGCTTTAAAAACATAAATAAAGCTACAAAAAACAAAGAACATCATAATTTTTCGAAAAGAAATTTCACAAATTTATATGAATAAAACCATTGATACTAATTGATACTTCCCAAAGTTCTCATTGATCTACATTAATCAAAATAAGCTTTTTGATGAAATAAATCGAATTAATAAATGGAAGCATATGTAGGCGCTATAGAGAATATAGCTATCCTAATATTTTATTAGGGTTCGATGAAAATTTAAATACGTGTTTCAATGTCGAGAAGATAATGAATATTTCCAATTAATATTCGAACCAAATATAGCTTTCGAGTTAAACAGGATTTCTGTTTAGAAATCCGAATCGCAGGATTTCAAGAAGCATTATTTGTTTTGTAGATTTCTATTTTTGTTTTAGTAATATTAATTTTGATGTTTGTGATGATGTTAATAACAGTAGACACCACGTTTTACCTAAAATAATAGGTTCTAAATATTTTGATATCTTTGATTTCAGGCATACTTTAACATAGAAGTTATTTTTCAACATAATATGCAGTTATAACTGAAGAAATATGAACCGTAGACTAACATTTAGCAACTAGAGTATGTTTAAAATATGCATTTGCTTATGTCTTTATTTTCCTTGTGCTTTTTTTTTTCAAACTAGATATATATGGGTAAATATGAAACATTCACTATAAGTTTGCTTTGAACGCTTTAGTACACAGTAGACGGAAAAATATTTATTTATTGCCCGTGTTTCCTTATTTGCGTCATGCAATAAAGTATAAAAGTATTAAAAAACAAATACACATATTTTCAGATGATATCGTGATGAAATTTCAAGGAATTAGAACTGTAAACATAAAATATACATAGGTAAAAATTTGTTTGAAATTATTATATCTAGTAATTAGTATTAGACAAATTGTTATTTTATAAATGAGTGTCTGAATTTGTACAGATTTTGAGGAATGTGAAAAGCTTATTTTGCCATTTATTCGCCAAAATTACCAAGACTCAGAAATCATGTATAATATATTATTTGATATTACACTATATAGGACATTTTTTGTTTGTTCCTAATCTAAATACTAATTTATAATGCAAGTAAAAACGTCAACGTTAGGTTGAGTCCGAATAAGAAGAAGAACAATAACATTCCTAAATCATCTTATGTATCTTTAATTGTAAATATTCGTACATCAATATATTATTGTTTATGCATTCTCAATTGAGATTTTTAAATACAGCTTATTTTAATACATATATATTCAGACAAAGAGGTATGTGTCAGTATTATATACCTTATACAATTTCCAATGCAACATGTTATTGTTTAGTATAATTTTTGATTTCTTAAGTCAACGTAGAGGTTAAGTTGTTGAATGAAAATAATAATAAATTGTTCCACGTACACATGTTACTAAACAGTAGTAATGAGTTAATTAGACCAAACAAGTTTTCAGACTTGGAACGTTTAGGAGAGCAGAACATTTTGAAGTCAAACTTTATTTAAATAATTGTTAAAGTGCCTCAAAATTGTTTTGAATGTTCATAAGCGTGCAGCTGTTTTTAAATTCAAAAGTAATAGATTAGTGGAGCCTCGTGCGCGTGGATATTAAGGCCCAAACACATTGTTATTAGTGACAGCTGCAAGACACGCTCCTACTAAAAAATAAGCACAACTGTACACGTCTACCTGAGAACAGTTTTTTGGTTTCCTTACAACCACTAGTTCACCACGCGGGGCGGCGCATGTTAGATCGTGCTGTTAAGTAATAATCAAACAGTTAATTTTATAATTTATATGTATCAGAAATCAGTATAGTTTAACTGTTATATGCACGTATCCCAAATGATACAAATTTAATTGTTATCCATACGTATACCTACGACATAAATACGACCTAAATAAAATAACGCCTAAGTTTAATAAGAAAAAAATACTTAATATAGACATATCACTTTAATTCCTATACAGTATTATAATCTCTCTTCAAATTACACCAGTAAAAATTTAAGTTTATTCTTGACACTTATAACATTTATGAGTATTTAGATATAAGGTCTAAATGACAGAAATACGCTTTCATTATTAATATAAAGTACCAGCTGTTACCCGCGACTTCGTTTGCATCTTACGAACAATACAAAGTTTCAAAAAAAATGATATTTAACCGGTTATTCATTAATGAAAACATAAGAGTAGTTGAATATTTTAGGAGTAAAACACGATTTTGAGTTGTGATTCTTTTTCTAGGCTGGTTTCCTTTTAAAAGGACGGCTTTTGCTGAGAGCTCAATTATATCCAAGTACATCTCAGACAATCTTCATAGCTCTCCCGATCCCCTGTAATCACAGAAAATCATCTTCCAGACTTCTTTGTGTGCCCCTTATTATTCTTGAAAATATAAATAACTTTAGGAATTACTATCTATTAATACTGGTGGGTTATATGAAGATTAATATCTTTGACATAAATATTACATTTAATAACTTCGCCAAGGACGCAGTGACTACATTTGTACATACTACATATACAGTCCATGTTTGGAACTTGGATGAACCCTATTGTTAATCAAAAATGGAAAATTGTTATTACGTTCATTACTTTATAATTTTGTTTTAAGATTAAATAATCCAAATTAGAATTTAAAAAAAGATACACCTCCACTTACAAAATAAAGGGAATATGAGAAAAATTATAAATTTTAAAAACATTTTATAATTTGTGAAGTTGTGATATTCTTGTGTTTTTCAATTGTTCATTACGAAAAAAGAAATCATTTTTGGAAGTAATATTATTTCGTTGCACAAATATGCAGATTTTTAAGGGATAAAAATAGTGTAAAAATTGTAGTACTATATATTTTATTTTGAATCTTCAAGGTAATATTATTGGAAACTATAATAGAATTATTAAATTCAGTTCACTGATTCGTTCAATAATGAATTAAAATAAATAGCATCTAGATATCAAATTTACCTTGACACTGTATATTATTCCATTAAAAACAGATGTCAAAATTGTTCATGAATAATTTTCATATTAAATAGTTTTTTTAAAACAACGAAGTGAGTGCCACCTAAGAACTATTAATAACCAGAATCTATTTAAGTTCAGAACATAAACATATTTACGAAATTTTATTATAAAATCGAATCTAATACTTTATGATCCAATTAAAAAGAGTTAACATAGGTAAAACTAAAATATTCTCTGTTCAAAGTCGTCTATAATGCAGATTGTCTATACTTCACTATGCAGAAGTATCTTCAAATAAATTTCTCTATAAAAGTATGAAATTTTGAAGAAAAATAAGTATTGTGGGTTATGCCTTATTTACAAATTCTAAATGGCTTCTTTTGGCCGCCTCTTCCGAAGTATCTGGAGGTGCGACGGTGGCGCGAGCGCATATGCTGAACGCATCTGTCCTATCTCGTGCACGTTAACAAAGTAGCACACGAGTCATTTTTTTTAAAACAGGGTGTCGTTTTATCCACCAAGTTGAGATTTTGTTTGCACAAATAGTTTTAATTTTATATTCCGTACACATTTATTATAAATATGTAGTAAAATAAGCTCTCTGGTATTTATTACATAAGTATTTTGATTTTAATTAGGCCTTAAAAAGGAGAGATTATATGAAGAAGAATATAATTTCTATTTTACTATGAACTATTAAAGATACCAGCGATGATCTTAAGACCCAGTGTTATCAATGTAGCGCAACCTGTATATCGATATCGGCCGAGATCACGGCGACACCTGCGCGTACGCACCTGCCCGCCTTTGATTCGCCAAAAACGAACAGTCGGAGTCTTCACCTGCAGCACATCGATATTCTTGTTCGACGAATACCAGCTATCAGTATTAATACATATATTATAGGTATATCTTCAAAACATTTATAAAGAATTTAAGTGATTCAAGTAAAGGTTACAATTAACGACTTGAGTTTGATCATAAATTTCAGACAGTACTCGTGGCAAGGACTTCTTGGTAAATAAAATGTAAATGTATGAATGATGATTTATTTTTTATTATTTATTAAGTTGAAGGTTACTCCACTATCCATGTGTTTAGTTTGTACGTATATATTAACGTATGGAAATTAAGTTGGGCGTTAATATTTGTGGGTATAGTTTCGACTTTCTTTTTAACATTGAAGGTGACTAGAGTTTAAATTATTCGTATCAGGCGTCAAAAAGTATTGTTTTATAATTACTTTTTGCTAAATCGACCAATGAAATGAAATTGAAATGTTGATATTGTGTTTTATAAGGCGCAATGAACTTACTTTTTTACGTTATATTACAGGGGAATCAATAAATAACATGAAATGATATATTTATCTCTTATTTAATTGAAATCACCGAAAAGTCCAATAAAGAGGATAAAATATATGAAATAAAACTAATTGTAAAATCGTGTATTTTTTTATTTTTAAGGACGGTGGTTCATATCACAAGTGTTATAATATTATTAATAAGAATTAAATGGACTTACTTAAATTACAATTTTCAATATGTACAAAACATAAAATGTAAAAAAAAACCTTTAACATGAACATTTTTATATTTTACTTAATCACTAACTTCATTCAAAATTTATACATTATTGAAAGATTATTTAGAAATAGACGATTCGTTTTTATGTTGAAACATGTTAATATTTATATGATAATTTTATAACTTACAACGACATTTCACGTTAAAAAAAACATTATATTAATATAATAATTGGAACGACATAATATTATTAAAGGCACAGATTTCTCTAGTTTTATTCAAGCAATCATCCTAAACAGCAAAGACAGCTGTTGTAATCGAGTCGAATGTGCGGCCATCTGCCGACGTATCGTTGAGAAGACAATATAATCTGATTATTACATCACGTAATGAAGGTTACATTATCTTTATTTTTATATACACAAGTTGCCAGGATTTTTAAAGAAATGCATAATAATTCATTATTCGGCATATTCATCATTATTCGGGCAATAATTGTCTGAAGTAATAAGTACAAACACTTTCTCGGCAAATTAAACTAAGTTACATATAAATCACATTTTAAGAAATAAAAATGAATTAAAACTGTCACTAGATGTGCATATTAATTATGGCTATTAATAAAAATAAAGAAAAACGAACAGCAATACAAAACAAGATACACAACAATGTACATTTTTATTATATTGTTTGCATTAAAATTTATATTTTAAGACAATTGAGACATCAGATAGCACGTGTAATAGTATAATTTAGCTTCATATTTAAAGCAACATAATACAAAAACAACAAAAGAGTTTATTTGTGGAGCTTTTTCTAGTATTTGCTTGAGCTAGTTATTTGAGTCTGTTTAATATTTCCGTTTTGTTTAGTGGCATCAAGCACAACATAATTTTTTTTACTTAACTTTATAATGAAGTACATATCTTTAAAACAAATTGTTATTTTATCTGATGTCGTTATACAATGGAAATATTTTTTATTATAATTATAATATGCTCTTTAATAATATGGCTTTCTTAATAATATAATAAAAAGATATATTATTCTTATTGTTCGTTATTTTCTACTAACGTTATTACATTTGAGAGCTTGTGATAGCTGTCAGGTACAGCTATAAAAGGCACGTTAACGATTTTAAGTTAATTTGGATAGGTATATTTTTATTTAGAGAGCTTGATTGCTAAAAATAGGTCTTTGGCTACTATTTGACATATATCTGAAAAAATATTGAAGGTGTATGTTGTGCTGGGATCATAATATATTTAAATTAAAGTTACCCTATCTTACTAAATATCTAAAACTGTATAGGAAGTAAAAACGATTGGGCCGTAGTGACAGGTGGTCAGTAACATCGCGCCGCAGTGAACTATAAATAAACAGTTTTGGGGTTATTTTTTAGATCGTTATTGATTACAAGTCAGATAGCCTTCGTTGTAAATAGTGGGATGTGAATTTTAAGGAATAATTTTTTTATGTGTTCATTATAATACCTGTTTCTAATACATTATATATTACATATAATGAATTGAAAAACACATAACGGAAATAAACATCAGATCAAGGATGTGACGACTTTTATTAAAACTTTGATTGTGACGACTAAAATGTTTACTTAACGTCGCTTGTTAAACATATTTTTTTCTAATCTATATTTTTTTCTATCTAATAAATAAAACCTACCGTAGTTAGTGCCATGATGAGTGTTCATTGCTGGCACTGTTAGGGCTGGACGTTCCTGAGTCGTTAAATAGCGAGTCGTTTATACCGTCTTCATTTGATGCAACTTCAGCACTGTGTCTACAAAAGGGACAGTGCCCCTTAGAGATAATTTGGACCTCGTAATCTTCCATGTAGAATAGCTGCAACAATAAATTGCGATAATACCAGCCATTTATATATCTTTGTTTTAAATTTAAATGTCGGTTGATTTTGGTATTAAGTATCCCTGTAAGGGTAACGATGACATATACGACTAATTCTTAGCCATCTGTGCGGTTGTGGTTGTAATAAATACAGTTTCGAAATCATTAAACTAATGTGTTAAACCGCAAGCTGGTATTTAACTTCTTTCGCCAATTGAAACAATTGTATAAGTGGTAACGAAAACAAAACCATTTTACTTAGAACAATCATTGAAGTAACTTAATTTAAAAGCTTATTTTATTAATAATATGCAGTTTTATTGTACAAAAGTGTTCTGTAATCAAATAAAATCTATCTACCTATTTAAGTATTTACTGATGATTTCAGCAGGTGATGTATAAAACATAAAACATTTATTTCGTTTGAATCACATGCGGGCGCAGCAAACATTAAACATCAAATATCTAATTAAACAAAAACGAAGTATGTACACATTTCAATATTAACTTAGACTAAATATAGACTTATTTAGAATAAACAAATAATAAATATATTATTTGTTATATCCGGCTTGCATCTGGAGTGAAAAAGTATACTGCGATTTATATTTGTCCCTTTTTTATAGTTTTTATTGTCTATTGCTTTTCGTAAAAAATACTGTAGATAAAGACATATCACTTCATAAAACAATATTATTAAATCAATTTTGTAAATAGAATTGAAATCAGAATAAAATCAGGTATTAAACGTCCTATACCATAATCACTTAGGTAATTATAAAATCTCTAGTCTTCGTATTCACCCTTTGTCATTTCTCATTTAACTAATTTAATTTAATGCAATTTATCATATTAATACAAATTCTAAAACCTATATCAATTATTATATAAAGACGCTAAGAAAAAGCAAATATTATACGTCTACTAATTTTACCTTTAGTAGTCACAAAATTTTATGTTTGATTATGTTTTTAATTTATGAAGCAATAATTTATCAAATCTTGTTATTTAACGTTTCAGCAAGTATGTGCTCGTAAAAATATAGAGTCGATCATTATTATTAAGTATATATTTTAGTTTAGACTATTTATAGAATACTAGAAGACCCGGCGAACTTCGTATCGCTGTATAATCAAGAAATATCTGTAACATTTTTTTTTTTATATTTTTGGAGTTTACTTTTAAGCCATAAATCTTCGTGTTTTGAAGTGCGACAGAAGGATTGATATATTAGTTAGTTGTCAGATCTAATGTCAAAAAAAAAACAATTGTATGGGAAATAGAAAAGGGCTGGTTTTTGGGGTTTCCCAGAAATTAGTAAATTTTTTCCAGCTTTTACATCTTCCTTGAACCTCCACGAACATTTCAAGACTTTGATAAGATAAATCCGTTCAGCCATTTTCGAGTTTTAGTGAGACTAAAGAACAGCAATTCATTATATATGTATGTATGTATATAGATTGGTTAAGTAATACTTACGTTTATAATATTACAATGAAATAGCAAAAATAATCGTTATAAACACAATATAAGAATATATTATGAAATGAAAATAAGATGTTTTTTTTACATTATACAATTGTTAGCAATAGTATTTTTCCAAGAACCATAAATTTAATATATGAATAGAACGAGCTTTCGTAATTTGTTAATCAACATATGTATAGCTTGGAGGTATAACCCGCATGAAACGCCATTAAAATGCTGTTTTTTACTTTTGCCAAGAGTAAATTATTTATTTCAAAATAAACAAATGTACTCCGACGACCATACATATTGTATACTAAATAACTTTTATCTGTATTGTGTACTAAAAGCAGTTGACACGTGCCTCTCTAACTATGAGAGAAGCGTACAAAAAAAAAGTTGCAGCCTTGCCAGCCCTAAAGGTGCATATCAGCACCCTAAAGCACCCGAAAGGCCAGGTAAACATTTGTTCTATAAATCGTAGTTATTGAAGTCCCTATATAATACCACTTTCACTGTTTTGACCATTTAAACAAAATTGCAAGCTGACGAACATATATCATGTGCACCTTTTAATTATTAGTAAGTTACATTCAGATAACAAATGTGTTTACACTGTATAAATATTTTAATTTTAAAATATTCCAGAATATATTTTTAAACCCATCCTTTAGTTATTACTTATCCTTTAGTTATTACTTTGTTGTATTCTCAAATTTGATGCAAGTATTTAATAAAATATATTTAGACTAGCTATATAGTTTGAGCATGCGTTCTTAATGAATAAATCAATGCTATAAAGAAATATTTTTTATGCATAATATTAAAAAGGTATTACGTTACATAATATAATAACCATTTCAAAATCGACACTGATTAAGTCTTTCGGACGCTGTGCCACATTAACGATTAAAATATGCACGCTTTCCATAACGAATTACGATACAGTATTGAAAACATCGATTTTTATAAAGAGAAGTGATTGGTCCGAGTTTCATGATTAAAAAATGAGCTACAGTTCTGTTAAAAGTCATAACTAGCATGTTAAGTATTAAACAAAGGACTGCAATCGATAGGGAGTTACTAATGTTTTAAAATTGTCCTAATTTCATAATAAACGTTTATTATGTAGAAATTGGATTGACTTATTAATGATTACATATTAATTTTATAATTATATAACATCAAATCACAAATGAAAGGAGATTCCGGAAATTTTTACTGTCAAGACAAATTTGTTACTTTTCATTATCAAGTAAATAAAATACATTTAAAAAGATAACATAAAATAAACTTGGCATTACAAAATTTTAATTTTAGCACAAGGACAGAAATTTAAAATAAATCAAATTTAAAAACCGTGTATTACTCAATATTTAAAAAAATCCAGTCTTTCTATTTTAAATTAAAAATTACGACATAAATAATATACAGAGGCAAATATTTTCTTTGTCAACTGTATTTTACTGGTATAAGCCGTTGTGAAGGAAAAAGGAAAAAAAAATCTCAAACAATTTTATGTTCTAGAAATGAGAAATGAAGATTAAAATAAATAACGTAAAATCATTTGGAAGTTTTTAAACTTGAGCCAATTACTCGATACTGAAATCTAGGTAACTATTATTGTTGAAAAAATATCATTTTATTTAATTAGTTTGTAGTATATAAAGAACTGTAAGATAATGAGATCTCACAATTGTTTAACAAATTTTTTGTTTGAATTGTTCGATTTCCTTTAAATGCTACAACGAAGAAAATCGTGCTTTTTCAGATTTTGTCTATGTATATCTGTTTGTGTATATGTATATATGTATGTATGAGCCCTTCCCATCTCAGCAGTGAGATGGGAAGGGCTCTATTGACCAGATACTTGAGAATACCAGATAATTGAGAACATGTATAATATATGATAATTAGGTTATGTTCCCCCTCCTATAACTAGTAAACTCCTAAGTTACATAAGAGAATAGTAGGACGGTGGGGGAAAACACAAGTCAATATAACTCATTCTGTCGTGATGTAATAGTTTGCGCCTAACGCACAAGATACTGTTAATATACCTAGTGAGATAGTTCCGACAACAGCATGACAAAAAATGTTGCTAACAGAGTACACCAAAGCGTTACGATTTGTATGGATTACACAAATGATATGAAAAAATCAAAATGAGTAAAACCAGAGGTGTAAAATATTTTGATAAATGTACATAATATATTTCAAAATTAAATTCACAACGTATAGTCCTACTTCAATTTCGTTGAAAAAATTTTTTACCTAATTTATTTAGCTATTATTTTTAACAATTTTAAGTATGTATTTACTTTTGTTGAGACCGGCTATTTTAAAAGTATACTTTTGAAACTTTACTAACTACATTAATTAAATCAGATTCTAAACTCCATATCCGGAGATTTATTTATCCTCAAATATCTTGTGCGTCAAATCGCTGACAATTCATTCGCATCCCCCCCCCCCCCTTCCCACATATCGCAGGAAGTGGTTAACATAAGCTCGAGGGCTATACATTATTATTGTTTTAATTAACGGAATTGGTATATCGTTATGTTATTTGAAAAAATTTCGCACTTAAGAAGAAATAGATAACATTCAAAATTATTTCGAAATATATTTTTAAAAGTAAACAGAAATATTTTTTATAAAATACTTACCTCACCAACATTAATACTATCATGTGCAAAGATTTACGAATGAAACTCTTAGTATTCCTTTAGCTTGAGGAACGCGTAAGTATGAGTACTGTCTTGCATTCATTATTATATGTATCTAATCTCATAGTATCATGCCTTACAGTTAACGCGATTCACATATTACATGAAAAGTGGAACTTTCGAGATTTAGCAGCTACTAGATCTTTCCATTGGTATACTTACTGTAGGTACACGGTACATAATTATTACATTTTATTGATTCGTAATAATCATAATAACGACGTTCCAAATCCTTTTTGGTTCTGCGTGTTAAATTATGTAATAAAAAATATATATTTAACGCAAATTACTTCTACCGGCAGAAAGATATAAAATTTGTTAAAAGAATTCATTGTATTGAGGGTTGTGTTAGTTACACTACTTATGAATCAAGAACGGCTGTAGGGATGTGGTTGAAAATTGACGAAGAGAAAGCTTGCAACCAGGAGGCGAAAATAGGATATATAATTCTGTTCTATCGAAATAAACTCTATAAATTCCAATATCTGGTTATTTACAGTCTCTAGGGCGGAATAGACTTCGCCCGGTCAGGAGTACATATATTACTAATTTCGAAATTCGCGGGCAAAAGCTAGTTACTAATTAAAGATAATAATTGTAGAATTGAAGAATTTATAATATGTATGAAAATGATTTGATTGAATTTGTAATTTTATGCAGTACAGCTTTTCATAATAAACTGTCCAATTTATATATCACAGCAACATACATTGGTATTGAATAAATTGTTAAAACATTTTAGTAGTCGTTTAATTGTTACTGAATTAATTAATTAATTGAACTTAAAATTCGATTTCCTTTAAATGGTCTTCTTTTGGTCGATTTGTATTATATTGGTACTCACATTATAGCAGGCTGGACAGGTGGTGACGGGCAGTTCGGGCAACATGTTACGGTAGAAGACTGGTTTAAGAGGAGGATGGTTCACTACCACTAGACTGGCTGGATTTAATCTCAGTAGAGCTAAACGACTGCAAATTACGACGCCTTTGTCCTCCTAGGGAAGAATAGATGCTAGGATGTAGTATTTTATTACTGACAACGCAATAAAATATAGAGAACCTCGTGACGTAATGTCAGTTCGAATTGTAATTAGGAAGTCATGAGAGACATCTGATTTAAACAAAGGACGTCAGCTAATACCTCCGTACCTCATCGACCTTATCAAGGAACGGATCAGCGTAGTCTATGTCGTTATCTATCTTAAGTATGTCAGCGCCTTCATTAGCTCCTTCAATCTCCGGTATCGGAGTGCGTTCTATAAGATCCATCGCCTCTTCAAACGTGATTCCTTCAGCCGGCTCGAACTGAACTAGCGGCAGTACCTCTAACAAATAATGACTATATTAAACAATACAATAGTTTAATATTTTTGACCATACAGGAAGAGAAAAAAAGGATAAAGTTGAGCGAAAACTTTTTAAAATTCACCTGTTGTACTAAAATATGAAAGACACGTATTTAAACGTTTAAATATTTAAAATTACGGCATAGTATTAAATGAATATGATCGTCAATAGCTCTTTAACATTTAAAAGTAAATTATTTTTTAAATTTACCGCTAAAATAAGTTTGGTTTTCATTTGAAAATTAAATGCTGTTTTTGTTTGTTTGTTACCTCAAACATGACTTTGTTTCATTCATAATTCTTAAAGGAATGTTTCAGGCATTATGTTTTTTAGAACTTAAGAGATATCTTGTTTAAAGTCTATCAACACTGTGTAATTCTTTTTTATATGACTTCGGATTACGAACGTTCTTTTTATATTTGGCACTAAATTAGTTTCGCAAGAGGGACACTTTATGAGATAAGAATATATTTTTTTAAAGAATACTAACAAATAATAAAATTACACTAAAAATCAAGTTCGGAAAACAGAGGAACACAAATTTTTGATAAGATATTGTAACTTAATATGTGTATGTAAATAACAATTATAACTTAACATATGTACGATAAATAATCATTTTAAAAAATGTCAAGAATTTTTAGAATTCACTTTTACACAGATTTTAACACACTTATAGAATAAGTATTTTGAACAGCAATTTTCCTAATACTCCCTTGTATAGTATTCCTTTGTATCTATTTAATTGCTAAGTATGGACCATCGAGATTATTAAAATTGTTCTCAGCGAGTTTTTCTTTCAAAGGTCGTCTCCATCATACGTACCATGTTATATTATTGTGAATAAATTGTAAGTAAATTTTTGTTTGTCTTTCTGTTCTCTACTCCACAAACTATTTTATAAATGAAACCAATGTATACTATGTTAATTTACCAACCATGAGTTGCCAATGAATGTGCCAACACATGTCTGCATCTTGGACAAGTGGTAGCCAGTGCTGGCACGTGGCTACGACACCGCCAACATAGTGGCAAAATGTCCTCTGGTTCAGACGAGCTACTAGCTCCGCTGTTCAGCATCAGTAACTCAACTCCTTCCTAAAAGAAATAATATTGCAAAGGAATTTAAAGCACTTACAAAATGTTGTTTGTCAGGGCTAGATAAAATGAGTGAGAATCATCAGTTGTAAAACGAATATGCTAAGACAGATATTTTGTAATAAATCCCTACTTATATTATACATGCGAAAGTAACTCTGTCTGTCTATCTGTCTGTTACTCTTTCACGCCTAAACCACTGAACTGATTTTAATGAAATTTGGTACAGAGATAGAGTTGACCTTGAGAAAGAACAGGATAGTTTTTATCCCAGAATTTTGAAAGGTTCTCTTGGAAACGCGATATAACCGAACTACAAGCGGGCGAAGCTGCGGCCCGAAAGCTAGTAATATATTATTGTGCTAAAACATTTTGGTAAATATTTTTAAAATGTTTAAAGTAAGAAATCAAAATCACATGATCTTAACTAATTTTTGTATCAATACTATGATTTAAATTAAGTCTATATAATAATATACGATACTAGACAAAGCAAAAAGAAATGCTAAATAAAAAATATTATAAAACGTAGTGAAAATTTCTTGTAAAGCTTATGACAAGAAATTATAAATCAGATAACAATTTCTTATATTTATAATATGTAAAGATGTATATTGAAAACAAATGGTCACTTATATAATAAAACATATATAAAGAACGTACCTGAAACTTAGGTGGTACTTGAAGACCGTGTATCTTATTGAGCATCTGACGAGCCAAGGTGTTTGCATTGAGCACTTTAGCTTGTTTCGCCAAACATAAATATAAACAACTGGGGTGGGAGTCAAGGAAATATTGGCAAAATGATACATTAATTAAGGTTAGCTAGACAACTATAGACATATATATGCAACATTTGATTTAAGTTGAACTAGTTTATAGAAATTTTGCAATTAGACGTTACTTTTGGCTCAAAGAACTTTATTTAAAATAACGGTCACTTAGAATCATTGGCGTCTCGTCAATGCCTTTAGGGAATTTTATTTTCAAATAAAAGTGGCATACATTCATATACACCTGGAAAGGGTTTTAAAATATACGATATGCTTACATATACGAGAATGAAAATCATTAAATGGATCTTGACAAAAGTTTCTGCATACTAAAGCAGAAATAAACACCTTCGTCATTTAATATAGGCATCGATTATTTAATGAAAAAGTAAACGGATGACAAATTGTCAAAAAAAGAGAAATATTCTCGCAACCGATAGATGATTCTCATAACTTGATCGTTTGTAACATTCCCAGCAAACTCAAATTTATAAAAGGATACAACATGGAGAGTCCGGGCGGAGGTTCCTCCAAGAGCGCGAGGACGTACCTGGCAGCGTTCAATAGGACGTCCGGTTGAGACAACGAGAACGGCTCGTGAACACAATGATGTACCGAGTCGTATGCGTTATACACACGGGATAGACGCTCGTTGTGAGCGTACTGATGCAGCAATGTAGCTCTGTCCCTGCTAATGTGACATTAATTTAGAATCATCTTTTAAACATGTATGCAGGTGACATTGAGGCTTGTGACCGAGACAGCTTATCGAATGTGCTGTTTTACTGGATACAAATTATAAAAACATATCCTTTTCTATTGAAAATGTGGTAATATCATTTTTATGTCTGATTTTTTGTCAACTGCTCTAGAATAAAATAAAATATTATTAGTGGAATTTAAATTTTAAGTTCTATTAACTACAATATTTTTGTGCACTAAAGTGGAATAGTTAGTGTATTTAATATGGAGCAGCTTAATTTTTTATACATTAAAACAATACAAACTTCTGTGCTGTCGCTGCTGATTCTAAACACTGTGTTGCTAGCAAGTAATGTAAGTATCCGGCATCATTGAATCTTTCCTCTGCCACAGCGTTATTTACAAGAATACTGAAAACACGCATAGCTATTTCTGTTTCGCCCGCCATATGATATGCTGCAACAAAATTTTATTACAAAAAATAATTTTTAATATAATATGTAACATCTTTTTTAGTGACGTAAATTTAATTTATGTAATAGCAGTTGAAGATGAACTCTATTTTAATTTGGTGTTCCATAAAGTGAAATAAAAGTCTAATTCTAACGAACTGAAACGTAAAAAGGGGGTTGTATTGTGATCGAATTTATCATGGCCCAAGAGTTTTAAGAAGCTCAATTATTTATTTATCATTATTTACTCATTTGTTTTATGTGACTCTCTAGATAATTCTATCTATGTATATCACTATCTCTATTGATATCAACTTTAAGTGAGATCACTTTAAATATATGTTACTTCTTATTAATGTGATAAATTAGTCAGCAAGGTATCGTTATCTATATATGTATATAAAAGAAACTCGTATTTGTTACAACACTTATAACTCGAGATCGGCTAGACCAAATTTCGTGGTTTTTAGTGCGTTGGATATTATTGTTCGAGTTGAAAGGCCACTATCAACAACATTCCAGAACACTGTTGTAATCTAAAATGCCTAAATATTTATACCTGGAATGAATGGTCAAAGAAAAAATATACAAGTTCAGTCGCTAAGTGTTTGTGGTATTAATTTTGAAAATTTATGTTTTTTAGATGGCCAGTTATATCTCACTTGTTCCCGTGTGGGAATACCAACAAAACTATTTATATACCAGAAAATAAAACTAAGAATATTTTGTATCGTAAAGCATTAGAATAATATACCAGAATTAGAATTCAATAATCACAGTTACGAAGACAGACCATTGTCTGTCGAGTCAGCTGTACATAATTAAGAAATTAACATCATTGAGATAAAACGGTAACAGATAGATACTAAGTCCGCCGGGACATCTAGTAACAAATAAGAATTAAAAAAACGCAAATGTCCAATTTCATTTTAGAAAACCATTTTGAGCTAAATACTAAATATCAATAGAAAAAGAATCGAGCACCTCTCTCTTATAAATAAATTTAATTGTTGTTTTAAATCTAGTTAAAAGTAAATAATTTAAAGTTGCCTTCAATATTTATTAAGGATTTTGGTCTCACAAACAGTTTATATTCATAAATTATGTAGTTAAGTTAACCGATTCCATTTTTCTTTATGACCAAGTAATTAAGTTCATATAGTTTAAACGGACATTCAGTGTTTGTGCCTTAAACAGTATAAGATCCAGTATCGAAGATCATTTTTAAAAAAGTTATTCAAAGTTACCTTTTTGGGCTTCAACAAATTTGTTCTCTCTGGCCATACGGTGCGCATGAGGCAGATAAACATCTCGCCTACATTCCTCGTGCTCGCGCGCCAAAGAGAACGCACGTGCCCAGTCGCCAGCTGTCACAGCTAATTGAGCCATTTTCCTGAATATACAATACACTTATATAAGACTAACACATGGAGCTAGTGTAAATGCTCGCTTAGTGCTAGTGTTTATACCCCCTTCGTCTTCGAATAATAATATTTTCTAAGTTGAAATATAACCAACAAATGTCAATCATCAGTATGTTGAAGCAATATTGTAATGTTAACTCAATAAGAAAGTTATTTTATTTGAGATACTTTTGTATGTATTTATCTGAATATTTTATTACTTTTGTTAAGTCTTTAACAAGATACTTCATTTTTTATAGATAACAAAACCACAATCTAAAATTTTCTTTTTTATCTTCGCTATTAAATACTGTTGTGACAAAGATACACATTAAATTGTCTTTTCTTTAACACCATTACTGTCAACTATTTCACACATCTGGTGTATTTCTTGTGTTCGTTGTATTTAAAATCTAATCCATAAGTAAATATGTATTTTAATAGAATAGTTTGGGTTTGAAATAGTTTGCCTGCATCTGTGTTTAGTTCGAGTTATAATTAAGGTGTCTTCAAAAAAAGGGTGAATAGACTGACACTGGGATAATGTGCTCACCACCTACGACTTCATTTTTACCTTCCAAGGGGTGAGAACCATAGATAAAAAGATGATGATAAGTTAATATAATATTGGTAATTTAATAAAGTCTCACTTGTAATCTCCTAATCGGTGATAAACATCTCCCGCTGTGGGGTATTCACCAGCAGTTACGAGCGCTTCTGCCAGGTGACGTAAAGATTCACTGGAACCTTTGTCCATTTTGCGAGCTAGTTCTATTAGCCTGAAAAAATAAGTGAAACAAAAAATGAGAAATCCATTAGCAACTATTGTAATCAAGTTACTTGAAATCTTTAAAAATTCTTTATAATTTCGTTATTTTTTATATATATTTGTAATCAACAGCGTATACAGATTATATTTGTAGTTTTTTTTAATTTCATGAAGACTATGGCCACAAAGATTACATTATAAAGTGTTTAATGTAATATATTTAACAAAGTGGATCAGACAAAGAAAGTAGGTCTAAAGAAAATTGTTGACGCGTGTGACAAGAAATGTGACTTTAATTTCTTTATTGTGGTATTATAATATGAAGTAAGGGGATGCTGTTTTACGCATTCACACTTTTAAGGAATGTAATCACGATTTAAGGTCGTTGTAGTCCAATCTACTCAAGCAAAATTCCATTACACCGGTCGAGCCGATTTTATATTAAGGTCCATATTATCGTAAGTCTGTGCTACAAACATAAATAATAATATAACACTAACATATCTCGTCTGCCGCTCTCCGCTAGTATGGTTGCAGCACTGCGTACATCTCCTGCCGCGAGATACATCTCCGCCGCTGCTCTAGGTTCATTGACTCTTCGAGCCCACTCTGCCCTTTGACGTGCCAGTTTGGTCACACCCTCGCCTTCACCAACATATTCCTAAAATAACCGTGTATTCCTCTTAGTTGTCCAATTTATGACTAAACATTTTTAGTACTCATGTATAGTAAAGTGATTCGATATATTTTTCGATTTATAAATTTTGATAATAATATTTTTTTAAAGAATCCATATGTTAGTGCTTTATATTGCACAGACTGTTGTATTTTTTATTTATTGTGTTTTGGTTTTTAATAATAAAATAACCCAAAATAAATTTATGTTCTAAATGTTTTATTGTTCTGAATAATAATAAAATCAAAAACTGTCAAATTTAAAACAATGTCAGTGTCAGTGGGTCATCACATCATAAAGATATTTTTATATTTGAATATACATATATCGTACGAACATATATGCTCATGGAAGTTAAGAAGCATAATTAATATTTAAAAAAAAAATGACTGGGTTGAATCAATATAAAAAATATCCCATTTAACTGATATTGAAATATTATGTTAAGATCAGTATTAATTTAATCGAAATCACTAAGTTCTTAATAAGTCAACATCTAAATAAAGTAAATACATTCAACCTGACCCTTGATAAGAAACATTGTCTCGATAAAAAGAAGTTTTATTATTAACAATTTGAATTTCTACTTAGAGTTGTGCTAAACTGAGAGTCTAAACTATAAAACTGCTATTTATATTTTTCATAAACGCAATATATAGCTTTTAATATTATGTTAAACTAAGAAACAAGTGCGAAAAATGAGAGAGATCTCTAATAATGTGTTAGTATGTAAATAGACTGATTAGAATTGAACGCACAGATACGCATATATAATAATCATAAGATTTTTTGTTGCCTGTCGAACGGTATCTAAGTATTATACTACATACTTGTGCCTTATTAAACATGCGTAGGTCTAGATAGAGCGCCAATGCCTTGTCATTCCTCGCAGCTGTATGGAACGCCCTCGCCGCCTCGTTGTACCGTCCGCGGTAAGCCAACACCTCGCCTATTATAATCTGCCTCTTCTCACCGCTCTCCAAGCGTTCCTTAAATATAATTAAAATTACATTTAAGTATCATAATGTATAATAATATTTTTTGAAAGTATTTGGGTTCTCCACTATTTTAATGAATAAATAAAAATATTTATACTTTGTCTTTACCGTATTTTATATTTCTTTTCTAAATTATTTTTAAATTATATGCAAATGGTGAATGAATATAAGATTGACTAAAATATATATTTCTTTATAACAAAAGTATACTTCAGTTTTACTCATATCAATTAGTTGTAAATTCCGATTATTTTAAGAACCTGTATAGCAAAATTATATTTTAGTTGTTTCTACTCAAAAACGACTAATAGTTTTTTTTATTGGTTTTTTAAATACCCTCTATAATAATAAAATCCTAAATCATAGTGGTTGTGAGTAGAACACCTAAACTTACTTTGTAGTTTCATTATTGGAAATACAAAGTAAGGTTAGGTTACTTTTACTACTAGTGTTACTACTTTGCTTTCAAAAGTAATGTTTGACGACAGACGAAATTTCTATAATATTCATAACTCTTGTAGACATTATTGACAATACCAAAAATATGTTTGTTATTGAGTAATCGATAGCTTAATATCAGAAATTAGCTTAAATCTCGTTTTTCTTATAATAAAGATATGGAATAAAACGTATACCTAACATAATTGTTTTAGTGACGTAAATATAGTAGAATAAAAATGAACAAAGTATAACCTGTAAATGATCAATGAGCGATAAAAAGACTATATTCTCGCTCCTCTGGAACGCCTTGCGAGCCACTTCGAAGGAGAGCTCTTCTAAGGCAGCGGTTCCCAGACGCTCCCAGTCCAGTGCTGTCACTCCCATACAAGCGACCGCATAAGCTTCACTGTAATGTAAAAATTACAATTAATTTTATTTTTTAAATTAAATTAAATTTTGTACCGGAAAGAATATCGTCGACTTTGGATACCAGTTTTTGTGGCGCCATGTTATAAGATTATAAAAATACAGAAATAGAATTTATTTTTATACTAGTGTTAGAAGCAGGTTTGTAAGTGTAGATTATTACTAAAAAAGTATTCACTTCATGTCTGATTAATTATAAGAGGGAAAGTTTTGCTTCACGTTTCTTTATTTTTCAATTGTGTAAAAATAAAAGAAGGTTATTGATTGACTATTAAATTTTTGCGTATTAAGTTTAAGTGGAGTACAAAATGACTGAAATAATTTTTAAGTTAACAGAGGTTTTAAAATATGGATTTTGGACGTACTCACTTAACTGCATTAAAGTCGTGAGTTTTTAAATTATAACACTAGAAAAATTATTCAATATAATTCGATATTATACAAATACTGGTTTCTTTTCAATTATAAACAGTTTGATCAATTGTTAATAGATGCCACCCATTACTTAAACAAGTTTCCCTAGATTTAACATAAAACTGTATAGGAGCCAGACAGAAATCAACGTGTAGTTTTTTTTTTAATTTATTTGAAACAACTAATGTTAGTCATTTGCGATCGACTTCTCGCTCGAAGTTGTTTCTACCGAGCTTGATTACTTAGTAAGCTTAGTTCGCAATGAGGTCATCCGACAAAGAACCAAGGTAACCGACATAGCTCGCAGAACTAGCTCGCTGAAGTGGCAATGGACTGGTCATGTCTGCCGAAGGACGGATAACCGATGGAGCAGACAAGTCCTAGAATGGAGACCGGGACTCGGTTACCGTAAGGTAGGACGCTCCCTGCCAGGTGGACTGACGACCTGAAAAAGGTTGCTGGAGGGGACTGGATGCGAAAGGCGGAGGACCGGGTATTGTGGCGCGAATTGGGAGAGGCCTATATCCAGCTGTGGAGCAAGATTGGATAAATGAAGGGAGTCTTATCTTGACTGAAGATTCGAAAACTTATTATTTACTTCTTTAAGGGAAGGGAATATTACAAATGGATACAAACTCCTAATTTTTATGGTGAACATACTAATTTCACATGTGAATACTACATTGACTTGCCGTGATCGGTGGTTAAGGAAATGTGCTGGCGCATATACTATTTAGCTTCTGAGCTGTGTGAGAAGTGTGTCTGGGGATGTACACAAACATTAATTGAATTCCATATGCCGTCAGTCATCACAGCCCATTTATGATTTAATTGTTTCTATACTAAAATATGTATAATATAAAAAAATACAATTTCGTTACGTAATTGAATCCGATCCGCAAATAGGTAATTAATTCGAAGGTTTATGTGTAACCATATATCGTGTTATTTTTTTTTGTTAATTACGTTTTTACTTATCTCATTGCTGATATAGTTCAGGAGATGACAAGCAATTGCGAGCAGCATATTCTTATTATCTTTAATGGGAAATAATATAAAAGAGTCACATGAGAAAAACTTATTGCACTTATATTTTGATTGGCACTCACTTTCAATTCTATTATCTGAATCTTTTTGTGGACCTTATTGTAACTTATATAACTGCTTGGTTAATCAATGCATTTTGTCTTCCGTGTCGACGTAATGAACATTGTTTGGTATTTTTATTAGGCATTTCAGACCACGTTGCAGGCAAAAGCGTTACATTTAAATGGTGTATTAATCCAAGGTGATTTCCATAATTTTGATATAAAATTTATAACCTTTCTCTGTCTGATTTTATTCTTGGACCTAAGTGTGTTTTATTGATATGTATAAAATATATTCCGTAAATTTAAAATTCATTTTGAAGATTTTGACATTAGATGTCATATTTGCGAATATTTCAAAATATTATTTCAAGTTTAAACTGCTTTTGATATAACATTGTTAGTTGTGAAAAATTGTTACTTCGTTTGTTAAAATTGTTAAAACCTTATTAATTGTTAAAACCTTGATGAAGGACACGAATCTTTTTTATAAATTGTCATTCATAAAGCTCACGGTAAATAATGTTTGCTATAACTGTCTTATTTGTGTACCTAATTTATTAAACATAGAAAAAAATATTATGAGGATTATTTTAACTAGAATGGTTTGGTTTTGGAATAACATCCTTTTTAAAATAACATTTTTTTTGTCTTGAAATTGAAAAATATATATTTTACGTTTTCCAAATGGCCGTGTACAAATATATGTATTTTAACTGGACATATTTTTTTTAAGTACTTCATACAAAATAAGTTGTTTTAGATTTCTTTATCAGTATAATATAAAATATCAAGAAAATTATATGAAAATGAACCTGAATCCTCATGGCATTTGAATATTTTTATGTATTTTATTAATTACATAATTTTTTTACACTAATTTGAATGAATGTAAAATTTTAATTTGATTAAAATTTTAATTAACCCTAAGTTTTAGTGAGTTTTAGAAGCGATATATTTGAGTATCTATTATTTTATATTATAAAATTAACTTTTTATTCTTTTTAAACAAGTTAAAAATGCTTACTTGAACATCTTTTGTTGTATGTACTGATGGACGGCGTGAGATAGAGGAACATTGATAGTCTGCATCAAATTGGCTTGCAGACAAAAAACACGACCACCCTGAAAATTAATAAATTAGTACATAAAATTTAATGAATCATTAATAAGATAATAAAAAAATGAAACATTTTAAGTACACTATAAAAAAACAGATTTGTAATATGACACCTTTATAATTCACGAATAAACTAAAAACATATTTATTGATTTATAGTTGTATATGTCAGAAGTAACTATAAATTAAAATATTATATAGCTACTGTTACGTATTTTCTGATACGACTTTTATTAATAGGTTAATATTTTTATAAAAATATTAATAAATTGGCATTATACTCTCCGGTCAATGCCGATTTAAGGGTGAATATATACAGCTCTAAAATGAATCATCGTGTCATACCTGGAAGCCGACGACGGAGCCAGCTAATGGTTGTGTTGCTGGTGGAAACTGTCCCGCCTTGATTGACAACAAGCCGTTACCAGAGAGACAAAGAAGTTCCTCGCACCACGAATTCCATGAAGCCGATGACACGTTCTCCTCCTGATTGAGTTATTATAAGTTCTATAAATAATATAAACACTAGACGAAGACTAATGATCGCTGAGGAAAGACAGCTGATATTAACTTATGATGACGGAACACCCTGGAGGAAGACCCGGGACTGTCAGAGTCCCTGTTCGGATTCCGAGCCCATCGATCGGCCGTCGATGTCCTCAAACGCCCGAGGTTAAATTTAAAAATAGACGATTACTTATTATTATTTAGGTGGGCATAATTCGAAAATTACTATATGATTTATCCGTAGATCATTGAGAGGTTAAAAATAGAGATTTTTGTTTTTTCCATGCGATTTCATCGGGGTAGACTTGTAAGTTAGGCTCGAAACTCATTAAACAATAGATATTGTAATTCTTTGGTCCTGCGTTACCTTCACTGAATACCAAGATAAATTATAGTCAATGTCTTATTCTGATATCTAAGCTACATTATTAAAAAGTTTCATCAAAATCCGTAAAGTAGTTTTTACGTGAAACAGTAACAAACATCCATATGTCCTAGCTTATCGCTTTGATGTTGTAAGTGGTATAGAACCCATTATTGAATGTTACCTATAATATTAAGTTTATTGTACCGTATATTGTAGATCCCCAGCTGGGAGGCTGTACACGCGGCAGACTGAGTTCTCATCGACGACAGCAAGCCGGCCACGTGACGCGCTCACGTCCAAACAACGAACACTACCCACTGTTTGCACAACCATCCTGGCCGTACCTTTATTAGGCTCCACCTGCCATATCTGCGTATATCTTGTACGTAAATATATAGGAAGCTTTTTAAGCTATCATCAAATGTACAATTGCAATATTTTTTTGCGCTTTGCTGTAAGTTTTCGTTGGTGTTCCAACAATGTTTGTTTTTTCGCTAATAGATTTTTATTTCGGTAATAGGTATATATGCAGAAAAAATGGAAATGGAAATGTGTATTTTTTGTCACAAGTACGCAATTCGCTCTGGGTAATATTATTTAAACGTTATAAATGTGAACAAAATATAGAAATTGTGCAATTTTTTTTAAATATGAGGTCATATAAATTTCACGAGCATTCACAGATGCTTCTGATGGATTAATCGCAGTGCTTATATTATTTAACTAATAGTTTTCAATTTTATCATTACTATTACGATAAAAAATATTTACATCATTATTAACAAAGGAAAGTGCCATGGAAACTATATTATATAGAGGGACAAAAGCTAACAGAATCACAATTTCGTAAGTAAACAAAATCCAAATATTCGATATTCATACTAACAAAACAAAATCCAAATATTCGATATTCATAGTGATTTTTAAGAGTCAATAGAAATTTAGAGTCCATTTGTTATATTAAAATAATTGTATTTTTTTATAATACAACCATCGCTTAGGAATTACGAAAGCATAGATTGTTTGTGATTTCTAATCAGCAACGTTTACCACGAAACAAAATTCGCTTAGAGCAATATAAAATAAATTACCATTTATTTATATAATTAATCAAACAATGAATAATAGTATCAGTGTGGAATTTATGCAAGCAAATTCGGCTGGCACTTTATATGGCCCCGGTACATTTAAAATATACAAAAAGATATAATAATAAATGTTGCTTATTTAAAATTATAAGAACATTTATTATTATTTAATATTAGAATTATATATTGTGTATATACCTGTCCATTAAGCAATCCTAAAAGTAAAACTTCTTGAAAATATAAACTAGTAACTTTGACGTAACGTATCGGTGACGGGACGGTCCATGATTTTGGTATCTTTAAGCCGATCATTACCAGTTTTGTGTCCTGCAATATAATGATACACTTAATTAATTAAAATAATAGAAAAAACAGTTTATAATGGGCTAGACGATGGTTCATTCAACTGGTTCTCTTGATTTAAATAAAATACGCATCAGCTATTTAGAGCAATGTCAAAATCAACCAACTTTTTGGATATTATCTCGACACTATAAAAGTATAACATTGAAGCTCAAAAGGTTCAGAACATATATTTATGATTTATCATATTAAATCAGTAATTCATAGTGTAGCGAGGAGGTAATGATTTCATATAAACAGATAATTTATCATGTCTACCTGACATAGTAACAGGGAGTCACTGGTGGCTACTAACAACGAACATTCAGATTTCTGAACCAACTTCTCTTTGACGCGATACAACATGCCGTCGGGATCACCTTGTTCATAAACAACTACCCTCTCGGGAAGTTGAACCTGCAATACATATAGAGAGGATCTATTAAAACCAACAATTATTTTTTTTTTTGGTTTAGTTGTATAAGCACCATTCAAATATATATGACGCTTTTTCTGTGTGTTAGGGAAAAAAAATTGTTTTTCATTTATAAACGCAGTACACACTAAATTTTATATATCACCTACATAATTTATTTATATTTATAACACGAAAACAGCAAAAAAACACTGTAATATCGACTTAAGTAATAAAAACATATGACAAAATTTAGATTTAGGTTTTTATTGGAGAATTCTCCATATTTATTTCTAATGAAATATAACAGTTCTATAAAATTTGTTAAATATTGATAATGTTTTTATTATTTTTTGAATATTTAAATGTGCATATTCCATATTGAGATGACACAAAGTATATTATTTAAGCAAAAGTTATCAGTAGGTTAAAATACCATGGGAGCTTGTAGCAAGAATATTATGGGAGCTTGTAGTATGGTTGGTAACAAAGTAAAGAATACTTGAGTAAAACTTACCGCCAAACGATGTTTGTAAATAGCAATTTTCTGCACCCTATCATGACATTTTATCCGAACTTTATTACCCGTTGTTAGGTGCTGTATAATAACATCCGTCATATTTTCTCTATAAGCATATCTTTCTCGAAATAGTCCATGAACTGTGTTGAAGACAACCTGGTAACACCATAGAGTTCCATCTTGACATGCAACTGCCTGTAAAAAGTGTAGCAAGATTTTTACAGTGTATTTGAAACTGACGGAGTATGATGATTATAAAGTTTTTATTATATTACATTTTTTTAAGCTTTCCAAAAAAGAGTTGTTTACTATTATAACAGGAATGCACTCTACATAGAAAAACATATTTTAGTAATTAGTAATACATGAAGCATTCATTGCCACTTTCAATTTTCAGTCAACAACTTTTTGTTAGAATCTTGAATCGGAAATTGATTTAATAAGGAAAGGACAAAGTAAACCTATGTAAAGTATAACTTTTCACAGTATTTAAAGCACCTCACTGTTGGTTTTAGAATTTGAAATTATTAATACAGCAAAAAAGATTACCAAGCACCTCTGACAACTAAAAGACTTTTCATATTTAAAATAAATCTAATTTATGAAATAAAATAAAGTTTTATTTTTATTAACAACAAATACGAAGAAAAAGAAGTAAAAACTTAAAAACCTTTGATGATTTGCACATAATCCAACAAAATAAATAAAGAGATAGTTAGTTACCAAAGTGTTTGTAAGGGGTGATGGTGCAATAGACCATACCCAGTCCAATGATGTGTTTAATATTGATACTCCTTCTGAGGTAAGTATGGCCCAACCTCCCAAGCCACCAACTAATATCAAGGCCCCCAATATTGTCATTGAAACAGCCGAAATTTCTGTAAATAATGTTATCGTTACAATAGGAAAATATACAAATCAAACAATTTATGACAAATTTATTTTAACAAACATAAATGTAAGTTTCCAAGCTGTCAGAAAACTTATTCAATTTTTTTTTACTTATTGTGCTTATTAAATTAAAATCGTCAAATATTAAATAATATGTATTTCAGTCACCTATGTTTCTTTCTTTCAAAAGAGGTTGTCCCATCATGTCATAAAATGATAGGGTGTCATTCCAGTCTGTAACCAATAATGTGTTCTTATAGAAAGCTACAGCCCACACTGCAGCATCTCTTGTTATTCTAGTAATTTCATCACCAACCTGTAATAAAATGTGATATAATCATATAGATGCAGTACAAAAATTTAAACAACTTAATGTAAACTATGGAAATCACTTTAATATTGAAAATGTTTCTGGAAAAAATATAATTTTATAGGATGTTGTAATATTAGATAGTATAAATAACACTTTTTATTTATCACATCAAACTTTATTTTTGAGAAGACTACATTGGGCATTATAATTATGTTACCAAAATTATTTTTAACTGTGTCATACTATGATTATATCAATTGTAGAAAGATCACTATCAGCTTAATTATTACCTTATTACGAATTGAAACTATGCCACTGGCAAGTCCAATAGCTAGGTATTGACCAGTTGGTGCCCAGGCACAACTAGTAATCCGACCCGCTACTCGGTATTTTTGGACAGCTTTGACATCAGCTGACCAGAATGCAAAATCAGAGAGTGCGCATGAAGCTAAGTGATAAGTCACCGGATTATACGCTAAACTTTGGATTGCTTCACTGTGTCTGAAATCAAATATTATTTTAAAAAGCAAATAAATATAAGAAAAATGTAATAATTATTCCATGTTTCATAATTATATTGTTTTCGTGTTTCCTTTTTTTTCATTTGCCTGAGATATTTCTAATTATCGGAGTGTATACTTTGCTATTGTTATATTATACATATGGGCGATTCTAAGTTTTTCTTTTTTTAAATTATTATATTTATCGATACAAAATACTTAAAATTGCACAATATTTTAAAAAATATGAGTATATTAATATTTTTTTATTTTTTATTAAGTTGCAAACTTGATTAATGAATCTAATGCTGATTTGGATCTGAAAAGATGCAAAGCTGTCAAGCTGAGTGTTTAAAATGTATACCTTGATGCACACCCAAGCTACTGAACTGACTCCCATGATGAAACTAGCATCCATATCAAGAAATAAAAACTTATAAGTAACTCCTTATACCAAGTAAATCGTACGTGTCCCACCCGTGACAATGAAAGTCCCACCCGTAACACACTTTATTTATTTTTTGTAAAAATTTGTGTAAATAATAGAACATTATTTTCTATTCAAATGTGAAGTTTAGTTTATTGTCTCAAAGAAATATCGTAGTCTGCATTAAAAAGTTTTAACAACTAGCAGAGTTTTATTAAATATGATGCATGTGTAACAAGAATGTCACAACTTTGTCCCACCCGTGACAAACATTTACTGTCTTCTTTATTAAATTTTACATGGTATTATTCAAGTTTTTATTGTACCTATAAAAGTACATGGATAAATTTATTATATTCTATATAAACCAATTAGATATCATTGATACAATTAGCGTGAATAAGCCACACCCGCTGAAAATCGAGGCACAAGTGTCCCCCCCATGACGCTAGAATCCCCCATATATAATTCGATTTTTTTTTAATAACACATACCTCTTAAACACATTTGATCATTAGTAAATAATTAAAAAGATTAAAATTAGGGCTTAAAAAAGTAAAGCTATCTGAATAACCCCAGGTTTCAATCAATAACAATTTAAAGGACACTTACGAATATTTAAGAACACCTTCCATTTTAGATGTCCATATTATAACATTTTTGTCTGCACTACCACTAGCAAACTTCTTTCCATCACTGCAGTAGGCTACAGTATGAACCATTCCTTTATGGGCCTGTAGAAGTTGTAGCAGTGAACCATCTCTTGGGTCATAAACCATGACCTTTTCTCCAGCACCTACTACTAATTGAGTGCCATCTGGACTGAAGCATATTGCGTGTACACTGAAATGACGACTTACAAATATTAAGATAATAAAATTTCCTTAACAGTTGTTCTTTGAAATGATTTAATTTAAATTAACTAAGTAAAATAATTTCACTGCACACCTTGAAAACTCGATTTTATCAGCTTCATGAATTTTATTTACCCACTTCGGAACAGTTCTCATTTTAGATATATTATGATTTTCAGCGGATATTAAAAATTATAATTAAAGAGTGCCGAACATTCATATAAAAGTGTATAATTTGGTTGGCAACGGCTTCCTAAAAAGTGTAAACAAATAACGCACAAACAAATATCTATGGTTATAACTGAAACGTAATCATCTAAATAAAAATCTTGCGCCAACAATGATTTAACGAGTGTTTAAAGAAAAAGAAATGATAAAAATTCATTTTTACTTCCTTTTTTTGAATAAACAACAAAAATTATTCAAATTTAAATTATAATAGAAGACATTGACATTTATAATTTGACATTCACTAGTAAAGAGACGACAATACGACATAGACAGCAGTCAAATGAGGCAGACAAAAAATAGAGTTAAAAAGGTTTACTCGCATGTAAGTTTGGAAAGAAATAATCTGAAATCTAATTTCTGTCTTTTTTTTAAATATTTTTTATTTCTTAAAATTATGTTTGACATAAATAGAAACAAAAATGCAAAACATAAATAGAAATAAAAATGCATCCTATAATAATTTTATTTTAATTCTAAAATAAGTTTTGTCTTCGTATCCCCACATTCCAGTGTACAGTTTAATCCAACTAAATTGAAATATTCAGTTTGGCACTAAATCTACAATGAGTACAACTTTTTGCATGTATACTAACTTCTTATTGTAAAATAACGGATATCAGTAATTTAATTTAAAATGACTAAAATGAAACACTTAAAATTATAAATATGCTTACACATTTTTTTGGGTATAATGCTTCTCCATAAATTAATTCATTTCTTCCATGTTTGTGTAAGTTTAAAGAAAGCTACATTATGAAAATTCAGTTTCAGATCAAAATATTTGGAGGATAAGACTAAACTAGCCTCTAAAAATTAGGGGTACTGATTAGAGCGAGGCAGTAATTCAACACCGGGACACTTGCACTTTTAAAGCACAGGTTCGTCCCCACATTGAGTATTGTTCTCATCTTTGGTCCGGTGCCCCACAGTACCAACTTTTACCCCTTGACTGCATATAACGTTGTGCAGTTCGTATTTTCAACGATCCCATGCTCATAGACAAGAGAACCCCTAAGACTCCGAAGAGATGTGACCTCTTTCTGCATGTTCTATCGTATTTACAACGGTGAATGTTCTAAAGAACTGTTTGGTATAGTGCCTTCGTCATCATTCTAGGTCTTCGTCATCGCACTACTCGTCATAGAGTTGGATTTCATCCATATCAGATGCATTTAGTTGTAAGTCTGTACTTGCATCGCGGCCCTTTTTGCCACGCATGTGCAGGATGTGGAATGATCTTCCACCCGAGGTTTTCTAAGAGAGCTACAATAAGTATGGGTTTTTTCAAACATCAAGGTTTCAGGTGGCTCCTTCACACATAAGTCTGGCGACTCATCTACAATACAGGTGTCGCAAATGTCCATGGACAGAAAGCATTACAACGATACAGCTTGGCCGATACAAGCCATTTGCCGCTATGTTGGTGTACCCCGGATCTGTCAGCGATAGGGCACACCAGCGACTTGCCGGTCCTGGCAAAGACCGGACTTACTCCCTCGGAGAATGGGGGAGATCCCGGCAATTAGGACCACCCCGATAAGGCTTTCATTAGGCTGATTAGGCTTTCATTGGAGCCGGGTTACCACGCCGACCCCAGCCCGGAACACAGGGGTAACAGCAACTAACATAACCTAACAACTCGTCAGAGTCTCTTGTTATTAAATAGGTTTTCGTTGCAAATATTAATAGCAATTGAACAATCATATTTCTAAAGACTGATATTTATCACTTTGATAATGCCGAAAAGCAATGTATACAGGATAGACAAAGCTGAAAATTAAGCAGTTGCTGTATCGGCTACATAGCATCCATATGTAATCATGTCGGAGCAAAGTAGGTGCACGTCTACTGAATTGAGAGGAGACTATTGAGCTGTGCTAGAGAACCCTTTTCTTTCGGTTTTCTCCACAAAGATGATGAGAGAAATTTCTGTAAGCACTCTTCACCACCTGATATCTTGCTGACGCGTTTTATATGAACTTTTTTGCACTCTCATAGCATCGAATTCAACTTTTACTATGAGAGAAAAGTATTACCAAACCTCCCACGGCTCATGCATACTATGTGGGGTTTGTGTTCCAAACAAAGCCCCTTACGTATTACCTTAAAAACTATCGATGTAAAGAAGGCCAGCGGTCCGGATGGAATTCTTAATAGAGTGTTAAAGACGAATGGCAAAAGCTTATTTTCATTTTAATTCAACTATGCTTAATCTTCTATACCTAAGGACTAGGTACTTCCGACTTTATGGAAGGAAGCAAACACTTACTCTGTACCCAAGAAGCTGATCCGACAGATCCATCGGACTACAAGCCTATCGCAAGAGCCTCCTTGATGTCGAAAGTGATGTTGAAGTGTCCACCTAGGTTCAGGTTAAGGACAACGCTCGTCTATCGTGGCTACCAACTTATTGTCTTCTCGGAATTGTGCAGTTGGAACCTAACATTCTTTTTTGATAGCAGAATAGAGATCATTGTTAACGATTCATGCTCGAAATCGTTATCGACAACATTGTTTATCCTGAATATTAACGACATGTTATAAACCTCTTTGTGTTAAACACTGAAGTAACGCCGTTTAATCTAGGTCCAATATTCTATGGCATTCCACTAACGGTCATCGAGAGTATAGGGAACCTTGAGATGGACATTTCGTAAGAAGTTCAATTTCGAAGTTATTCGGAGAGTAAATCTAAATTTGACAAGAAAAAACTGGTGACGTTGAGAGGAGCAAAGTAATATAACTAATAAGTTCATCCCCACCGCGAGACGATCTCCAGTCACCGTAAGCGCGGATCTGCGGACCCGAGCGTACCGCGCGCGCCTCAAAGAGCCATCAGACCACCACAGATTGGGCCCTAGAGTCGATGCCAGGCCGGGTGTAAGCGCAATGATGGCCAGGATACCACGGCCAGGCTCTTAGCAGGAGTAGGTACGGGGGTTTTTAGTCATTAAGAGTCTGACACTCCCTCTTGCCCCACCCAGGTCATTTGATGATTTTCCCCTTTAAAAAAAAAAGGTTCATCCCCACACGGAGGATCGGTCTCATCAATGGTATGTGGTGTGTATCGTGTGTATCGTGACTACTGAAGAAAATATTTTGTAGAATTGTTTGACATTGTGAGTGCGTCACAACTCCACCATCTACCAATGACCTTCCCAATGTTTTAGTAAAGAGATATTACACCAGATTAGGTTCTTTAAAAGTCAAGTTCTCAGGAACTTTCTTCATCTAGAAATCTGGCCAACTCAGTTATAAACTAAGTGTTGCAATTACCATAACTTACAGTGACCATTCACCATCAGATGCACTGTTTGCTTGATGGCCGTCTATAGCAGATACAAAAACTATATAATCAAAAACTAATATATCTAATTCCAATTCCCTATGTTAAATTACCCGATTGGTATGACTCAAATTACTTAATATTTTTGCCCTTAGTTATATTATTATTTACTTAAACTTTAATAACTGCAACAAAACGAAACCCTGCTGAGGAATCGTAATCAGAATTCTTTATTCCCATACCAGTACGAAATACGTGTTATAGTCCAGTCAATTGATAGTTTTCCAGGAGTGTTGAAAATTGGTGGTAATATAGATTTTGGTATGCTCTTTTCGAATTTCAACTTTGCCACCTCGTACCTCGCCGCTCGCGCCACCATATTGAAAAAATGGCGCTGAAAAACGGTTTTTAGGAATATCTCCTTTTTTTGAAAATTTATGAACTATATAAAATTATCAATTTAAAATATGATCTGTTATGTTTACGTGTATAAGAGGATGAGATATTAGTAAATATCGATACTATTAAAAATATCCTGCAATACTTGGATCAGATTAAGGGTTGAGAAAAGGTTTGTATATTTACTGTTGGGGCAAGAGAGAGAGCAGTGCGCGCGCAAATTTTCTTTCTCGCTTCCTTTCATACCCAGTGCATATAACATAGGAGCAAAAGAAGTTTTACTTCAGTCGTGTTGTCTAAAGTACACTGTTTTTTATGTACACTTTATGCTTACTAAAATCTATGATTTCAGTACCAATAACTCATTCTTTAAGCTGCACATCTAAGACCTAGTCATACCAAAATATTTTTTTGAAAAAAATTCAAGTTTTACTTACATAATATATCAAAGTTTTTATATTAATTGCTGTGGTTGTTCGTAAAAAGACAACTTAATGAAGATACAGTACAGATGAAGATACAGACCCAAAAGATGTTTTCTCTGTTAAATTGCTCTAAACATTTTATTAGGAGTTACGATAACCGTATATATATATATTATTTTCAGTTTTTTCTATATTATTGAATAACTGAAAAGATATAAATACAAACTTCGCAATTATATTTTTAGTGAAGTGAGTATATAGTATTTTATTAACATTTTGATATTTATACTCCAAATCACTTAAAATTATATCTTGTAATGTTACATTCGATGTATGTTTTTACACATTTGTGTGTCAAAAATTCTTAGTTTTGTTTTTTTTTATAATTTTGATGTAGGTAGATAGTCCGTCTGACTTAAACTGGGCTTTGCATTTGTGTGAGTGAAAATAAAAGAGAGAGAATTAGAGTTAGATAAAAAACTTTTAGAATAAAATTTTATTATGTTTTAAATAGATACATAGCATAGGCGTGAGAGCTATTCCAGATAAAACATTAAATAAGCAAACTTGTAAGAGGCCGGATGAAAATATTATGGAAAAAATAATAATTAATAAAAATTTTGAAAAGCTATACCAATTCTTCTTCACTTGAAATTGCGTTTTCAACATTTCAAGTTGCTACCAGTACAAACGGTGAAGTGTGGAAAAAGCGAGGAGAAGTAAAAGCAGTATAAACCGGTTCAAACCTAGAAAATAATGTGGCATTCAATAATTTGACATCACACCTACTTACACTATCGGTGTGCACTCACACAAATGCAAAGCTCAGATTATGCCTCGCGCACTATGCTCAGTGTTACACATGACTAAGGCGAATCTATTGACACAAGTCACATAAAATTTTTCCAAACACTTTCTAAGGCGTGCCAAATACATAAAGAAAAACCTAACCTCTTTATTAGCAGTTTGGTAAAAAGAATGCAAAGCAATTTTTGGGTATCTTTTTTCTTTACCTATTTATCTCAACAGGTTTTAGAATTTCTCAACGGATTCTCTAATTACGTGAGATGATAAAATAAAGGATTTTCGTAATATCGAGGAACTCATTGACCATAATAAAAATGTTTTAGATATGACATATAATACATCATATATCGATATAATTTAAAATATTTACTGTTTGACGTACCTATGTGAATATAAGGAGCTTATATATCTAATTCTGATACATTATGTTATGTTGAAAACTTTGTAAGACTTATGGTTCTTCAACAAATCCTACTAATACATATTACGAGTCATAAAAAAACGATGACTTATAGTATTAATCAACGAAAGTTTGTGAAATGTTTCTTACTATTTTACAGACAAACTACTTACAAACATTTTAATCAAACTATGTAGTATTGAGTATTGAGCTGAAACGTCACTATTATATATAGGCTGTAAGTATTCCTTCACTTCGTTTTGTTTCCGCGATTACGTCATAACAGTTGTATGTAATATGAAGTCATGAGACACAGATTATGGATGTCGCAGGTCGCAAGTCGCTGAAGATAGGTTCAAACAATATCTATTATAATTGGAACACACCTAAAACATCTGATTCTAATTTGATTCTAACTCCAGCAGAAATTCTATAGCTTTTCTATAGATTTCTATAGCTGAAAGCCCAGGAGACGACTCTGCTTTTTTATTATTATTGCATATATGTAAGTCTAGGTTATACATGTGCTTATGATTTGATATACGTTTTATTTTATAATAAGACCTCTAAATAGTTTCGACGTTCTAACTCTTTAAAATAACTTTTGTATCGAATTTAAAATAAATCATGTCCTGGCCAAATAATGCTTTGCTTTAAATCTTGCCGTAAATATTAAGTAAAGCAGAGGTGCTTTTGAAGCAGTCTAGTCTTTTTGATAAACCTAGTTTGATTTTTGTCTAGTTATCATACCTATCTGTTTCGGCGACACATTTATTATTATCTCTATGTATCTGTTTAATTTCCAATTGGCCTCACCTTTCTGCCGAAGATTTTTTAATGTAACCGTACTATAATTATATGTTAAAATTTTGACGGAACTAACACAGGAAAATTATTATGTTTGTTGACGCAGATTTTTTTCACTTCCGGCCATTTGATTTTATTCTCAGGTCAAATTGTCTATTGGTTGCAAATGTGCATGACATAAGTAAGGAAATTAATTATATGATGAAAGATTTGACAATAATATTCTTCAACAAAAATGCCTCAGTTATAGATCTTACGTGGCTTGCATACGGTATATATTTGTTAATAAATCTGTCCTACCCAAAAAAAATGTCAACTATTAAAACTTTATTAATGATGTGTGACATTTGAAACGCTACTGTCCGCCCCTATCGTTCCGTTTATCCATAAATTAAAAGCTGCAAAGGTTCAAACGATCCTCAGAACGATTTTGATTATATCAACATAAGATCCATATTCAAACTTTTCAAAGCCATCTTTTAATGGGTTTTGTCTTACGAAAGACGTTTGTAGTTTGCTTCAAGTTTCCGCCGGCACCTTTTTTCTCAGCATACGACAGACAGCGTGTCGCCGTCGCCGGATGCGGAATAGGCAGGTAGCCAGATTTAAGACTATAGATTAGCTTATTATTTCTCTCTAAGACAATCTGCTAAATCTTTTAATATTCAAGTGCTAATCTCCTCATCTCCTATTGCATATTTCTCTTTATTATAGACTGGATTTGTATCCATTATAAAAGAAACAACTACAAACATATAGGTAACAACTGCAACAAATAGGTAGGTAGGTATGTGTTGGATTAGGTGCTAAATGTTTGACTATATTACCTTTATTACCTATATTACCTTTGAAAAAAAAAGTTAAATAAAAATTCTTATCATCTGATAATAATAATTAACTTTTCTTGATATCTTCTTTTAATTTTATCCGTTATCTTCTTTCAAATGTGTGTTTAACATGTTCGGGATTAAAATACTTTTATTCAATGACGAAAATTACATTGTATTTATCTTTATTCTTCTCCATTCCCTATCGAAATAAAACTATTTACAAAGAAATAAAAGAAAAGTTTGTTATTTTTAAGAGGTGTTTGCGACTCTGTGCTCCTTTTAATCGTTACTTTTAAGGAATCGATAACAGAAAAGGAAAGAACCCTAATAAGATCACTTTTTATTCGACCATCAGTCCGACATTCTGTCTTTCAAAATTCTTTATTTCGGGCAATGGTAAAATATATTTATGTACCTACTTGAAAAAAATAATTGCGTATTTTTCGTTGAACTAGAACTATGGAGTTAAGCAAATAACACCTAGGTATATTTACTACCAGCAAGGAAAAAATTCAGGAAACTATCAAATTTACAACGGTTCGTTTCGTGTTATGAGTAATTCGACTATATATATCTCCTATAGTTGTTGGTTAAAGAAAAGTAAACCGGCTTAATAATATGCACGGTTAGCATTATCTCTCACGTTCCGTGTCCCAAAACACAATCCATTTGGAAATTATCCGGTGCATCCCCTCCGGTTTTAATTAAAATGTAAATGGTGGTCCGCTTTTTTAAGGGTGAATATCACGTGAACGTGGGCCGCTCGAAATTTAACTCGGAAAACTGCTGGCTGAATTTATGGATTTAAATTGTCTTTTAAAATGTGGAATTGAATTTTAATAATTATCTTCATTAAAATATGTCAAAAATATTAACATATTATGTGTAAGCTTTCATCTCGTATGCCCGTGATCGCGGAACACAGTTGCTCGAAAGTAACCGAAACGTCGGGTATAAATATGGAATAATACAAATCGAGTGTATCTGAAAAAAAAGTTTTATTTTATAAACATATGTCTTTAAAAATGGAATACAAGTTAATTTCAAAATTATTTTGAAGAAATATGACATATTGTTTAAATACATTTCTGCTTTTTATATTTCTTTGTTAAAAATAGAGTATAGAGTTAATTTAAGAAAAAATAAACAATCCAATTATCTGTTGTGGTTAAAAGTTCATCCCGAAGCTTACTATGTGGACTCGTAGCCCCAAATCAATACAGTGTTGCCCCAAGAGTCAGAAAGGGACAGAGTGGCATCAGGGGGCGGCTCAGAATGCTCTCCGCCTCTCACAACATAACAACAACCCCTGGCTTCTAACCGCAATGTATTTAACTATTCAATAAAGGGGCCAACATAGCTATATTGATGTATCTATACGATGTCATTTACCTGTGAAGTACTTTACATTCACACTTATACGTACAAATTTTAAGACCTTAGTTTGGGTTATTACAATTAATTAAAGTATTTTGTTTATATAATAATATGAAATTAACTTTAACAAAAGAGTGTTGTGTAAAGATCATGGTTACTATTTAGAATCAAAACGGTAACAGAAGTTCTAATTTCTCACTCCTCCAGCTTTCTTTTCCTCCTCATATTAACTATGTTTTATCCACAAATTTCATACTGCTGTTTGCGCATCCCACATTAATAGGAATGATAGAGAAATTTTTGTGCTATACCTTAATATAAATCAAATTTAAAATTAAAAACGAACTCTTTTCAAACTCTATTTCCTAAGGACGCTATTTATATTTTATAAGATTTCTTTGTGTATACTGTATGTAATAAGTTTAAGTGTGTTAATCGATTCATTGATATAAAAATTAGTAGGTGTTGGTAAAAAGGAGGTAACCAAATGGTAACTCAAATATCATCATCATCATCTAAATAATGAAGATAAGTCAATACCTCTCAATATACAAAATACGTAAAAATAAATCAACATTTATTGAAACGGTATTTTAGAAAAAATATAATTAATATTACAAAGCAATTTAAAGCAGTTAATTAAAACGATTATAAGAATAAATAAATTAAATTATTAAAATAAATTTAATCGTATTTATGAATAAATGAAAATGAAAAATTGTAGTCACGATATTTAACTCATATAGAGGTATTATGACTATCAACATGCAAGTAAGTAATTCGTTTTAATGTAATGGCTAACCATAAACTTAAGTAATTACAATTTTAATTAATTATGTTCCTTTGTTGCTCAATATAAAGAAAAATTTTAAGACACGTACTCAGCTATGGCGAATCTGATGTTACATGTACTTATATCACTATGTAAGTATTCGTTATATTGGACCTCATCTTTAATCTGGAGTGGATGGTAGTGTGTTGAACAGAACATATCGCAAATATAATATTTTAATTACTCAAGAATATTTTTTATGTAATTAATTTAAGGAAACTAATGTTTGCCAATTATATGCTTAGTTAACTTATCCTAGATTAAGTTCAGGAAATGTGAATGCAGACCTTGAATAAGCTAATGGAGATGTACCCGCATTTAGAAATGAAACAAAATCTTTAAATTCATAGAATTAAATGAGCTACTAAAATCTAATAACGTTACATATTATAACATGTCCATAGACATTCCATAAATATTATAAATAGCGTGTGCTTCACAATTAAGTTGAGGTAATTGTATTCATAAATATGTTAAAACAATGAATGAATGAATGATACGTGAACCAACTGTCAGCGACATTCATAGTCTGCTTCAAGTGACCTTCTCCACAAAACATCTTCACCTTTGGTCCTACGGTAATTACAAGGAATAACAGGGCGAATAATAAGTATTATTCTGAGATATAAAATTGTCGCGAGTATTCATACAAATGATACTAATATTATTCGTATTTTATTATTTTAAAAAACTACATACTTAAAACCAGGCGCCCTTCTAAGTCAGCAGTGTGTAAACACATAATGAACAAGTCAGGCCACTGCTTTTGGTTTGATAAACCACAAATTCTCGCTCGTGAAGACAGGTATATAACGAGGTTAATCCGCGAGGCTATTGATATTACAAACATCCCAATTTCAATAGAGAAATTGGCTGGAAACTATCCAACACCTGGGACCCCCTCCTAAAAAATATAACATCCCATATCCGTGACCGCAGGACCTTGTGACACCTTAAGAGCATTCTGCCGGAATCCAGAGGGGTATCCCAAAAATTAAGAAATTGATGGCCGTAGATGATAAATAACAGAACTTAGTAACTGACATGCACATCTCGTCTACTCGTGATCACGGTTGCTGAAAAGTAACCGAAATGACGGGAGTATGTGGTTTTTTAAATTTAATATGCGTAGTAATCCGAATAATATTAGTTTCATTTAAAATCTTATTCTGATGTATAAATTACATTACTGAAAAGTTTCATCAAAGTATGCAAAGGAGTTTTGTCAGAAAGATCTATAAGGAAGAATACAAAAGTGAACTTTTCTACATCGTCACAAACGTTTTCATTTATAATTATATAATTAGTAAGATTTATTACGAACTAGAAGACCTGGCGAACTTCGTATCGCCCTATAATCAAGAAATATCTGTTACGTTTTTTTATTTATATTTTTGGAGTTTATCTTTGAGCTGTGGAGTTTATAAATCTCCGTGTTTTGAAGTGCGACAGAATGATTGACATATTAGTTAGTTGTCAAATCTAATGTCAAAAAAAACGTTTGTATGGGAAATAGAAAAGGGCTGTTTTTATGGTTTTCCCAGTAATGAATCAATTTTTTTCAGCTTTTATACCTTCCCTGAACCTCCACGAACATTTCAAGACTAAGATAAGATAAATCCGTTCAGCTGTTCTTGAGTTTTAGCGAGACTAAGGAACAGCAATCCATTTTTATATATATAGAAGAAGAAGATTATGCCCAATAGTAATATTTATTCAAGTACTATTAGATGAAGCGGATAAATTATGCCAGTGAACGGATGGATTGGTGACAAAACAAAATAAATGACACTGTCTGTGTCTCGGTAGGCGAAATATAAAATATACCTACCTCACACGTTCCTTTATTTTCGTTAGACGGCCAATGCGTTTCTATGGTTACGGAAAATGCTTCCTTTAAATTTCTCGGCCATAATGTAGATTATAGGCCGTACTCCATCCTTAGAAGGAAAAGTAGAAATCTTTTTGAACGATCTTAAAAAGGTCGGTAAGGAACCGATTTAAGTAAGGTAATAAAGTCTTGGATGTACGATAATTATCCAATATCACATTTGAATTAACATTTCCTCGTCTATGTTTTAATAAAACTATTTTATAAAAGTTTAATGTAAGCGTCATAAATGTGTTGAAGTTGTGGCTCCGGCTAGCGCTGACGGCTGATTCATCAGCGTTATACAGGGATCGCAATAATGTTGGGATGAATCTAAATAAGCCGTTGGAGCTCTATAAACACCTGTGAGTTTCCAAGAGCTATATCCTGGGGAAATCCCATAATGATGTCGTTATATCACTCTCAAAAGACTTCATCATCATTCAAAAGAATCATGACTTCAATTCCATAAATAGTTAATGATAGGATCAAAAACTAACAGAGCAGGGATAGGATCAAGTAGGAAGGCTATATTAAAGTTATTAAAGTCTTCTATTCAGGAAGACTAGAATTCTACATATAAGATCTATACAATGAGCTTAAGAATGCAGAATGAGTGGCTACACATAGAAGAATTTTGCATCCCATTAGCAATAGAATATCGCACTTGAATTTTATCTTAGTGCATTCCAGATGACTCTCCCAGATCAGAGTGACATAGTAAGATTGGGTAAAGGTATTGAAAAAACTTTGTTCATCGGGAAGGCAATTGGAACGGTTATGAATTTAATGGTTTAAGGTACTCCTGGTTGATGTAGAATTCATACTTGAGTCGTCACGAAAGCGTTTTTGAAATCACACGTGAATCGGTTATTCTTTCGGTAGTCAGAGTGCAAATTGTAAAAGCGCAAAGTACAAACCAGTGATCACTAGGTTTTATGGGAGAAGGCACTAGTGCTACAAAATGAAACGTCAAGCCTTACTCTATCTTTAAAACCGCTTTCGGATTTGATTATACTGAAGGATACGTATGAGAAGCAATATAAAATCCCAGAAGATATTTGTGAGTCAGCGGCCAGACCAGACATATTTTTATACTCGCGAATTGCGAACGAAAGCGAAGCGTGTTATGCCAATCGACCTTAACCTTCTTGGGAAACCAACATCCCAAAGACCATGCCATCAAAGTCAACAAATATTACGAGCTCACTAACGAACTCACCAAGAATAAGTTCAATGTTCATTTGTACGCGGTAGAAGTAGGTGCGAGAGGTATAACAGCCAAATGTCTCTTCAAATTACTTAAAGGCTTGGGCCTGTCTAGAAATAACATCAGTTCATTCTTGGAAGTGCGTTGAAGGCAGCACTAGTAAGTTCGTTTCAAATTTGGTTAGGTAAAGACAGAAGCTTGGATGGTGGAGGTGAGCGTTTACGCGCGTCAGATAGGGGCCCCTTAAATCTACTCCTGGTTCCCAAGTCCCAAGCACTGTTGAAGCTCCATTCCCTGCAACGTGGACCCGGCACCTGCACGGTGAATCTTTTTATTTGTACTGCAGAGGTTTCGTCTCATTTGTACTCTTGTGAAAAGGAAAAATCTCTCTCTATTGAAAAGGAAGTCTGACTATAAATATCATGGGCATTTTTTATTTGTTTAATCTATACTGATAAGATTGTTATGGATTTGTTTTAAAAAGTTGTTTCAACTATAAAGCCTCATAGTAATTAAATTTCAGGTTATATTCACAAATGACATAAGGTACTTAAAAGAATTTAATTATTTCCAGATATTTCAAACTTTTGTCATAGTTACTACCACCAGGGTGGGTTGCAAAGATCTCGGATGAAGATGAAAATGTTAAGTTTGGACAAAGACCTTGTGAGGGATGCTATACGAAACGTAATGCGTATTGATCACTTCAAACAGTACTATACACATTCGTTCGCATATGATGTCGGCCAAATGATATATTTGATTAGAAGCAAATACGCTAGAATGATTCGTGTGTTTACAATAGCGCTTGAATATGACAAAAAGTACCATCACGGTTTCAAAGTGGGTAGCAAATGATTTGTGATAATGATTTAATTTCTTTAAGATTTATTTTTAAAAAATTAAGATGATAAATATCGATATATGTGTATTTAAAACACTATTTGTAAATAAAATATCGATAATCTTAGTTACGTATATTATAAATGTTTATTGTGTATTTTTCAGCACGTGCCACATCTAGCGGAAATTCAAAAGTTGGCAATGGAAATTTATAATTTAGTTGAAATGTTGGAAGAGTATGAATTGATTGGGGAGAAACGAAATAATAGAATGTTCAACTTGTTCAATTTGCCACAAAATTTTACTTTTTCAAATAAGACTTTATCTGAATTAAAAGCTAATTATTCAAATCAGCAAGCTAAAATTCCACGGACGAATCCATTAACAGGACGGAAAAACAGACAGTATCAAAAACATAGCAGTGATATGTATCAAATTGGTCATCTTGATGGTGCCGGCTTTGACTCAGATATAGAACATTAAAAACGATTTTACAAAATGTTAAATATTAAGTACTTTATAAAAGTATATAAAAAAATGGAAACCTAAAAATTTAATTTATACTCAACGGATGAAACGAACTTAGTTGTAGCTCTTGAAACCTGGAGGAAACAAAAGCACTCAAACTGATTTTATACCATTTCGCCTGCCTACAGACACTCACTAAAAACGGAACGCGGGGATACATTGGTTTACTTTTGGTTAAGAATTTGTTATTGTAAGCCATATGGGTGCAGGGCGGCGTAGATTTTTTTCTGTTACGACGAATTTACAGCAAACGTTAAACAATAGGACACATGCTGATGTCGTGTCCATCTGTGACGTATATAACCTTCGAAGCTATTGTCAGGTCACGTTGCTGTTGATTCTAGTGGTATTGATTATAATATGACTCAACAAGCTTAACACTCTTTATTTAATTTTGTAAAAAATTATGATATCATATAAGATAATTATATAAATCTAGCCTTAAAGTATGTACCTACTCGAATTAAAAAATATTTTAGAACACACTAAAATGGCGAATAAAAAGAGTAATTTCAAATTTTGTCTAATAAAAATAATAAATTTCAAATTTCAAAATTTTGTCTTTCACCTACGTCAAAAAAAAACAGTTTATTTTATTCTAACAATAATAGTCCTTTGGATATAAATAAGATAAATCAGAATTAGGAGCTCTCTTACAATACACACATAACATAATTTAGCTTTAATTCGATTTTTTATTCCTTTTTGTAAGACTTTTTTATCAAAATCAAAAAACCCTTAGTAAAATTTATTTCTAAAAATTAATTAAAAAGTTTTTCTTCTTATAAATTTACTTACAAAAATCATTATTTATATAACACTATACTTTTAATTTGCTTTCAGGAAATATAAGGATTAAGTTGACGGTTAATATAATTTTCCTTTTGAGGCTATGTAATTGTAAAGTAAAAAAATGGAATATGATATTCAAAACGCAGACAGTTTTAAACAACACATTTTAAAATATTAAAGTGCTATTGATTTATTGTTTAGGAAAGCTATGTCTAATGCCTGTTATACTTCAAATAAAGGCTAGCTTTATATTATGTATTTCTACAAAAGGAAGAAAATAAATCCAACAATATTTATAGTATTCTAAGGTTTCTCGCATTGCGTATTTTTAACAATTTTCAGTTATTATTCAATACAACGAAGGATTAAATTTCTTTCCTTATTATTTATAAAATTACATAAATCGCTAAGTTGAATAAAGTCTTCCTTAAATTTTTTATAACGCTAAAGTTACATTTTCAATTACGCTGTTATTGATATTATTTGTAAAATTAATCAGCTTTTTAAGAAGAGTATAATCCTTACGAAGCCGAGGTAAAATTTGAAAAGCATTTATAGGATATCGTATTATCAATATTCTGGGGGAGATTGCCTGCGGTCATCAGCGGCTCAACTCAACTTCGCCTTAAGGAATCCACTTAGCGAAGAATCGATAACTAATTATACTCAATACTTCTTCAGCCAGATTAAATATTGTTCTATTTTATAGAGTATCATGAAATGGACCGGGCTTATGTTTACTTATCTAAAAAAAAGGCTTTTGGATAAATATATATAATTTATATTTATGTAACAAAATCTCTTAGATACTTATTAATTAATATATGTAGTTACTGTTTGTTCAGTCAAATATGGGAAATATTTTAGAATTCCGTATGAAGTAATTTTGTCGCTTATATAAGGAAGCAGTATCCCTAAATTAAAAAATATTTAGCAACAGTTCATTTTGATAGAGTTTAACGTGGGCCGTGGCGTGACGCAGCGACATTGCGACCATTTATTTAACAACCTTAATATGAATACATTAAGTATAAAATTGTCCAAAACATACCATCAGTAGGTACTCTATTACGAATGACGTGGATCAAATCGACAATAAATGTGGAGTATTTACTTTACATTTACTCTTTAATTGTGTCTTGCGACGGCTAGTGACGGACATGTAGATTCCATGACAAAGCACCTTTGACAGCGGGTTAGCTGTTATTTTATTAAATTACCTTGAACCTTGTGTGCTCGTCAGTTGCCTCAAATACATTAAATACATAACTATGTGAAATAACTTCAGACTTGCTACTATTTACTGCTACTTCGTCTTTTGTGATATCAAGACTTACCACAGAACCTATTCAATAAAGTATGCTGAGAAAGGTAACTTTAATTAAACTCCCAAAAGCTTACTTATCATTTAGTATAAATATTGTAGGTAGTTATAATTGACTATATAAACAGTACGCGATTGGCTTCCATATATAGGTACAACAATACTTTACCTTAGAACAAGGGAAGGAAAGCGTTCAATAATGTGGGCTGGAAAACGCATGCGCTGTTTCCTTGAAAAACTACCTCAAAGCCTACCCATGCGTGTTATGACTTCCAAGTAATAGCTACAATATATCTCATATTGTATTACTTCAAATAATATGAGTTCTATAACTTGATATGCGCATTTCCAACTTCCCGTCTATATATGCAAGTCAAAAAGTATTCCAATTCAAAAACATTTGATGTTTATATTTTAACCTAGACTTTACTATTGTCTAAAATATTAGGAACCAAGATATATAAACACAAAAAAGATTTATATACCTTATATGTAGACATGTATATAAAATGCTTTTGTTCACTTCATTTGTCAATTGTTGATTCCATTAACACATCCGGGGGGTCTGTTCACAATAATTTTGGTAGTACTTCATGTCATTCACATTCGATTCATAATTTGCTACTTTTCTTTCCATTTGTTAAAATATAAACCTTATTCGTTCGAGATAAAATAATAAATTCCTTACAATTAAGGGATTTAGAGTGCGCCTAAGCAAATATATATTTTTATTTTTATAGAGCACAACAAAGGAGGATTTTATTGGCCGTTTTGTAGATCAGAAACTGAAACGAAACGTGTAGTCATCCCCCATCGGCTGAGTAAACATTTAAAAATTTAGAACATAAAAGAAGGTTTCTTATTAAAATGTATATTGTCATAATAATTATACGAGTATATATTCATATAATTAAAGAGAATTTTAAAAGTCAAATTATCATTAAGTTTTATCAAATCTAAAATCGATTATAGAATACCATAAACGTAATAAATGTATATCTGCTTATTTTTATAATTACGTTATTGTATGATATTCATAAAAAAACTAATATATTGTAACATTTATTTAAAACAATACACATAATATAAAAAAAAGTGAAATTCGTGAAATGAATTTGTTCATTTTAATAAAATTCATAATAATATATAAGCATGAATGAGTTAATAATTATGTAAGATAAGGGGAAGTCAAGATAAAAAGGAGCACACATAGATATTTTTTTATAACCGGAACACAAAAGTCATTTGTAAAAATAAATCTTAATCTTTATTGTTAAGGTGCGTGGCAATAACACCGATTTGTTAATTCATGACTACAATAGGAATTAGAAGTACAGTCCATTGTCGCAAATTGGACAGTCCCTCGTCTCTAAGATCACCAAGGAATTACTGACAGCGGGCGTTAATAAAAACATGACGACATGTCAAAACTGACCAGATTTAGTAGGCGACAAGTGATGATCATTGTTAGGGGGCCATTGAATTCAGTGTGGGCTTCTTAACACCTACGTCGTGGTCGCAGACGGCTTGAATACGTTGACTGTGTTTGCGCTACGGATTGTCTGATATAATCGTGGAACCTTAAAATGAAGCACGCCTACCATTCATGAAATGTTTAAAGTGAAGCGATGGGAACGTGGAATTTAATAGTTGTCTAATAATTATAAAAACTTTTACTCGTTTTTGTATCAGTGTGTTCTGTTCTTTAGATTTCATTTAAGAATTAATGAAGATGCCATCTGATTCAGTTTGAATATACGATATGAATAAATAAAGACTTAATTTATAATAAAAACAAAGAAATGTTTATGGTCTTGAGCAAGAAAGTAATTATTTTAATAAAAGATTATGATATGATACAAGTTTAAGACACTAAAGTATACGATGCATATTGAGGGAGAGCGGCGCCGGCGCACGTGGCTATGTTATTGCAGTGTCGCGGCTAATTACTGATTTATAGTTAGAAGCTCCTTTTCTGTGGGATAACGCAAGTTATAAGAGGACAATGTTACGTTATTCTTAATAATTTTAAAGATAATTAAAATTTTGTAAAAATAAAAAATAATAACTCTAAAATTATTAATGGACAAAAAGTTTAAAATATTTTTGCTTTTTAGGTTCCAATACAAAGTTACTGTGTTATTTTGGTCGGTTTTCAATATGATAACTGATTTCAATTGAAACTGATGCTAAAGGTACTTTTTACGGTAATAATAAAGGTCTGATTACAGGCAATTTATAAACGCTCGACCCTTATATATTCAGCTAGATTATTGTAATATTTCTTATATAATGCCAGTACTAGATGCTTAAAAAACCTTTTCATATTTATATATATTATCAAAAAGCAACAATACTAATTGAATGACTAGTTTTTTATTAATTCAAATTAAGACTGAATGATGGTTGTGAAAATATTTTGTCATTAAGTCTATTACGAAATTTGCGAGCTAATCTTAAAGGTGTGGCAAACCTTTATATATTTTTTTAATGTGATTAGAGACAATATTTTTAAATGCATAGTAATATATTTGGAAACCTATAAAATAATACTGTTGTTACTTATATACTTCTCAAGCGACTGTAAAGTAAAACTTAAGAGTCTTGAATATGAGATTTATATTACATAATTGATTAATTGACACCTTATTTAAATCATCGTCTTTCACATTTACTTTTCAAATAGGTATGTTAAACACCGTGGAAGATTTTTAAAACTTTGTTACATGTTACCTATTACATTTATAATAATCTTAATGTTATCTCACATTTATTTTATACTTGATTGTAACTCTACGCTATTGAATATATTAATTTACCAAACCTTGAGCCAAGAAAA